TGGAACACCACGACTTACTGGAGAACTATTCAGTTTTCCAATAACTTTGAGTTATTAGAAAATGGATAATAATAAAAAAAATGTTTTAGTAAACATGAGACAACCAATGAAATAGAAATATTCTCAAAAAAAATAAATTAATGTGGAAACAAGCGCGCGGATAAAAATCACAATCTGGAGCCTAACAGTCCACTTTATAAGATTTTACGAAGGCTCTCCAGTTACTCAGGCTTCTCTTCATTTTTCGCATAAATCTTTCGCCTTTTACTAAAGATTTCCGTGGAGAGGAGCATACAATGAGTCTTTGCGATTTTTAAAGCCCTCATGTACTGGGTTCATGATTTACTTATACTCTAGATCAGAAAGGTCTGTTGAATGCTAATTGTGTTCACAACTTTATTTTTCATGAATTAATAGGCCTGGAACACCGCGACTTTAGGGGAACTATTCAGTTTTAAAGTAACTTTGATTTAGTTATTAGAAAATTAGTAATAATAAATCTAATTGTTTTAGTAAATCTGAGGCAATAAATGAAATAGAGTTAATCTAAAATAAAATAAAATAATGTGAACACAAGCGCGCGAATAAAAATCACAATCTGGAGCTTAACAATCCACTTGATATGTCTTTACGAAGGTTCTCTAGTTACTCAGGCTTCTCTTCATTTTTCGCATAAATCTTTCGCCTTTTACTAAAGATTTCCGTGGAGAGGAGCATACAATGAGTAGGCTTGCACGTAATTGACAAAAATCAATTCCGTAATTACGGCAAAATCAATTACGTAATGACCCCCGTTAATTGCGATATTTTTCCACGCATTTAAACCTATCATAACAACCAATTGAATCCACTTCTTTTCCGAATGGGACATTGAAGTTGGGTTTTCATATTCTTGGCAGTACTACACGCAGGCGGCAGATGTTAAAGACAAATATCAAGGAGTGAATTCAAATTAATTTTATTCTGATTTTTATCTTTTGTGTTAGCTTTGGTTTTCCTTATCACCCTTCGCAAATTAACCGTCCATTTTTTATGCGATCAATTTTATTTTATCATTACCGACACTGGGTATACGGATATTTATGAAAACGATAGTTTTTTAAAACCACCTTTAGTACTGAATAAAATTACGGTTTTCTTAATTTATTAACCAACGACGAGCGTATTCTCTCGTTTGATTATACTTGCGAATATCCTCGCGACGAAGACTTGTTTTTGCATCGTCTCTGCATTATCCGACATTACTGCCTTGTTAGCATTTTATAATAATAATTATTGATGTCGACTTATTTGACGATATCCGATTACCATGCTTCATTTTACATTTAATCATTTCGCGGAGGCTGAATGTTTATAACATTATTTGCGATAAATTTAGATCAATATTATTTATTTTGCGTATAATCTAATTATCGAACTTATATGATATGCCTCCTCCGAAATACAAAGTTATATCGCAAAACAATGCATTTTGTGACATTTATTTTACACTCACGACATTTATTTGCTAACTCAAGTCGGCGATCCTATTCGGCCAAGATTGACACAAATGGTTGGTCGAGTGCCGGTGGTATTCAAGTCGACGATAAATCAAAATAAGTTGCCGCATTTGGTAAGACAGTTAATCATATATGGCCGAAATATTGAGAGGAATTGTGAAAAAACATCATGATCAAGCCAAGTCCGGACTGATATATAAACGATAAACCGTTAACAGAACATCAAGATTTTGTAATAGAAAACGGATCTCGCACAGAATAAACACACTGGCTCATATTTGAAGCAGTTAAATTTTTAGCGGTCCGCGAGGAATCCGTTGTTTTGTTGTTTTCTCTGCCGTCTCAATCGCTTTTACCAATGCCGAGAAGACGAAAGTTGCGTTGGTTCATTACGCAATCTCTCTTTTGTCGTCATATTGCTATTGATATAGGCCGACATTAATTATCACTGCAGGTATTGGCGCGAGTGATCAATCGCTTTTTCGCTTATTTGGTTCCAATTCGTCGCGAAAGCTCTTCGTTAAATTTCCACAAGATCGTCGTGTTGAAAGGTTTATGGATATTTTCCTGTTTATACCCCAAGTCTGAAATAAACAGCCAAAACAGTATGATATTCCATGTTCATATATCAAGTGTTGATATTAATAATAAAGAATGGTTAAGCATTGCTAATCCACACGTGGTGGGGAATTCCCACTATTTAACGCGTGACTATAAAACAGAGAACGGAACATATATACCATAAGTAACGGAAACTGGAACAAGTAAATAATAAATAAAGTAAAATGGATACAAATGTTAGATAGATGATCTCCTTGCGTTCATTAGTCATTTCACCCGAAGAAGTTGAAACCGAGCGTGTTAGCGTCCATCGGTCCTTAACACAATTCTTCCCCTATCTACGGTTATTATGTACATTGGCCATGGCCAGCTAGATAAGATGCGAGAGAAGTTGAAACCAGGTGTGTTGGCGTCAATCGTCTCAACGCAATGCTATCCCCTTACGGTCAAGTTGCGGGAGAAGTTGAAACCAGGTGTGTTGTCGTCAATCGGTCTCAGCGCAATTCTATCCCTTATCTACGGTTAAGTTGCGGGAGAAGTTAAGACCAGGTGTGTTGGCGTCAAACGGCCCTACTCAGTTCTTCCCCCTTAACTACGTTAATAATTTACATTGGCCATGCCAGATAAGTTGATAATAGGTTAGTAAATGGCAACGCGTAATGCCTTCCTTCACCTACGTAACAAGAGAGAGAAAAGAAAGAAACAACGGCTGCGAATACCAGAACTCTAACTTCTTCTACTTGTTGAGCTTTCATTTTTCGCAATCGACTAAATTGACTGCTTCGAAGAAAGCTCGTTTCAATGCAATAATTACGACTTTACGTAATTCGTAACTTCCCTTCCGTAACTCCAAATAATTACGTAATTACGTAAATCCGTAAATTACGTGCAAGCCTAACAATGAGTCTTTGCGATTTTTAAAGCCCAGTATGTACTGGGTTCATGATTTACTCATACTCTAGATCAGAAAGGTCTGTTGAATGCTAATTTGTGTTCAAAACTTTTCTTTTTTTTTTGAATTAATAGACCTGGAACACCACGACTTTACTGGGAGAACTATTCAGTTTTCAATTAACTTTGAGTTATTAGAAAATGGATAAAAATAAAAAAAATGTTTTAGTAAACATGAGACAACCAATGAAATAGAAATATTCTCAAAAAAATAAATTAATGTGGAAACAAGCGCGCGGATAAAAATCACAATCTGGAGCCTAACAGTCCACTTTATAAGATTTTACGAAGGCTCTCCAGTTACTCAGGCTTCTCTTCATTTTTCGCATAAATCTTTCGCCTTTTACTAAAGATTTCCGTGGAGAGGAGCATACAATGAGTCTTTGCGATTTTTAAAGCCCAGCATGTACTGGGTTCATGATTTACTTATACTCTAGATCAGAAAGGTCTGTTGAATGCTAATTTGTGTTCACAACTTTTATTCTTTCATGAATTAATAGGCCGGAACACCGCGACTTTTTGGGGGGAACTATTCAGTTTTAAAGTAACTTTGATTTAGATATTAGAAAATTAGTAATAATAAATCTAATTGTTTTAGTAAACATGAGGCAATAAATGAAATAGAGTTAATCTAAAATAAAATAACATAATGTGAACACAAGCGCGCGAATAAAAATCACAATCTGGAGCTTAACAATCCACTTGATATGTCTTTACGAAGGTTCTCTAGTTACTCAGGCTTCTCTTCATTTTTCGCATAAATCTTTCGCCTTTTACTAAAGATTTCCGTGGAGAGGAGCATACAATGAGTCTTTGCGATTTTTAAAGCCCAGTATGTACTGGGTTCATGATTTACTCATACTCTAGATCAGAAAGGTCTGTTGAATGCTAATTTGTGTTCAAAACTTTTATTCTTTTATGATTGATAGACCTGGAACACCACGACTTTACGGGAGAACTATTCAATTTTCAATTAACTTTGAGTTATTAGAAAATGGATAATAATAAAAAAAAATGTTTAGTAAACATGAGACGACCAATGAAATCGAAATATTCTCAAAAGAAATAAATTAATGTGAAAACAAGCGCGCGGATAAAAATCACAATCTGGAGCCTAACAATCCACTTATATGATCTTTACGAAGGCTCTTTAGTTACTCAGGCTTCTCTTCATTTTTCGCATAAATCTTTCGCCTTTTACTAAAGATTTCCGTGGGGAGGAGCACACAATGAGTCTTGGTTTTTAAGCCCAGCATGTACTGGGTTCATGATTTACTCATACTCTAGATCAGAAAGGTCTGTTGAATGCTAATTTGTGTTCACAACTTTTCTTTTTTTTTGAATTAATAGACCTGGAACACCACGACTTTACGGGAAACTATTCAGTTTCAATCAACTTTGAGTATTAGAGATGGAATAATAGTAAAAAAAAGTGTTTCAGTAAACATGAAGAACGACCAATGAATCGAAATATTCTCAGAAAGACAATATATTAATGTGAAAACACGCGCGCGGATAAAAATCACAATCTGGAGCCTAACATCCACTTATATGATTTTACGAAGCCTCTCTAGTTACTCAGGCTTCTCTCATTTTTCGCATAAATCTTTCGCCTTTTACTAAAGATTTCCGTGGAGAGGAGCATACAATGAGTCTTTGCGATTTTTAAAGCCCAGCATGTACTGGGTTCATGATTTACTCATACTCTAGATCAGAAAGGTCTGTTGAATGCTAATTTGTGTTCACAACTTTTATTCTTTTATGAATTAATAGACCTGGAACACCACGACTTTACGGGAGAACTATTCAGTTTTCAATTAACTTTGAGTTATTAGAAAATGGATAATAAAAAAATGTTTTAGTAAACATGAGACAACCAATGAAATCGAAATATTCTCAAAAGAAATAAATTAATGTGAAAACAAGCGCGCGGATAAAAATCACAATCTGGAGCCTAACAATCCACTTTATATGATTTTACGAAGGCTCTCCAGTTACTCAGGCTTCTCTTCATTTTTCGCATAAATCTTTCGCCTTTTACTAAAGATTTCCGTGGAGAGGAGCATACAATGAGTCTTTGCGATTTTTAAAGCCAGCATGTACTGGGTTCATGATTTACTTATACTCTTGATCAGAAAGGTCTGTTGAATGCTAATTTGTGTTCACAACTTTTATTCTTTTATGAATTAATAGGCCTGGAACACCGCGACTTTTTGGGGGGAACTATTCAGTTTTAAAGTAACTTTGATTTAGGTATTAGAAAATTAGTAATAATAAATCTAATTGTTTTAGTAAACATGAGGCAATAAATGAAATAGAGTTAATCTAAAATAAAATAACTAATGTGAACACAAGCGCGCGAATAAAAATCACAATCTGGAGCTTAACAATCCACTTGATATGTCTTTACGAAGGTTCTCTAGTTACTCAGGCTTCTCTTCATTTTTCGCATAAATCTTTCGCCTTTTACTAAAGATTTCCGTGGAGAGGAGCATACAATGAGTCTTTGCGATTTTTAAAGCCCAGTATGTACTGGGTTCATGATTTACTTATACTCTAGATCAGAAAGGTCTGTTGAATGCTAATTTGTGTTCAACCAAACTTTATTCTTTATGAATTAATAGACTGGAACACACGATTATACGGGAGAACCATTCAGTTTTCAATTAACTTTGAGTTATTAGAGATGGATAATAATAAAAAAAAATGTTTTAGTAAACATAAGACAACCAATGAAATCGAAATATTCACAAAAGAAATAAATTAATGTGAAAACAAGCGCGCGGATAAAAATCACAATCTGGAGCCGAACAATCCACTTGATAGTTTTTTATGAAGGCTCTTTAGTTACTCAGGCTTCTCTTCATTTTTCGCATAAATCTTTCGCCTTTTACTAAAGGTTTCCGTGGAGAGGAGCACACAATGGGTCTTTGCGATTTTTAAAACCCAGCATGTACTGGGTTTCATGATTACTTTATACTCCTAGTCAGAAAAGTTTGTTGAATGCTAATTTGTGTTCACAACTTTTATTCTTTTATGAATTAACAGGCCTGGAACACCACGACTTTACGGGAGAACTGTTCAGTTTTCCATCAACTTTGAGTTATTAGAAAATGGATAATAATAAAAAAAATGTTTTAGTAAACATAAGACAACCAATGCAATCGAAATATTCTCAAAAGAAATAAATTAATGTGAAAACAAGCGCGCGGATAAAAATCACAATCTGGAGCCGAACAATCTACTTGATAGTTCTTTACGAAAGCTCTTTAGTTACTCAGGCTTCTCTTCATTTTTCGCATAAATCTTTCACCTTTTATTGAAGATTCCCGTGGAGAAGAGCATACAATGGGTCTTTGCGATATTTAAAGCCCAGCATGTACTGGGTTCATGATTTCCTCATACTCTAGATCAGAAAGGTCTGTTGAATGTTAATTTGTGCTCACAACTTTTATTCTTTTATTAATTAATAGACCTGGAACACCACGATTTCAAAGGAGAATTCAATTAACTTTGAGTTATAAGAAAAAGGATAATAATAAAAAAAATGCGTTTTAGTAAACATGAGACAACCAATGAAATCGAAATATTCTCAAAAGAAATAAATTAATGTGAAAACAAGCGCGCGGATAAAAATCACAATCTGGAGCCTAACAATCCGGAATCCGCTTTATATGTTTTTACGAAGGCTCTCTAGTTACTCAGGCTTCTCTTCATTTTTCGCATAAATCTTTCGCCTTTTACTAAAGATTTCCGTGGAGAGGAGCATACAATGAGTCTGTGCGATTTTTAAATTCCCAGCATGCGCTGGGTTCTTGGTTTACGTATTCTCTAGATCGGAAAGGTCTGTTGGATGCTAATTGGTGTTCACAACTTTTATTCCTTCATGAATTAATAGGCCAGGAACACCGCGACTTTTTGGGGAGACCTATTCAGTTTTAAAGTAACTTTGAGTTATCAGAAAATGGATAAAAAAAAAATTGTTTTAGTAAACATGAGACAACCAATGAAATCGAAATATTCTCAAAAGAAATAAATTAATGTGAAAACAAGCGCGCGGATAAAAATCACAATCTGGAGCCTAACTATCCACTTGATAGTTCTCTACGAAGGCTCTTCAGTTACTCAGGCTTCTCTTCATTTTTCGCATAAATTTTTCGCCTTTTACTGAAGATTTCCGTGGAGAGAAGCATACAATGAGTCTTTGCGCGATTTTTAAAGCCCATCATGTACTGGTTCATAGTTTACGTATTCTCTAGATCATAAAGGTCTGTTGAATGCTAATTTGTGTTCACAACTTTTATTCTTTTATGAATTAATAGACCTGGAACACCACGACTTTACGGGAGAACTATTCAGTTTTCAATTATCTTTGGGTTATTAGAAAATGGATAATATTAATTAAAATGTTTTAGTAAACATGAGACAACCAATGAAATCGAAATATTTTCAAAAGAAATAAATTAATGTGAAACAAGCGCGCGGATAAAAATCACAATCTGGAGCCGAACAATCCACTTGATAGTTCTTTACGAAGGCTCTTTAGTTACTCAGGCTTCTCTTCATTTTTCGCATAAATCTTTCGCCTTTTACTAAAGATTTCCGTGGAGAGGAGCACACAATGAGTCTTTGCGATTTTTAAAGCCCAGCATGTACTGGGTTCATGATTTACTTATACTCTAGATCAGAAAGGTCTGTTGAATGCTAATTTGTGTTCACAACTTTTATTCTTTTATGAATTAATAGACCTGGAACACCACGACTTTATGGGAGAACTATTCAGTTTTTCAATTAACTTTGAGTTATTAGAAAATGGATAATAATAAAAAAAATGTTTTAGTAAACATGAGACAACCAATGAAATCGAAATATTCTCAAAAGAAATAAATTAATGTGAAAACAAGCGCGCGGATAAAAATCACAATCTGGAGCCTAACAATCCACTTTATATGATTTTACGAAGGCTCTCTAGTTACTCAGGCTTCTCTTCATTTTTCGCATAAATCTTTCGCCTTTTACTAAAGATTTCCGTGGAGAGGAGCATACAATGAGTCTTTGCGAATTTTGAAGCCCAGCATGCGGTGGGTTCTTGGTTTACTTATTCTCTAGATCAGAAAGGTCTGTTGGATGCTAATTTGTGTTCACATCCTTTATGAATTAAGAGACCTGGAACACCACGTTTTTAGGGGGGGGGTATTCAGTATTCAATTATTTTTGATTGAGTTATTAGAAAATCAATAATAATCAATCTAATTGTTTTAATAAACATGAGACAATTAATGAAATCGAATTAATCTCCAAATAAAAGTAATGAGAAGACAAGCATGCGAATAAATATCACAATCTGGAGCTTAACAATCCACTCGATATGTCTTTACAAAAGCTCTGTAGTTGCTCAGGCTTCTCTTCTTCTCTCGCATAAATGTTTCGGTTTTTACTAAAGATTGCCGTGGTGAGAAGAAAATGATGAGTCTTTGCGAGCTCAGCATGAGGGTAAAACCGAGTGTGAGAATAAGAACCCCAATCTGGAGATCAACAATACGCTTCATATATATATCTGTCTTCGAGAAGGCTTTATAGTTGCTCAGGTTCTTTCTCTTCATTCTTCGCATCAATCTTTTGCCTCTTACCAAATATTTCATTGAGTAGAGCATACAATGAGACTATACGATTTTTGATGTCCGGTGTATAAGGGTTTATAGTTAACTTACTCCCAGGAGTAAGAAGGTCATTTGGGCGATTTTTTTTATTGTGAGGCAAGAGACGTAGAACACCACGACGTTTAGGGGAAAACTATACAGGTAAATTAGTAAATCTGTATATTAGACACGAAATGGACCTATGGATCGTTTTGTCATTTCATATTCCTATTTGCGTTGTAGCAAAAAATTGTTTCTTCTCTTTAAATACTGGACAAATGGCTTTAAATTTACAGTATTTGAATACGTGAATGAGAATTCTTACTTACTAAGAGATATATGAGAAGCGGCCTTTGTCTCAGTTTGGTGGCTGTGGCGTATCGTCGAACAAGCCTTGCGCCACTTGGGAAAAGTTTTCATTTAATTTGTATTACCGCCTTTGAGTCCAATCGAAGGACATGAATTTAGTCTTAATCTTACCAATTGGCCTACTTTATTAATCGTTTTCCATACTGCTTTTGTAAAAAGCAAATTTAGACATTCAGACAATAATTAAAAATCTTTAATTGGAGTAGTGGAGCATGTATATTCATTCCCACGTTCATTATGCTGTGATTTATGCTTGTCATCTTTGTTTTTATTATTTATTCGTTGCTTATTCATATAGATTTTGTTGAGCCTGCGCAGCGCAATGTCATGTTTGTCTATCCATTTCATTTTTTTCTGTACAGAAAAGATTAAGAACAAGCAGTAGAAAACTTATCAAAGAATTTTTCACAGCAAATATTGGGATCCTCGATGCTGCGGTACTCCTGAAGTATGCGCACCAAGATGTGGCATAACCTGAACCCTAACCTGGTACACAACCTGAGTTCAGGTTGTGCGCCATCTTGGTGCGCACACTTCAGTAGGTCCCATTTGTCAATATGTGATCTGTATTGGTAGCAGAGCTTCCCAACCTCCTATCAATTCCGTTGTTAGTCGATTTATTCTTCTTTTACTTATTGAATGTTGTTGTTTGTGTTTGATTTGTTGGCTAATGACTGGATGATGAATAAAAATTCTACCTATCTATCAATCTGGCAAAGCAGAATACGACTAATCCTATCGGGAATTACGTTTCCTTCAGAAATTTCCTTCTACGTTTTGTGGTCACCCACTTGTTATTATTAGATATTTGACTATTATTAGATATAGAATCTAGGTTCCTGTCGAAGCAGAGGATAATTAGGGTGGCTATATCCACAAGCAGCTCTAGTGTCTGGTGTCCAGGGATTTGAAGCCGAGACATCCTCCTTAATGTTCAGTTCAGAATTTAGTACTCATTTTTGTGTGCGACTTCACTGTCCATCAGTCTATCGTAAGATATTGTGAAAAATTTACTAGATCTCAGTCGAAGACAGGTTGACCATCCCTGATCTAGAAGATCTTAGTTTTGAAGTTACCCGTTATATATTTATAATTTAACCTATTCATCTTTAAAAGGACTTGGGACATAGAATTGCATTTCGAACTTCTGGGAATCTTATTCCAACAACTAGTAAAATTATAAAGCGTCCCCCCAAAACGACCAGATTTTCTCTCTTATTATCTTGATAGTAAACATCAGCAAACATAAAAAAGTGAACCAACAAAAATTGTCCAATAAGACTCAATGTTTAATATTGACATTTTTTTTTTCAATTTTCCAAATACAAATCAAGAAAGTAACCGTAAGATAAAGAGGGCCTGAATCCAGTATGTTTGATTGAAACCACGAGTAATCTCCATAACTAGAAAAATATTAGTAGCAAATAAATTGAATTCTAGTGTTTTGTGTTATTCAAATTGCCAAATAGCCCAGAAAAACAGCTCAATAATAAAATGCAAAAATTCCAGAATAGAAAATAGATGTGCTTTGTTACATTAATTCTAAAATCTATGGGACTTGGTTGAACAAATCCAAGTTTTATATCATACTTACAATTGTTAAATTTCGCCACATACAACCCCTTCTCATAACCAGATAAAAAGAAAGTATAATTTACACCAAAAAATAGTATATTAATCCATTTGCACTTCTAGGGCTGACCAAATGATTCAAATACCTCATTCACAAGCAAATAACAAAATGATTAATCACTTATGCAATTTTCTTAACATTTCAGTTCATCTTAAATTATACATGTTCAAACAGTCCATCATCCGGTATCTAAAACACTAGTTTGTAAAAAAATAAGATGAGATTTTTTATAGACTATAACCGAAAACAACACCTTTTCTATGTTTATTGGACAAAATTACTTCTTTCTTGTAAAGAAATTTGAGATCATCAGTTCATGAACTGCGCATTTTTCATAACATCTCAGAATAATATTCAATTACTCTTTCACCAATATGATGACGTTCAAGGGTATCAAAATTTATCGAAGAAATTTTTTCTTTGTATAACTAATAAGCAGGTAGAAAGATTCGAATATTCAATTGAAGCACAAATAAAATATTCCATTTGATCCTAATATGAAGCATTTTAGAAATTTAGCCAGCCCTGTGTACAGTAATGGTGCCAAAAATTGTTTTCTAATCACCATCAGACATTAGATTCCAGAGAACCAAAAGATTTTTCAAGTCAGTTAGGGCTAACGCTGATTTATTTTTGACTACTTGAGAAAATCAACATTAAAACTTGTACATAATGGGCCAAATGTATTATGGTTCCAATTCTAGAAATATCTTGTGATCCAAGAGAATGTGGTATAAGAAATTATTGGATGAGTTTTTACATGCAAGAATTAGAAATAATAAAACCAAGAGTAGTAGTAATAATAGTCAAGTATGTAGTATTCAAAAACGGTCAGGAATAAAAAATAATTCGACGTTAAAGAAATAAACGACGCTGTATATACATATACAATATTAAAAAGACTAACATTCCAATCAATAACCCTGAAAGAGAAACAAACCTTAAGGTATATATTTTAAGGTAAAAAAAATAGAGAAATAAACACCAATTTTAATAAGTCTAACCATTCATGAGAGATGATTTAAAAGATTTAAAAAAGGACACTGACAAAAACAAAATGGAATTGAAAAACAAAAAGATGACAAATTTAATTCCCATCAATATATTTTTAGTCTCAACAATCATTAATGCATGTATTTGCATACCCAACTAATAATGGGCCATGGATATATAGTGTACCATGTTTATCTGTTATACAAACCCACCAGAAAAAAAAGTTGAAACTAAAATAAAAAAAATTTGGGTGGTAACTATCCATCTCTATGAAATCACTGCAGAATAATTTGATTCTTCAGGTATAGGAATAATAACATCCACGAAACACTTTAGCGATAATAGCTATAGTAACAAAGAGTTGGTCTTACATACCCTTTTCCTGTAATCTGATGAAAAAAGTAAAATGAGCTGGACTTCAATTAACATCTTGGAAAAAAACAACATAACCATAAAAAGATACATCGATGCGAGTTACATCTCAAAAAGGGATAGTTTGGAAACAATATATACAAACGTAAAATGAAAGCATATCAAAGCAACACACAAGAGTTTCACTGACAACTTATCATATGTGGCCGAATTAAATTATTTCTTTATGTGAAATAATAAAGATGTCTAAAAACTACATTTCAAATTGATTATCAACAATAAGAGAGCAGCATTCACCATGACGTAAGAAGCAACTTGAACTTAAATCAACTTTATTACTGAGATTTGGACATAACAGAGTACAAAACATTATTTATATATCTATATTTATAAACCCTTTCAAAACTAAGTAGAAATAACTTTCTAGGACTCAAGATATCTCCATATTCGTCATTATGAATGAAAGCAATCTAAATTTGAGATACATTATTCATAACTTGCGCTCAAAACCAAGATAGACTCAAATACTTACAGTAGTGCCAACAATTTTAACAGCTTGAGCCTAAAATAAATTTGAGCAATTCTCAAAACGCCAAACCAGTCATATAGGATAGGGTTTACATATTTATCTTGTGGGAGAGGAAAGTTGATAAGATAGCCTAATAATATGGCGAACCATGGCCTCTCGTTCGGTTGCATGTTCATGTTGGGTATGGGATTAGTTAGCCAGTTACCGGTATTTGTTTCAGATGCATTCTTTATCAAATTAACCCAACATCTAAATAAAGTGAAATAATTCTGAATGAAACTAAATCGTTTTGATTTTGTATAACAAATTATATCAAGTTTTAAAATTTGTTGTGGCTGTATAACTAGCTATTCAAAAAGAATGAGTATCTCTCTTGTGTGTTACAAAACGAGAGTGAGCTGATGCATGAAAGAAAAACACAATAGAAAGCAGAATATCACCATAACCATATGGCTATGACTGCTAAGCACATTAAATTAACTTTTTGTTGAAAAATACAACACAGATAAAAAATGTAAATTTCCATCAATTGACACAGTATAACTCCTTTTATATTGTCATCTATACAAAAAAATGAGAGAAAAGTACACAATAAAAGTAAATATTATCTCCTAAGTGTTCATTGGAGATAATATCTATTTGTATCACATATAGAATATTAAAATTTATGTACCTGTATTACCTACACTGTCAGTTTATATCATTAAGCTATACATTATGAACTAAACTTGGTGTTTTAACAAAAAGCCATTTTTTACTTGAATTGAAAATATTTTACCTAACGATCTGCATAAGGCTGTTGCCTACTTAGAATTCAGAAATTATTTACCAGTATTACAATGGCCATTGTCAGCCGAGGGTAAATTTATAAAATATAGTATATGAAAACACAGTAAAATATCTACAATTCCACAGTCATTTTGCCATGTAATTAGTATTCAAGCATCATTTAATGATAAACCATTTGTATTCAATGCCTGTTGGACATAAGAATACGATAAAAATTCATATTATCCATGGGATATATGCTATTAATGATGCTTGTCTTAGAGAAAAGTAATATTAAGAACTTGACATCTTAAATTTTACTTGAGCCAGTCTTTCAAAACCAAAAAAAAGCAAAAAACATCAGAAATCACTGATGACTAACACATACACAAAGAAGATGAGGTTTTAATGATTTTCAATTAATTCTCAAATAAATTTCATCGATCCTAAACGACACAATAATCATTCCCCGAGACCAGACCACTTTAAAAAACAGTCAAATTACACTACACATTAGTTCATTGGGAATTCATTCAAGAACGAAGATACTGACACAAAAGCATTGACTTTTAAGTAGAAAAATTGTCTTCTGCAAAACATATCACACTGTAGATGGAGGCATAGCTAGACCAGCAACAATCTTCTGCCAAAGTTCCTTTTTACATGATTTCGCTCGACGTATGCTTTGCAGTACCTGAAGATAAATTTACAATTTTAGCACTGCTCTATATTCGGTACTCCCATAGTGTGTGTAACAAGTTAGGGTTCGGCAATATTTCCTCATTTTCGTTCTATCATGAGTTAGGCAAGTGAATATACCCCCTTGCCCATAGGTTCCAGTCTCTTTACACAACTTGATGTAAAGTAGGCGAACAAAATTAGTTACCTCCATATATGGGTACACACACTTTGGAGCGACCCATTATTCTTTCTCAATACACTTATGTAACTAAGGTACGTCGCATTAATGGATCAAATTTGAATTATTTGAGAAACAAAAACTTGACACAGAACACCTGAGTGTTGTTTATGGAAACACCAGTGCACCGTGGAACATCATTATTATAGCTTCGCAGAAAAGTCGTTCAATGTAGAATAATTTAGATTCAACATTTCCAAAAGAGGAGAATTTTTGCATACATTTTTCATGCATATATTACAAACAATCCAATTCGTGCAAAAGCCAGAGTGTGGTTTGTGCTTTACACTAGCTTAACACTGATTAACTAGAGATGGAACAACAAATTGAAGTTTTATGTTTAGAAAAAACATACAAAATAAGCAAAGGAAGAATGCATCCACTGATGCAGACGAATATGAGTCATTCAACAAGAAAAATTCAATATATCTGATATCCACGCATAAAAGCCGACCCCCTAAACGGCCCTAAAACGACAAATTTATAAAAATTCGCATATAATCAGACATTACAGATCGTAACCAGACTATACACACCTATCACAGCAAATGGTTGCAGAAGAGAACTAATGAAAATGATAACCATCATTGGTATATTTTACTTACATCAATAACGGTAATAAGTGTCTAAAAATTATGTCATAGCGTAAATACGCGAGCGATCACATGTTTGACAACCCTTCAGAGATTGTTATTGCTTTCATAGCGTAAGCACGCAAGCAATCACGTGTATGACAACCAATCAGACTGCTATCGCTGTCACAGCGTACCAAGTGCGGCTTCGAGTATGTGCCTACATGCTCTTATGGTGAGAATTAGCAATTAGCATGTATAAGCCCACCCTTCAGTGCGATCACAGTTATGCGCGTGTGTGTTACCAGACTTATGTGCGTATAGACCAACCCCCTTAGCTGGGCAACTTTTTTTTTGAGTTTCAAACTCTGCTTATATGCGAGGATATACGGTAAGTAACCGTATTATTCAAACGTACGAGTAAAAAAAGCTAGTTAAATTTAAAAATATTTGAATTATTTATTTCAAACCTCATTGAACTGCATCAGTCCTCCTGGAGTCATACAAAAAGCTGTTCTTGAATTTTGCACTAGAGATGCAAAATCATCGTAATCAGCAGGATGGAGATGATATAATCTATTATGTATGAAATGGATGTACATCTGCAAGCATTTCTGAACGATGGGTTGCAGGAAAGGTAGCCTTAAATTTGAGCAAGCCTGCAACAAATACAAAAATGAAGAAACAATTTTTTAGGTAAAAACTCTGAAATCTACTTTGATTTAGCATGGCAGCATAGATTAAAAAAAAAACTTTGTTATGCAAACTGATAGCAAAAAACTTTTAATAAGGATTATTAAATTAAAGTGTTAACCTGGAAAGATAAGAATATTGTAAATTTCAAAATTTCATAGAGAAACATAAGCTGAAAATACCGTAGGCAGATACTTGATGGCTTACAGATAACAATGTGAAAATTTAGTTCATCCTCAATAAGGTAAATATTTATAAAGATAAATTTCAAGTCAAATTGAAGTCAAAAAATTTGGTAAAGCAGACTGAAATATGTCCGAGCAAATATAAATAATAAACAAGATTGTTTTCACAAGAAGGTGACCAACCTTTGTCAAAAATGAAATATAGTTTAATTCAGTACAATTTGACATTTTGAGGCAGAGCGAATCAAAATAACCAAATGACAAAAATGAGTTAAGGGTGTCCCACAACACAGGAATTAGAACTAATTAAAAAAAATTCTGACCTGCTGATGATTATTCTGTGCTAGATATTGTGCAGTTTCTACTGCGATATCTTGCAAGACAAAGGGAGATGAAATACCGGTGACGACTGCCAGACAAAACTGCTGAACATAATGCATACCTATTGAGACAATAAAAATATGATTACCTTAAAACTTGTATTGCATTATCCATATGTAATTTCAAAATCACACTCAGGATCATGTGAGTTCAATTTTAGTGTGATACAAGTTAAGATAAGTTAGGGAACTACTCCATACGAGGCTTGTATAAAACCCAGTTACATTAGGATTTCTTTTCCACGATTTATACAGCTTTTTAAATGCAATCCCACCCTAACACTAGATAGAAGCATCTACTGCCAGGAAAAAATATTATATTCCGGAAATATTAAAATTTTTCCACTTAGGCACGGCGCTGTAACCACTTCGCCATTCGCATCCTTGATGAATTCCAGATCTAGAATACTTACCAAGTTCTATGGATAACTTCAATAACCATTTGACATTATTTGTGTACGGAGGATTTTTAACATATTTCGAATTTGGTCGATCTTCAGTTCTCTTTGCAAGCAGATCAAGAGCAAGCATACTGACTCGGAATGCACTCTGGAGCTGTTGAAAGATGAAGGATAATTATTTTTGTATTAATTGAGAAAATAAACAATTCTTGCTTTTGTGAGTGATAATGAGAAACAAGTTTTAACATTCTGTTTAACTTAAGCTTATGATATAATTCAGTCAATTTGAACTTTGTGTATCTACAGTATAATGCTAGCTAATTCACAGAGTCAAATGAGAAATTTACACTCAAAGAGAGATGAGAAAAAAATGATAATTTCAATTAATAAAACTTTGCTCACATTTTCAATCAAAAGCGAAAATCATCCATCAGAGCATTTGATTATTTTAATTCTGTAGATATGGACACAAAGGCCATGTATTGATTACTTCTTAATTGAATAAAAAATTTGCTTCGTTTGCCATTAAGAGTACTTGAAAATTCAAATCGATTGTTCCATTACTGTCCATGTATACACGTCATGTCCAATAGCATATCCATTTTTGATTAAAGTCGATCATCAATCACCAAGTTTTACAGAACTTACCTGGTAAGAGGTGGGGTGGTTATGTAGAGGTAGAGCATTTGCTGGGATTGGTGCGATAGCAGTCGCAAGTTGTAGGGATTGATGACCCGTGTGATGATGATGTGTATGTGGACCTTCAGCTAGATAAGCTCCACTGGCTGCACAATACTGCAAAGTGTGGAGACGATTACTGTGTTGCACCGGTACCTGTAAACAATTAATGTATAGTGATCATAAAATGAAAACATCGGTAGAACTTGGTATCAAGACAATTTTCAATTTCTGCAACTCACAAAAAATGACATAATTTAAATATATGTGTAGGAATATCTCAATTAGTGGGTCACATAAATAAAGTCCATGCATCTGAAAACAAATAACTGGCTAACTAATCCCATACCCGACATGGACTGGTAATCAGACGAAAGGCCACGGTTCGCCATATAATTAGGCCGCCTTACACGCATAAATTTATTCTCAACCATAATTTTTTTTAATAGACAAAACAAAAAAATTTTTTTTACTTTAAATATAAATTTTTTCCAGCACTGTTGAAAGTCTGTTCTTTTAAGTCACTACTTACCAAGTTAATTCCAGTAGCATGATGGTGAATAGACGCCGGTGTGTAGGTGTGGTGTTGATGACCCATTGTAGCTGCCCCATTGGGTAAGATGTGGGGTGGCACAACATGATGCCCATTACCTCTGGGTAAAGTATATTGTGGGTCCAGAACAGGGTGCGGAGAACGAGATGGAATTGCCGATTGTGTAACGATAGCTGCACTCGGAGAAAAGGCGGCTGGGTGCAGTAATGGGGTCTGGGTCACTGGTTGATGTATGAGGGTGACAGGTTGATGGATACCAGGTGAGTGAACTGTGACTCCAACAGGCTGATGGGGTCTAACCCCATTGTCAGACTAAAAGAAAAATTGTTTTTATCAAATATGTAGGAACAATATCTCATAGTGATTGAAAATGTGAGCCTAAGTGTGCTGGTGAAACATATCAAAAATATACGATCAATTGCAACGCTAACGTACTGACTGACCTGCAGCATGACAACTTTAAGTACGCTATGCAAAATAAGACAAATTCAAGTCTTCCTAAGCAAGGTTAATTTCAAAAGTAGTAGTAGCCAATCCACTATCAAAATCAAGTTGTTAATACAGATCGAGTATAAAAAAAAATTTTTGATCAAATATCGTCTTACTAGTTTGGATCATAGAAATTTCACCAATGTCGTCTCGCACAATGAGTTAGAACAAATAAAATTACATTAAGAAGTTCATTTTATTTGTAAGTTTAAAATAATTCACCTGGAAAGTGACCACACTCGTTGGATGAAGTACCATCCCTGTAACTGGAACAGCCATACTCGGTCCACCTGAACATAACGCAAAAATTATTTGAATCTAAATTTCCACAATCAATTTAACTGTTGTAAAAATTATACAGATCTTTGATATTAACACACAAAAGATAATTGTATATTTCAATTGAACTAGATTGTATTCGAAAGATAAATTGGAGAAATGAATAAAAATGATTATAAAATAAAGAAATGCTGAATTGTTGTGTCCCCCTGTTATTCTATCAGAATGACGAATCTGTAGGTTCTCAAAGCTAAGATTAAGGTGAAGTTTGGAATTTGGTTATTTAAATAAAAACTAATTCTGGATGCCTGATTTATGAAATGTTACTTATTTTGTGTAAAATTTGCCATTTGCGCTGTAAGAACTATCCATTATTGAAATATTAGAAATCAAATTAAATTCTTAGAATTCTGAGATATTAAAATATTCCCATATCAACTACCTAATTCTGAACAGAATATCAGAGAATATTGAGCAAAAATCAATAACCAACTTACCTGTTGGTACTTGTATAGAAGGATATGGTTGTGGTTGCTGTTGCATATTTCCAGCAACAGACGTTGGCACCACATATTGTGGTGGACTCGGGTTCCTCGATTCTCTGTTGTGAGTCTGCAAGATGAAATATAATATGATTAAAATCATGAATAGGTTAGAAAGATGAAAAAAAATTCGTCATGTATAATTAGAATATCGAAATTTGGTCTTCTACATTTGGGAGTAAAATCTTTGTACGAGTATAGCATATCATTGTTGAAAAGGGGAATGAATTATGATTTCTACTTCGAAATGGAACAATCATATAATTTAGTTGTTGTCCAGCATTTATTAAAATTCCCATTTCTTTTCAGAGTGTAGGTATTTCAGATTAAATGCAAAAAAGGACAGGCACAATTTCAAAAAATCCTGCCCAATGCGTCAACCTGGAACTTTGACTTAAACATAAAATCTGTAATCATCAAAGACAGGTACCAAGGGCTAAAACACACAAACCTTTTCATGGAGCCACTGCCATTTTCTAGCAACTTCAAATAAAACTTCAGGATACACACCGCCACCTCTACCAGCTTGTTCTACAGCAATATTTGCCTTCTCTAGCATTTCAGTTCCCTAAAAAGAACAATGTAAGATAAAGAAAATAAGGAATATTGGAATATAATTTACATAGAAATTGTGATCTATTTACTGATATTTTCCTAAAGACTCCTAAAGTTTACAGATTGAAAACATTCTATGAATAGAACATATGATAGTCATTGTCAAGAACAGACTTTGATTATGGCTGCGCAGTGATGGGATTGAGTTCTTGAGAACCTTTACTTGGAATGTCGTGATAATCAGCGGAACGGCCCTTGGTGTTTTGAATGTTGGACGGCCACAGTAAAAAGTAACGTTCACCGCAGATGATGACTAGCGCTATATGTGGTGTTTCAAAAGCTATGTATAAGATTTATGTAAGCATGTCATGGATACGTAGTGATATACATTAGTAAATATGATGTTTAATAAGTTCTTATTATGTAATCGTATGCCACGTTATTGTATAGTTTAGGCCAGGGCAGTGGTGATGGGAAAATATTTGCACCTCAATGCCCCAAAAGGGAAAAACGCACTTGATCCAACTAATTTTGCTCTCATGAATATGAGTGAGTGAAGTAATTTTATTTGTTCTCATTTTTTTCTTGTGGAACGGCTTATGTCGCATTTTTGAGTCGTCTCTAGCTAATCTTCATTCAGCCTTGTTGGAAAATGAACTTTGCCCAAACCAAATCATGATTGTCTTATATATTATTACAACACCAACTTTTTTTGCAGCAATCAATGAGGAAAAGATGTCTTTGAACAAAGACATTAAATCATAACATAAATCTACAAAATACCTGCTCTCTACATTGTAGCAATGCACGTTGGACCTCATTTGGATTAACTGCATGTGCATGTGGGAGAACACTGAGTGCAAGTTCTGCAGCCACTTGAACTGTAGTAGGATCTCTACCGTGAGATGCTCTGTCAGCCAAACTTATGGTTTCAGTTGGGGTAAGATGTCCTTCCCAAGAATCGACTAGAATTTGTAAAGCTGCACTTCCAATTTCCATGGCCTGACCTGAAATAGAGCGTAATGATAAGAATTTTAAAAAAAATTGAAATGTCGCATTATATGGTTTTAATCCTATATCATTAAACAAAAGGTTGTCAAAGTTCATAAAAATATACCGACAGTGTTTGTGATAGCTTTTGAATGCCAAACAAACAGTATCAAAATTGTCAATATATTTAGTAGACATTTCGGTACTCACATAGTATGTGTACCAGGTTAAGGTTAGGCCATAATTTCATTCCGATTTTAGTTCTAATACGAGTTCAGAGACTGTCTGTGTTTAGACAAAATACCCCCTGCCCATAGGCTTCCATCCCTTTACACAACTTGATGTAAAGTAGGCGAACAAAATTAGTTACCTCCATACTGGTACACACACTTCTGTAGCGCCGACATTTCAATAGTCGTGATGAAAGAGGTGTATTTATGACGCATTCTCATAGTTTTTAACCCCATAAGGTTTTTTAAATTCCGTCAAACAATTGTCAACAATGATTAGCTTATATCTTCCAGTGGCGGCGTAAAGGACATTCAGTAAACTTTACCTGTAATCCATGACACATGAGATGAATATGTACGACTGAGCCAGTTAGGTGAAACACAATTGTGCATCCCAAGAGCATAAAGTCCAATTTCAAATGCAGCTAAAAGTAAGTTGCGATTCACTCCTCCTTGTGATGAATTTTGTGGCTAAAATGAAAAATAATCTTGTGTATAAACCCTATATAAAAAAATATTCGTAACCAATATGATAAGCAAACTAAATGTGCAATAAGTCTACTCTAAACATTCTCTCTGTTGCAATTGAGAAATAAATACTTTCTCTCGACAAGTCAACAAGATCATTTTAAAGGCAGAATGACAAACCTGCATGAACAATGATGTGCTGCTATTTCCACCAGCTTTTACCAAGACAGTCTTAGCGAGTTCAAAATAAAAATGAGCAGATGCTTCAGATGGTTGGTTCGGTACGTCAGGCACAACAACAGCATTTCTTCCACGATTCTGAAACAAAAACATAAAGTGAGATACTGTATAATGAGTGCGAACAAGAATGGTGAGTCAAGAAAGCAATAGAAATGTATAGAATCGTATACATCATGATAAAGCAAGAGTGTACATTGAAGTCTTGTACATGATGTCTGCCCAAAAGCTCTATACAGAAAAGGCCATTCATTTTGAAATTGGGACCATATATCCATCCCTATTGCTAACCAGTAACCACCCTAGTATTTCAAGTTAAAAAGTTCCATTATGTAAGGATTGATTAAAAAAAAAAAAATTTAGCAATGTAACCCATCAGCACATCACACATACTAAGTTGAAGGCAGCATGATAAGTAGGTCAAGGATTTTATCAAGATCAATATCAACACCTAGAGGATGAAAGAGATACCACAGGGGGCATAGAAATATTTAAAATAGCTCATTCCTGAAAAGTCAGAATTATCGCAAATTTTTGGCTTATGGATTGCGTCTGATCAAAATTTCTCAAATATTAGGAAAAGTCCACCAATCTTACCCAACTGTACCATTATTACTAATAAGTATACTTGTTTATTCTGATGATATACAGTGCTGCAAAAGGGCAATGGAACATAAAATTTTTAGATCAACTAGTTTGAACAAAAGAATTACTATTCAAAGAAAAATTGAATAAAATTAATTCAGGTTTAGAATATTCTAATGATTATAATAAATTGCAAACAATATTTTTAGAATGAAATATAAAACAAATATGAAAATTAAAACAAAAAAAACAATTGGGTACATAGCAACATAATATTACCTTCATTCTGAAGTTGTTTCCGGGCCTTGATTTTCCACCTGATCCAACCACTGTAGTGGTATGTTGCCCAACCATCTGTTGATATTGCTGTGGACTGCTGCTTGCAGGTACATGAGCTATCGATGACTGACCACTTGGACCAGGTTTATCAGATAGATCATTACTTTCAGAATCGTCACTTTTTATTGAATGATTGCTTGAACTAAAAAAGACAGTAATTGGTTGGATCAGTGTTTCTCAAACTGTGTTCTGTGGAAAATTACTGTTCCGTAAACTTCTTCAGAGTGTTCTGCGGAACAAGGATTGAAATTGCGACTAAATTGGTCGCCATGGCGATCTTGGTTGTTCTTCTGTGACTCTAGGTATTAAATTTGTCCCCCAACTGGTGATAAACAGACAGACAGGCCTTGTGCCAGTCTGGAAAGCATGGAGTTTCACCTTCTAATTTTTTGGTGTAATGTTAGGCGAGATAAAAAGCGTAGGTGTACTGAGGCAGAAAAAGTTGGGTTAGGTAATTGATGGAACATGCTTGTCATAGCACCACTGATTACCACCTGTGGGAGTAGTTTTAATTCCAATGGAGAAAATTATGTGCAAGATGATTAATGCTGGATTCCTCACTTTCACAACCACTGGTCGGATACAGCCTCCTCTTTCACAATGGAGGTTGAATTTCTTCATATGCATATGGATAACCGAATAATTATTCTCATAATCAATCTGGACTGACAACCAGAGAGCAGGGTTAATATGATTAGGCTGTTTATTAACTGACTATTCGACTATCGACAAGAAATTCTCAACGATTCTTCATAACAAAAAAATGTCATTCGAGTTGGCTTTCATAATATGCAGTTGATGAGCAACTGACTAAAAACTAATCTGTCATATCCATACTGTTGCTGTTGGTATAACAGTGATAAAACTATTCAATTTAATGATACAAAATCAACTCTACCTATCACTACTAGGACTCGGTGGATATCTGGACATCCAAGTTGATGATGATGTTGTTGGTTTATTACTAGCTGTTGATGCTCCAGATCCAGATGATGGGACAAGAGGTAAATGTGCTGCATGTCTTCTCGTAAGTCGAGGTGACGTATCACTCAACATTGCTTCTTCAGAAGCTGAGCTGTTCACATTCGTTATGCCTAAGTGATGAAAAAAAATGTTCATTCGAGCAAAACTTCATTGTTTAGTTTCAAAAGCAAAAAATCAAAACTTGAATAAAATGCAGACTTTGGTCTTTTCACTTAAAATTTCTCTATTCAGATTGTAAGATATTCATACTGAAATAATTTAATAAATATGTCTCCTAGATTTTCGCTCTATCCCCAATTTGAACATTCTAAATTGTCTTGTGAAGCAATGTCCAATATGGCGAAATAAATCATAATTTTTCGAATAAAGAAATACTTATATTTACAACAGCACATTTTCTGAATAAATTCATTTCATACATTTTTAAACCTCCATAATGGCCAGGAAGTTGAAATGAATTTTTTTGATGAAAACTGGTGATAAAGTGAAAAGAGGGACATATAAAATTTGGAAGGAATTCATTCCAATATATACAAAAAATGTTTATGTATAATATGTCTCCCACATGAAAGTGGAATATTACTGAGAAGTAATTACAACTGCTGCATTGCGATGATTTTCCTATAATTGTACAGACTTACAATGTTGCCTTCTCTTTGGTCTCACGGTTGGAGATCTCCACGACTGTTTACCATCTCTACGTTGAGGGCTGCAAACATTAGTTGGATATTCTTCATCACAACTAGACGATTTGATATCTTCGTTTCCGCTGTCGACTCTCAATTGTTTATGTAGCATGGATGACATTGTACTATCCGTATCATCTGTTGAGAAGGAGCAAAATTTTGAAATGTAACAAACTCATATAGATTTGATTTAATACCGATATAAGTTTGAATGACTGAATTTGTGATAGCACAGCCGCACAGGTCATATTTATCCTAGAGAAGAGGAAAGTCAATAGAATAGATGACTCAATCATATGGCAAACCACAGTTTCTCGTCCATGTTCCAGACCAACCAAGACTTGTATGGGAATAGTTAAGCCAGTTATTTATTCCAGATCCATGGACTTGGTGGCAGTTATACTACAACGGTGAGAAGTCCAGCCATCCCCAGGAACATGCAAACCCACAGAGTGATAACAGGTGAAATGTCAAGCGCACTCCCTAACACAATTAGCCAAATGGCAAGACAACCTTATTGGAGAATTCAAATGGACAATGACTTAGCTACAAAAAATAGATGAATTTATTTGTAGGGGGTTAATTTTCAAAACATAAAAGTCATCTGTCCATCTACGGTACGGTGGTTATGGAAACCATACTAAAAATGAACAAAAAACATTGCTGAAAATTTCTTTACCTTTACTACTAGCAGGTTGTGATCTGGAATCATCTTCCTCACTACTGTCATCTGCTTGAGCTGATGAATTTGAATCATTTGCGACCTTGGATATGAAAAAGACATATAAATCATCATGAAACGTTTGCTGATACTGTAAACATAGATTTTATACTGAAATGCATGGAAGGAAAAAATACATAAGCAACAATTTTTTATAAGAGCATATGCCTGTGAAAATTTGAGACGAGGGTATAGGCACCTTGACAGTTTAAAATTAACGGTAATCGAAAAACTTGAATACACAGATAAAAAAAATGCTACAATTATCAGTCAAAGTTGCAGGTATTACATATCATAATATTTTCTGACTTAACATAAATATTCAAAATGGAAATGACCATAAGAAAATACTATATATACAGGGGAGCAAGCCAGGATTATTTGTATAGGGCGGAAGACTTTACACTGAAATTAAACAAGGCGTCAAAAGAGAAATTTGCGATGCATATAAGTAAATAAGTAGATAGATGATTAAACCTTACTCTGTAATTATGACGATGAACAACCGAGGTCTGACAGACTGTACAATACTTGGAGGGTGGACCAGGTGATATCAAATCAGTCATAGGTTTCGGTAGATTTACCGGAGAATTTGCAACTGGTACAACTGGTGTCGCCGGTGTCGTAGTTACCGGAGCCTTCGGTTTTCTACTGAAATATAAAATATGGAAGGTTTGATGAAGAAAAAATGACAAGAACCCTATAATTGGTGGTGATAAACTCCTGCCATGCATCATGGAGATATTATGTTTACGCTTATTCACGTCCACAAGCAACCACTGACATTTTATTGCTATGTAAGACGCTGCTATTATTTGTAAGAACAGATTATTTTTGAGCCTACCCAATTAAAACGCCCTGGCTCACCCAGGGGGCATGAGATTTGAACCAAGATGTGTAATCTGCGACATCAACACAGTTGAGTCCAATGCTTTTCAATTCTCAACCAAACCCTGGTGAAGCATAATGATATAAGTTCACCTATTACTAGACAATATCTCTTTTTTCCCTCTTTGACTTTTTTGACAAGTATAAAGATAATATAATATGTGTATTCATGCCAGACTCTCACACAGACATGTACGATATAATATATTGTATAACATATGCAAATACCTGTATAAATATGATGAGGTATTATGGTTATAATAACTTGATGTAAATGAATCTCCAGTAAAAGCAGATTTCGCTTGTAAGTTCGGAGCCAATGTTTTATCCAACAACTTGTCGAGAATCTGAAATATTTCATTAAACATTTCATTTTTTTATCTCCTATATTTAATATATAGTAGATGAGATAGATTGATGGTGAATCATCATGCCCTGACAAAGATAGCACTAAAATTAAAAGACATATATCTTTTCATATTAACAAAAATCTAAAAATACCTCTCGCTATAATATGTTAAATATTGCAGGACAGCCTACTAACACAGCTATGTGTTGTGGTCATCTCTAAACCTACAGCAAAATTATTGGATTCCTATCCTATTAAGACATCATGATGAATGAGATCAGAGACAAAACTATCAGTTGTAGATAGATAGTTCCAAATTTTCCTATCAATATTCATACGAAAGACAAACATATGATCAAGGCATCAAACTTCTGTCCTCTTTCCAAGGAATAAATACTCAATATATAGCACTTGATATAGCACTTTGCAGAAGTCCCGCTCTCAAGGTATTAGTGAAAGGAAGTTAACACTCAAATATATGTAATATTCACCATTTTAATTTTGGAGTGTACATTCTTATATGATACAAGCAACAGCAGAGCAAGCTCTCCCTTTTGACGTCGAGTTCCTTCACACAAAAGTGGATGCTCTGCCTCGCTGACATTCAGCTAAATTTAAAAATGTGTAATGTCATTTCTAAATAACAGAGAGTGAGTCTTAAGATAATGTTCACTCTGGAGTATGATTAGAAGTCAAGAATTGAATTTGTAATATAAAAATTTTCTCAAAACTCAACAGCCTTGTCACAAATATATTATGAAACCCAGGCGACAAACTCCGAAGACATGTCCACAATAGCAGTCATATTTCCTTATGCTCAGCCAATTAGCAGCACAACAGCATAGAAAATAAGCTTAAACTTAACTTTGTTAGCATCGCAGATTAAGTTTACCTTGTATCCCAAAGCAGTCACAGAAGCCAAAAATCCCAATTCTTGATCTTCTTTTGATATTTCAGTCTCATGAGTTGAATCTGAATTTGTTTCACGAAATTTTTTGTCTTTGTTAGATGAAACACGATCTGCAAATGTCGATTCCAAAATTATTTTTTCGTTGTTTTGTTATACCAAAAAGCATTTTTATGTAGCTGAGAGATTCTCCGTATAACAAATATATTACTATATAATAACATAATGAATAAACACAAAATACAGTGATACCTTGGTAAACAAAACATAATCCAGACCAAATCGATGTTCGACTACCGATTTGTTCAAGTATCGAAAGTTTTTTTGCCATAAGGGACAATTTTATTATTTTAATTCGTTCTTACGCATTCCAATATACCCAAAATATTAACAAAACGTGTATCTGAACAAAAATAATTATTTAAATGTGTACATATTCAAGATTAAACATGATAAAGACAAAAGAAATTTGTAACAGTTACTGTAAGTTTGGACAAATTTCTGTGGGTTCTATGGGCTTCTTTTATCAAGCTTAGATTACAGAAAGCTCTTGACAATTTAAAAAAGCCATCATAAACATGTTTTTAAGTAAAAGTAACCAATATAACCTATTCAAAAATGAATGAAATAATTTGATGAATGTTTCACATATTCGATCCACTCTTTCAAATTAAAGTAGGCCTACTATTGAAAATATCTAATTACATATTAGCTTAATTTATACATAATTAAAAAATTATCAGTTAGTCATAGATAAAAAAATTATCTTACTTGGCTGACACAGAGCATCAAAAACAAACATTGTGAGATGAAGAGGAAGAACATGTTGCACGCTCGATCGATTTGCAAATCCGTTATAATTTTCTTCATATGCGATCAAGCATTGCGCTTTTTCTCTCAAGATCGAAATTTCATCAGGTCCGAGAGGAAGTTTCTTCATTATATTTGTGAGCTGAAGTTGCTTGTGAAACAACTTCACCTGGAAGCAAAGAGAAAAAAAGTTAGACATAAGCAAAAAAATATGTTCCAACCTTTAATACAATACCGGTACAAACATATACAGTGTGACCCAAAAATAACAAAAGTCATTTGGAACATATTTTAGAGAGATCATAACTTTTGTGTGAAGTGTCCTAGATTACTGGAACTTTTGAGTATAATCCTACACAAACAGAAAATCATGTTTCAAAAAGATTTTCTTCATTTTCCTAGAGGGTTTGGGGTCAGCCTGTACCTCGCAGTAAAAGAACTCATAACAACTACCCGCTACACATCAAAGATGAGATCAAATATTTAAGGCAAATTCAAATCCATTAAGTGGTTTCACAAAAAAAATCACATAGAAACATCTCTTGACTAGTGTTAGAGTCCCAGTTTCCATAATATCATTGGTGTTAGCATTTGGTAGTAGAAATAATTTATTCTTCAATATGCTCCAAAATGATTTTCTTTCCTATTGGCCATTGGGCTTATTATTCAAACTCTTGTTATGTAAAAAGATGCATAATGCTGTACAACTGCATCATAATCCAGCCTATTATAGACAAGATTAGATGCTCTTGGCTCCCATAACAACATAATCACCATTCGAATCAGGGGGCATTCCATCTGTTATTACCGATTTGGAACACAGGGAGCATTTTAATGAGCAAACCAGTAAAATGGTTCAACTCATTATAATACTATCACCCAGAATAAGAAACCTTTTTGAAAAGGATTATCACAAAGGTTCCCAATCTTTTTTCAAACAATGCTAATTTTTTTTTAAAATAAATTTTGTAAAATCTTGCAACCCAGCGAGACTACTAAACGACATTTTATAGCCGTAAAAAGTGAGAAAGCTGTCTTTGTTTGCCATTATCGAGTTTTTCAAATTGTAGAGTGGCTTTACTTCAGCAAAAGAAATGCTGCCGCGTTATTAAGTTGTGATACTTACAATTTCCCACATATACAGTTACTGAAAAGCGACCCAAAAGTGTTTCCATGCGACCCAACTTTGGGTACAGACTAAAGATATGAACATAAAAAATTAACACTAAGAAAGATTTTTGACAACTATGCCATCTTCTCTAATATAAAGAGACAAAATTGGCCATAAAATTTACTTTTATCGAAATCAGTAATACTCACTTCCATTGCTTTACTACTCGCTGGTAATCTCTCAAATTCTAGTCCATAAAGTCCAATTTGAAAAGCAAGTAATCTATGAGCCGGATGTTCAGATAAAACATTGCAGAGAAAGACAACTCTATCAAAAGTTTTGAAAGCATATTCCGTGCATGCCCTGATCCAACTTCTATTGCTAGTCTGAAATGAAATAAGGATATTATATAATGAATTGGAAAGCCAGGAATTTGAAATTAATGGCCCAATTTTCTCACATTTTGCAATCTTTATATTTTCTTTAAAATATAAATCACAATATTGCATCACACTTTTTTTCAAAGTGGTTGGATTGAAAAGATTTTCCCTATCCGACCAGATTTGTTCCAATTATGGCATTTTTTCTCTAAACAGGATTCGTAACAGCAGCACATTGAATAGAATACTTAAATAGTATACAATTAACAAGTAAAAATAACAAGGAGTAGAATTCACTCCCTTAGTTATCTTAAATGCCTCGTTACCAAAGTAATAAACAGTTTTTCTCAATGAGGGGACAATTTCGCAAGAAAAAAAACTAAACTCTCTAAACAAGGCACTGTAAGAGCAGCACATGAAGTGAAATTCTTTTGTATACAAGTAACAAGAAAAACAGCCAATAATCCTTATTTCCAAAATCCTTACCGGATTGGCAGCGGTTTCATTGACTAAATTTTCTGGATTATTCAAAAGTTCATTAGCAAGTTTGACTGCCATCTCACATGCTTTAGTTGTATATCCATGAACGTAGAGACTCTCAGCCCTAGAATAAAGAAATTAAGGAGGTTGAATTAAAATTCGGAAACATTGCAATCATAATAACAAATAAATCATAAATAATTTTTCAAAAAAGCAAGAATATTTTGACCCAGAAAACAGAACCCATCAATTTTTTATTGTACTTCTACGAAAATGAAGAAAATTCATTAAACACTTGTATGTTTTTGTATGATTGTAATCAAAAGTTTCAGTATTCTATGAAGCTTTGCACAAAAGTTGGGCTTTCTTTAGAATATGTTCCAAATGACCTAAGTTCTGTTTTTTGAGTTGCCCTGTAGAACTAAAACTAATGATTTATTAAACAGAGCCAACAAAACCAAAAATAAAGTAGTCCAGACCAAACCAAAATCATTTTTCAATCCATGAAATGGTTAAAATGGCAAAATGTGATTGAAATATCAGAATTTCTTGCTGCTTCTAAGAAGTGAAGATTTTAAAAAATCAAAAAAATTATTCACCTTGAAAACAAATAATCAAGTTCTTGTCTGTAAACAGTCATAACAGTCTCTTGATCTGTTTTTGTGATGAAACATTTCTTTGGAGACATAACCACTCCTGATGACAATTCTAAAAATGTGTAAAAGGAAAATAGTCAACGTTTTAACAATGATTAAAAAGTCAAAAAAGATTTGCATTTAGTTTTGTATGGATAATACATAACTAAATGCTGAATTTCTAACAATAAACATGTTCAGATGTTTTTTCAAAGCTGTCTAAAATGATTTGTTTCATAACAAAGGATATTTGATGAAAAAAAATTTTGAAATATTTTCTGATCAGCATTTTAATTCAATGAACACTTTCTATTATTAAAAGCATTTTGCAGCTGTTGAAGAAGTCAATTTCTCTAGCCAGGCCCGCTTAGAAAGGGCTGTTGTGTAAAGTCACCACAAACAGATAACAGAACTGCTTGGTCATCAAACTCTTGACTTCTTCTTTAAAAACAGCACATGATTACCATTGGTCCATTACATTGACTGACTTATCAAAGAATTTAATAGATAAAACCAGCTGGACACAAAATCCAGAATAAGTCATCAACTCCTGTAACCTCCAGTCAAAATATTCCTGGTTTTATCACTGTCAAACCTGATCCAGGATTGAGGGTACAAAATAGTAGGTGGGTGAGAATCCGGGAGAAAAAAAACATACCACTCCCTATATGTAAGTGTATGTAGGAAAACAAAAAAGTGTGTTACAAAAATAAGATCAACTAGAAAAATATGGAAAAAACTTTACCATTATCACTATGTATTGGAGAAGTAGAATTTCCACAAGTACAAATGATATGTCTGCACATGTTTATACATGAACCTCCATCCCAATCAAAATCACACGTTTTTATTGCTTCCTTGAATCCAGGAAACAAAACAAGATGATTTTCTTTATATCTGAAACGAAGTAAATGAAGCTAAATACTCAGTTGACAGTATATATTGCACTTCATAATATGCAAGGAAATCTAACATAATATTTTGAGATAATGTGCTTGGAGCAAAATCATGCACACTCAAACATAGATAAAGAACATTTGTCAAATTAGGTATAAAAATGAAAAATAAAAAAATAAGGCATTTTTATAACTATTTGAATCAGAGGTGGGCAATTACTTTACTGAGCCAGTTGCAGATAATAGACTTAGTTACCTGGATGGAGGCTCACAGTCTATTTACAATTAACTAGCGTCAATAACAATCTGTCTGCTCGTTTCACTAATGCAAATCAAGGCAAGAGATGCAGTAAATAACACTAGAATATTAGCAAATGACTTAAGTACAGACGGTATAATTGGATTCAAGTACTGAAATTGATGTACCGGACAGAAGGAAAGAACATGTGTTGCAGCATTCGCGGCCAAATGGAGAAGTCCTTGAAGGTAGCTCTCTTACGTAATTTGCAGGCCTGATCGCTGATATATTAGGCGCTAGTCGTGGCAGAGACGCTAGAGTTTCGGAATGACATATATAATTTGGATGGATAAGTTTGGGGTATATGTGGCTCGTTTTGCATATTATATTCAGGTGCGGAAAATATGTGGGGAAATTACGGTCTTTATTTTAGCCGTTGCGACGTTTTGTTATCTTTAGCAATATTTTCATTATCAATATTACAATATAAATATAAACCATAGTCATAATTGCAGCCAGATGAAACACATCAGTGGCCCGTGGGCCATAATTGGCCCACCCCTCATTTAGATGATAGATATTAAAAATAAATGAAATATAGACCTCAATAAAAAAAAATTGCAACATTTTGTAGAGATACTTTTTGCAGACAAACATGAGACTTTTTATAAGAGCATGTTATTAGGTCAATAACTCAAAAAACAGCAGTTAATTAATAAACCATTCATTTATCACCAAATTGGTCAATAAAAATACACAAACACAGCCATAATTGGTAGATATCACAATTGCATAATGTCATATCTAAATTCTCAAACACGACTTATGATGCCCAATACATTACCACGTAGATATTTCAAACAGGAAACATGTAGTAATAGTAAAAACACAAGCTTGTATTACGTGGGTAGGGCCATACAGATTGCGCGTGTCAGATTACATAATTTTTACAAAAAGAGTTGCTTCGGACGCCACAAACAATTGTGAAAAGATATTTATTTCAGAGGTTTCAAATTTCTCCTACAAAATTCGTATACGAGACAGACCAAAAACATTTCATGTATTGTATTGAGAAACTCGATATCCGAGACATGAAAAATATATAGATCGTTACAAAAGTAATCAGCTGAGCAGTAACTAAGATAAGATATCATGAAAGTAGACTAACCACTATTGTTAACTGAATGGATCAGCTGAATTGACCTTATATTAACAATGCTACTATTGCACAATACAATATGGCGAACTAACCATTGTATGGACATAATAATAATACTGATGCATGCAATATGGTATTTATAAATTAAAAATTACAATATGGCACCTGACAAATGGATTTCCCTCCTACCATATCTTATACATTATTATAAATCAAAAAATGTAATACACAAAAAAACAAAAAACAAGACTTGAGAAAAGATTGTGGAATAGTTTGAAAATTAGATATTCATGGAAACTTTCTAGATTTCAGGTATTTAAATCATTGTGGCTCTATTAAAATTTCTGCATTGAGTTATGATTTATGCAAAATTTTAGTTCAAGTCCAATTTTGCATGTATAAGTTCGCTGTTTCTTCAATACAGAATGCCAAATGTCAAAATAATGAAGTATACAGATACAAAGATTACTATAAAAACAGAAATAAAGTGTTTTGTAAATGAAAAATGAGAAAATGTGTCAAATACCCTGACGTTTCCATAAAGAAAAAAAATCAGCAAGCAATTCATCTAACAATGAAAAACTATGTCAAATAACTTGAGGTTTTTATAAAATAGCAGCAAGTCAAAGACAATACTGCAACCCAGCATTGAAACATTCACCATTATCATCAAACATGTGAAGATTAACTGAATTATGATTGTAGACAATAGGTGACAAATATTCAACTAAAATACAAATATTGGCCACAGAAACACTTACTTTCCCCTTTTAATGATGTTCAGAGTTTTGTCGTGAAATTGACGTAATCTGACTTTCAATTCTTCCTTTCTGCTTCTTTGAAGAGAGGGATTCAACAAAACCAATCTCCACAATGAAACAATCTTAAAAAATAACATAGAGATCAGTAGGAGTCGAAATTTGAAGTTCTAATCTAGAGCAAGGTGGACAGCCGAGAACTGGCGGAACGCTGTCTGACATCAGACCTTATGACTTTGAGTAATTGATTTGGATCGCATCAGATTCTTTATTTTTGGAGCATTACCCATTAATTAGTATTATCGTGTATTCGGAAGTTTTTTTTTTAATAATCAAATTCGTTCACGGTTTATAGCATTTTTTTAACATTATCTGTTTTGCGTATACTCAGTTCCCACACACCGTTTTTCCATTAACATCTTCAGCTCGAAGTTGGAGGCACTATTTGAGCGCACTGTAAAATGTATTTACTGCAGAATACTGGACCACAGTAATGTCGAAGCTTTGTATACGAATTTTTGATGGAAATAGTTTTGTAATTCTGATCAATAGTACCTCGTCACATAGGGTTGCAGCCGCATGTTGAGCAATTTCAGAGTTGATATTGTTAGCAGGTCTGTGTGATGAATGAGATCCACCTCCACTATGCAAATGTGCAGCTGAAGTACAAGTATTGTACCACCACACAGCAACCTGAGAAAAGAAATTTTATTTTAGTAACAAATTTACTTGAAAAGTAATGGCCAATGTGATTGTGGATAGATCTTATGGTAATTAAAAGTCCAAACAGTACAAATACTTAGAATTACTAAAACAGAGTGATCCTAAAAACAATTACTTCTATCAAAATTAAGCAAATATAATAAACACTTGAACTTTTGTTTGCATATGATTGTACCCAAAAGTTTCAGTAATCTAGTACGCTTCGCACAAAAGTCATTTTTCCCTAAAATTTATACCAAATGACCTAAGTATTGTAATAGATAGATACAATACGTCAACTATTGTAAAGCAAAAATTGTTTCAAAACCAAAACAAATTCTTTTTAATTCTACTATTTTTCAGCTTTGATGATCCACCTGAATAGTTTGTGACCGTGTGGTATTATCTCTATTCACATTCAAATAACAAACTTTTTGTAGAAGAGAATTACATTACCTGTTCAAAAGCTAAACATTGCTCTGTAACAACATCAAGCAGCAATATTGCATTGCAGTCTCTTCTTCTCAACATCTCTCGAACAATACTAAGTAGATTCCATATTCCTTCTGGCTCTCTTCCCCTATAAACATAGGTTGAGATTGAGAATAGAGGGTGTAGAATCATATGAAGAATATATAACTTGAACAATATTGACAAATATAGAGACCTTTATACAAATCATTAGTGTGAAAGACTTCATAAGGAAAACAAATTTGTAATGCTAAAAACAGTTCACAAAATAGTTTAATTTAGAGTACAAGCCAATTCCACTGCACAAAAAAAATTATAAAACATATTGCAAAATGTATTAGATTTTCATATAACACTTTACCAACCAAGTAACATTTTGAGAGATATTTTATTATAACGTCGACTATCTTTTTTCATACAATATTTTGGGAAAATATTGCACATGTAATTGGACAATTTAATTTGACTAGATAGCGATAAACTTGCTTCAAATCTAACCCATGTAAACAACTCTATGATTTATATATTGATTATAGAATAAAGACCATGTATATTGAAAATATCGGTTCATATTTTATCTGGAAACATATATAGAACTCAGTGTTCAATGTTTCAAAAATACAACAGCAATTAAACAGTCAAATCAATGAAGTGCAAACCTAAGTGGCCTGAGCAGACTGGAGTACTCGGATGCTGCAGGTGGTTCCGTCGAAGACAAATAAAGCGAGTTGACATCGCTGTAAACAATAGGTGTCGGTCCACAAAACTTAACCAATGTTTTCTTGATATTATCACTGAGAGCTGCTTCATCAAGACACCAGATACTGATATCAGATAAACTTGGTCCAGCAGTCGGATCTTAAATTCAATGTAAAATGATATTTTGGAACAGTAATATTAGACAATAACATGGATAATCATATGAATTAACTAGAAATTGCTACTGTATGAAGTTTAAAATAAAATATAAGATAGGGCAATGTATATCAAGTCTCAACACATTTTCGTTATAAGTAATAATCCTTTGGCGATTGGGACAATAATTCGAGGGTTTTGACCCAAAAGGTCGTGAAACCTTAAAAAGCTGTTTTGAGAAAATGAAGAAAATGTAATTTCTCGACAACTTCTTAGTATAATACTTGGGTGAACATGACTTTAAACTATTATTTGATACTAGGGACTAGGCATAATTTTTGTCGATATTGACACTTCATTCTATTTAGTTTACCACATACCAAGTATTTAAATCCCAAATATATTGTGGCAAAAAGGCGAATACCCAAGTTTCCCTCTCATTTTTGCCTTTGTACCAATGAGAAGGGGCAAATAAGCCCTTTTTCAAAAAAATTCATTACTGCATCATAGTTTTGTGAAAAGATGATTTCTAAATAGTGATAGAGTGTGAAACACGATGACACTCGACTATTAAGGACTTGATGACAACATGTCATTCAAATATAATAGTTCAACCTCAAGGTGGCAAGAAAAAGATAACATCACATCGTAGTAGCCTATATTAAAAAGTGCACTGAATTGGAGCGCATTTTTGTAAACATTAGTAATCTTGGAGCAATCAATTTAAAACTTTGCTCAATTCACAATTACCTAAAAACTGCCACAAAGAAAGACAAAATTTTTTTACTTGTGCAAGAAGCACACATTAAAATAAAAAGATTTTCTAACAAAAATAATACAGAATTATAGAATGACATTTAGACACTACAGGTAAGAAAGCTCAGTATTTAAAAAAAATGATATAATGACAATCCTACAAGATTGGATTGTTCAAAATCTAAATCAATGGATGATAGAATTCTAGAATATTGGTATTTTGAATACTTGCATTTGAATAGCCTATGGACATCCCTGATGACAATCCTGTCTTGACCAAACTTGAAAAATATCATTGGTTAAAGTTTTTTATTCGCCACCAAAGCTGAATTTTGCAACTATACATTCCAAGGCATTTAATGATATTGAACATACCAGGAGCTCCTTGTTCTTCATTGATAGCTGTTGAGCTGGATGAAAGAAGGTCATCTAACAATCGCTGAGCTGTTGGTAGGATTTGCTGGGGTAATTCACTGATAAGATACTGAGCAAACTTCTGCAACTGATCTCGTTGTAATCTTGATAATGACTCGGACACAGGAGCTCGAAGACATACAGTATCAGGCTGAATAGTTATTGAAAAAAAATTACATAAAAAAAAATTGCTATCGGTATGTTATATATAAAGTGAAATGGCCTTGCGGTGAATGTGCTAGACTTAACCATGTCAAGTGTTACATTTACCTAAGTGATTATGGCTTATGCCCAACATGCATAGGTAACAAATTTGGATAGGCTATGCCTAGTCAAAAAAACAAGATTAATAGAGGCTGCATGACTTTGTTAATAGTGACTGTGTGAAAATTTAATAGCAAAAAGATGTTTTTTGTCTGAGAATTTTTCATTTAATACTGTGAAAAATATGAAATAATGAGGTCTCGTATTATTAAATAAACACCATATACACAATTTCACTGTTTTCAATAATTCGAATGTAATATTATTCTTTGAAATTTCAAAATATTTTCAAGCACTTAGATATGTAGTGGTTAATTAAAGCTCCTTCCACTAGTGATTGGATAATTCACAATTCCTGTCTGGCACCATTTCAGACCACAGAACCAGTTTACAAATGTTATTCATTATGATTGGAGATACCGGATTCAAAAATAACTAACTAAAAAATCTTTCTAATTGGAAATAAGATGACTCACAATAACCATGGATGGATCTCAATTAATAACAAGTTATTTAAATAGGTAATCTGATTCTATTAACCCATTTACCTGTTGAATTCTTGCCAAACATAAAGCAACTACATGAGAACACCATTTTGCATTACTGTCGCAATTGCAAGCGCATGATGTGATTCTTTGTCTGTCGAATGTTACTGCTACCAGACACCAGCCCTGGAGATTTACAATGTGCATTGTTTAGTAATAAACAAACTTTCTGACAATCATATATCACCACAATAAACAAGTGGTTTGTAAATGACACAGAAAAGAAATTAAATGAGGTCTTGACCCACTAATGTAAACACAATTGCACAGGATATAAAACATCAACAAAAGAGTCTCCTGCAACACACTGAACACATATAGTAGGTAACTTAACTTTGTAGAGTAATAAAACGGCAAAAAGTAAAAGTATAGTAATATTCAAGTTGTGTCAAAAAAGCCGTTTAATTAATTTGGGAATATAAATTACTTTGGATACATGGATTAATACTACTACTATATTATGATTATATGTAGAAATATTCGATTCTGGTTTTCATCTATTCTGAGACAGGGATAAAATCCAAATCCTGTATCCATAATATAGATGAACCCAATGGTAAAAATTATGAGAATAGAGTACAATTTTATGAATATGATTATGTACAAACACACCATGACCAATATCACTAAATAAAACATGTACTAAAAGCGTCTATATAAAAATATCACATGGGAAAATCATATCAAACACACACTATCATGCCACATTGTATAGGCAAGTGAAGCGATGACCTGTGATGAAAATTTTTAAGAAAAATATATACAGTAATGCAATTTGAGATAAACCTCTAATGACGTTTGGTTATCGAGACTCTTTATTTATATTTTAACAATGCCCTCGGGCAGTAATATAATGAACTATCCCTTGAACGACAATGGTCGGTAACTACACTTCACTGTTTCAACGTTCACATAATTAGAGTTTAAAGAGTATAGTGAAGGATAAGTCAATTTCTATGATGTTTGGAAATATCTTTAAACTACTGTATAGTAATTAGTAAAACAGATAATAATACCACACAAAATGAAGCTTGCAAAACATCGTTTAAAAAATATGACATAGATCATGATTTTCCTATTGAAGAGTCATACTAAATGATTTCCTTCGTTAGGAGTCATAGACAAGTGTTGTGTCTGCACTGAGTATTCAATAACAGACCAAGGTAGATTACGAATCAGTGATCCTAATGAAAACACTGCAGTTCAGGTTGCTTTGCAAATATACACATTTCAGAACATGGTTCTCAATTTTATTTTTTTTTCAAAATATTCAAATTTAAAAAAAAAAATTTTATGAAATCTCGCACCCCAGGAATTATGCTCAAATACTAGAAGTTATATTATGGTCGCAAAATTGAAGTACTAATACAGAGCACTCGTTTTAACATAACATTTTCTCATCAAAATTGCTCTGAAGTTGCACTAATGTGAAAGCTGCGTTTGTTTGCCATCAGTGAGTTTTTAAAATCGTACCGTGGCTTTACTTAATTAAATATAGCAAAATAGATGCTGCCAAGTTTTTACACCAGGATGCATCCAACATATACAATTATTAATGAGCAACAGTTCAGTATTAAATACAATATGAACAATAATATTTGATTGAAATTGAATACAACCACTTTAATGTTACAAGCGATCAATGATTATTTTCGGGCGACTCAACTTCAGGTCAGGACCAATACTTCGGCAAACACTGTTTTAGAATAATTTTGTTTATAATAAACTACCGGTAGTTAGTTTCTGAATCCCAAAATAACGAATTATACAATGCAATTACTAAAATCAATAGTACATAACAATACCTTGTTTATACTTGTCTGCGGCAATTGAACCGTGGCACTCAAATGAAACCCAATTTGCATAATATCAACAATACAATTATTCCGCACCAAATGTTCTCCTTTCTGAAATTCGTCTGCATTTCCGTTAGCCAAACAGGAATACAATCTGTTGCGAATATTTAAAATGGATATAACGATTTGTTTTTGAATAATGAAGAACATAAATAGAACTAGACAATATTGAGAATAAAAAAAATTTATATATGAGATTTATGAATAAACTGAAATCCATTTTTTGCAACAAAATATGGTTTTGACTAAGTAGTAGATAAAGTCCTCCCAATTATCAATAAAAATAATGAATGTTTATTCAATTTGATATTCATTGTTTCTCATGACAAGAAGAGCATGTATAACTATTTAATATTAGCTTTGGAGCAACAAACGTTTTTCACATAGGCCTATAAATAAACATCTTCAAACGGTGACTTTTTTATGAAGGCATAACAGTATGAATGGTCGAAGAATTTTGTTGAAATGAAATTTAAAATTATTGATATTCATAGAGACATTATCTTCTGAATACAGATTTTCTGTCTTTTTAAACATAATTTTCCATGATCACAATTTCATTGTGTTATCCTATGAACATTCCCATATCCCAAATACTTTAGTGTATTTTATAAATATGTATAATGATGCTGAAAAATAGTTCATGATATTTTATGATTCAAAAAAGTGTATGAAAAAACAGTGATAGTAATTTTTAATTTTTTGTGAAATGAATTTAGTTCATGAGTATCCAATGTTGCCCTGTTCTGAATATCATGCAAAACAACAATGGTCCCATGTATAAAAACTACTCATTACTACATTTTGTGACTCATTTCCAGTATATTGTCCAAGTTTGAGACTCTTTTGTCTGGAGATGAGAAAATTTTTACCTCACCATGACTCATATCAGATTGAGTTACAGTAAAGGCAGAGGAGTATTTTGATAATATTTATTCATGTAAAAAAAACATTTCATAAATAGCTTATCCCTTTTATGGACCACGACCATGAATTACATGTGTCAATCAAAAACTGAATTACTTTCAAATATTACATATGGATTTTACTGTATTTTTCACTTATTTCACTCCAAAACCCCTTTTGTTTGTTTAATTTTTGAATATGTTCCGTTGGGATACAAAAATGAATAGATCGTGTATAACAGTGTTTCAAGTGGTTATAATTATTTTGACATTTCCAAACAACATATACAATAAACTGCCAACAGACTTTACCCCAGCAATAAATGAATGATGAAACTGAAGCAATTTCAAATTGCTGCAAACTCTCAAATAGGTTCTCCGCTTCAGTAATTAAACAAGTTTTTGAAACAACCACAACAAGTCTTCAATAACAGAATATGAACAAAGTTACTTCATAGCAAACCCAATTCATGGATTCGAAATATTCACTATAAAGTGATTGAAATATTTTATGATTCAAAACATCACGAAAATTTGTATCAATTGAATTAATATAATCTATATATAAATGTAATAAAATTATTATGGTATGCTGCAACAAATATCACATTATTAGATACCTCCCATTTTAATATGTATCTCATTAGAAAGATATTCCAATATAACTAAAATTAATTTAACGAATTTGAATTTTTAAATATCAAGGAGTAGCTGTAATCAGTAACCAGCTATACATATAAGGAAGTATTTTGAGAGTAACTCACTCCCCCTCCGTTAGATTCCAATACATTTCTAAAATTTGGTATTTTTACAGGTGATAAATTATCCACAATTGTGGGTATTTATTGAAAAAGTTGTAAAAGTTTCAATTATCGGTACTCTAAAATACTGTTTCCATCATACCTATGATAATGATACTTTAATAATACTAACCTAAATTGTCTATAAACAACCCACAGGATATACATTGATTAATCTCAAATCTTGAAACCATCAGAAAAATATGTAACAGTGTAAATTAATAAAATTTATCCTAGTTACGTTGAAAAAAAAACTCATATTACTTTAAATACAATTCAAACCAAAAGATAATATGCCTAAATGTCTTGGTCAAATCTATAAATTGACACCTATAAGTATATGAGGGAAATTCATTTTATTTGAATATGTGTGATTTAACAAAACCATGATTTATAATTTCATTATCACATTAAGTTTGGCATCAGTCTTTACACTTTTGCAAAATAATATAAGTTGGGCCACAGATGGGAGAAAATGTTGTTCTTGGATAAAAATCTAGCGAAGAGCACTCATTACCAAATATGTTTAAAATAATAAGTCACTTGAGGAAAAAAATTGGTTTCCCGTATCATGGGTATTGCTATAAAATAAACTTAACATTTCCAGGCATCCAAGGAAGAATGAGTAATATCAAATCACAAAGATGATTCACAACATTTGAGTCAGTTAAAAATAAACAACCATATCAGTGTGAGAAAGCACAGCAGGCACCATATTGGTGTACACAAAATGGATGTCTGAAAAGGGATTATTTCAGTTATCTGTTTAAAATAAATTCACCATCTGAGAATATGTTTTGTTTAATTTTACATTAGTTTCTAGTACATAACAAGTGAAGTTCTGGTAATAGTGAACAAATGATAAGCTAATCAGTGTTTTGGTCATGTTATTCACAAGCAATTTGTACAAGGGTGTATTCATTGAACAGTAATATATTCAATGCCAAGATGGACAACAATCTGTAAATAATTAATATCCACAAACTTCACTCAAAGAGAAATAGTCAAAAAACATGTGCAGTTGAAGATGAGTCATTGTACAGAGAACATGCTCATTGTATGAATAATAATTTCTTCTCTCGTTTCCACAAAAGGTCTTTGGTCAATGACATATACTGCTGTTTAGGCCTCGGATAAATCGATATTTACTAACGCGCAATTCTACTCTATAAATCTGACATGGGCAAATTACGACCCACGGGCCAAATCCAGCATGTTGGGTACCGTAATTCAATCTGGCCCGCCTGATGATGTCACAATCGAACTAAAACTAAATTTTGATGTCTTAGTTAAAAATAGTTCAAGGAATCTGTTGAGATTGTAAATTGTAATTGAGTTTAATTTTGGCATGAGGCTTATTGTTTTCGACTTTTGCTTTTGTAACACTGTAAATATTCTATTCAATTCAAGAGTCTTGCTGTTCATAAAATGTAAGTCTTTAATTAAGTCACACTTATAATGCCCGCCAGTCTAGGTGGGTAAAATTTTTGGCCCCTGGTTCAAAAACCTTGCCCACCCCTGCTATAAATCTATCTCAGTCCTCAGTAGCTCTTGCCATTCTTGTGGTTGCCTGTAACTTTGCTCAGGGATCAATCTCCTTGTGACCATGCATGAACTCGTTTGGAGCAAATTTTCTCAAAATAAAACAACCAGCCAATAGTTGTTATCAAATTCCAACCTATACAGAGCCTCTGAAATGGCAGTGATTGTTCACAACTCTTTTAACCTAGTTATTTAAAGGTAGCACCTCACCTTGATTGGGTTGTATATAAAATAATAGGCATGTCGCAAAACACAAATCAATACCTTGCCTTGACTATTTGATTTCAAAAAAGTATGTGGGTAATGGCAATAAACAATATAATGTAACGTTATTTCATAAAGTACAAATTATTTATAAGGAAATGCCCAAATTTAAACATTACAACTCATAGAATAACAAAAAATACAGACCTGATGTCTTCTTCACTTTCTGGAAAACTCCAAAATGCAATTCTTAGTTGTAAATTTTCTGGTATTGGTACAGGATATTTCTCAACTTGTTCAAAAGGAAGAAGCAAGGCAACTGTTTGAGCAGATAACTCGATCAAAGACTGAACTTCACCTGAAATAAGTTAAATTAATTAAAAATCAAATTGAAGAGATGATACTAAAATACAAACATTATTTTTAGGATATATTTCTGCATTGATTTTATTTTATTAAAACTATGCATAAAAGGGTGCTTGTTTTGAGCTACACATTCGACAGCCATTATCGCTGAAGCTTGAAAAACTGAGCTTGAACAAATTCATACTTTTTACAAGAAATTACAAATATAACAAAAGATATTTCTTGGTAAAAATTGGCATGTATAATGAATTTCCTGCCAAATGGCTCAATTTCAATATTTCGTATAACAAAAATAGAAAAAAAATTAGTGGACAATAATCTAAGATAAAAATTCTTGACAGCTATAATGAAGGAATGAAAGAGGCAAATATTATTGAAATTGAGGGTAAAGAAAAATTAGTGTAATAAGCAATATACCTTTTTTACATTGTGATCTCAGAGAACTAAGAGTTTTCTCATTCCCTGAAATTCCTGAGTTCCCACTTATAGAGAGTTGAGTTTGCCATCCTCTCCAGTTTTTACACAAACTTTCTGGCTCACTCATCCATGAACACATTGAATCTTCCTCAAATCGATCGCTGTCATCGAAAGACATTCCCTCTTCAGGGGCAGCTGGAAAAATAAAATATGCTTAAAACTACTGTCGTACATTAGAAGAAGATATGTAGCCCAACACAGAAGCACAAAATGTTAGGATTGTAATGGAGTAATACGTATTTTCTATGAATTTGAGTCTTTTACTAATCTACTTGTGTGTGGATCACACTCATATACCATTGGTCTTAAACATTGCTGAATTATCATATGTAAGAATAAGATATAATTTTTATCCACGAGGAGTGGAAAGTCGGTTACCCATCCATGTCGAGTATGGAATTAGTCAGCCAGTTATTCGTTTCAGATACATCTGTACATGGACTTGATGGTGGGGGAAGTTGTACCCGATCAGCAGTTATGTGAGAAGTCACAGCAATCCTCTTGCACATTATTATCACCGCACTGGATTCGAACCTGCGAACCCATTCAAGGTATTCGGAGATATAATGGCAAAAGAATTCCCTACGATCAGATGCTTAGCATGATGTGCCTCCCGCCGCACTACAAGTATATTTATCAGAAATTCCATATGTCAATTCTTAATATTAATTCTTTCATGTTGAATTCTATTATATTGTTTGAACCTACCTTCCCATTCAGCTACAACATCAGCCATCACAGGCTTTTTCTAATTACTTGCTTGTTGGTAACAATTTCTATATCAATGTGATCCTGCCAGAAAACTTTAAAAATAAAAGACTTTTCATAATGTTAATATTGAGAGTACCAGTTTGAAAAATCAAGCCTATTTCAGAATTAGTACCGAAACTAATATCACAGTATTAAAATGGTACCGCACTGCTGTAGGTCAGTAGATACCCTTTTATGAAATGTTCATTAGTCTTCCAGTATTGACTGACCGTGGATATACCGTAACTTATCCAGTTATCTGTAGACTATATTGTAATATTATCTTAAGTAAATTTAGATTAGACTAATGATAGCTACCGGTACTTTAGTACTTGTGAAAATATAATTGAAAGGACAATGATTTAAACTTAAACTGCAAAACCAGGCTTAATTCTGTAATTGCGCAACGCCTTTTTGAATATTGTTCATTTTTAACTTTATTCAAACAATGCCCTGTGTCTGTGCTGATAGCTGAATAGTGAAATCCCACTGACAAATTAGGCTGGATGCCGGTACATAGTCTACTGATGTACTGTCAGACTGGTATCGGTACAGCAAGCGGTCAGACGTCAGGACGGTGACTGCAGACCTGAGTGACCCCATGGATAACAGTCGTTTGCAGTCAATTTAAAATCAGAACAATAAACACTAAACTGACGTAGTCACAATTCCAACAAAAATATGCAACTTGAAGGCCTACATCTCTTAGAAATCATTGTCAATTTGCTGACGCTATAACAAAAACAGCCCTCACCGGTTGGCATTTGCTCGCTTTGTCTGCATATATATACAAGGTGATGACGAAGGCAGAAAAAAGCAACGCACTTTTTGTTGTTTATGTTGTGCTTGCCTGCCATATAGCGGAATACAGAGGATGATTGTAAAATCAGTTGAACAGACCCCAATAACTTTCGATGAACAGTAGTGGCGATATTCCCCAGATAATTTTTTGAATCCATAATGAACTTCATTGATTTCTTCACACTGTTAAAAGTACCTAGCTCAAACCTTCACACGACCTTCAAGTAGTTTCCATTTGTTTTATCAGCTTGTAATATTGGAGTGCCCACTCGTTTTTTTTTTCATTTTTAATACCATTTTTTTATTAATTTTTTGCTACTACATACTGAAACCGTCATATATGCTCTCATATATACCAATGAATTGGGAGCCTCGATGAATTGAATCGGTTTTGTTGAATGACTAGGAGCAAACAATAGGTTCAATCGTAGTAATATATATTTTCGGTTCAATCAACGAGCATGTATAGATTCAATTGATACCTTTAGGCTATATAGTCATTATTTTTACTTTCTACTTTTATTCCCATGTTGTTTGCCTATGCTGTTTGCGGAAGAAGAAATATATCTCCAAGGTGCACGAGTTAATACAAAATATCTATTTAAATTTATCATTTATACAGACTTCAATGTGTCATTAAAACACTAATATTTCAGCTCTTCCAGCAACAATATTTTTCATTTTTATTGAGTACCTCAAGGAGATGTAATATCAATCAGGTGTACATGCTTCGATGTCTGATTAGAAAGAGACAATTCTGTCATTCATTGTTTAAATATGCTCCTACTTAGATTTAAACGATGCTGGTGTCATTCGATTTTCTTTATCATCATTTGGATGGGATGGATGTTTTAGTGAACACCAAATGCAAAGGTGTCATACATATTAAAGTGTTTGGGAGTGCTCGGGGTGAACATGATTACGCGCATGTGTGACGAATATTTTGTAATGGTATCAGATGCTTCTTGACAGATGTTAATTCACAGAATTTGGTAAGAATATCAACTAACAATATGATAACTGATTTGAAAAAAATGTAGAAGCAATGTGCAGTTTCCTCATTGATAGAATTTGAAGTTAGAATGCGCTTGTAGTTTAGATCGAATAAACCTACACTTTATTTGACTGATAACTGTTAGTTTTTAATTTATAGTGCTTTAAAATTTCAAAATGCTGTCATTATGTTCTTAATTTTTGTAAAAATATTACTGGTTTAACTTTTTTGGTAAGTAATCTTCAATTTCGAATCTTATTCATATCTACAAGCGAATATGGTTGTTGGTCGCATATGGTCGAGTTGACATCGATGACCATTTGGTAGCATCGCTTCTTCCTGTTCATACCAAAATAATTTTATTTCTGTCATTTTTTCATTGCATTTATGACTGTAATTTCCGGTTGATGAAAATAATAAATCTTTCTCTCTCTTTTTTAAAAACTTCGACCAAGCTGTAATCCACAAACTAAACAAACTTTTACGCCTGGTCTCTAGCAGGGTTGCCATATTGGCTTTTTTAACGCCAAATTTGCCATTTTTGGCTTTTTTCAAACGCGTTTGGCTTCAGAATTTCCGTTTGGCTTTTTGGCGTTTTTTTGGCTTTTTTCAAGTCTATACTAGTGACTAATATTAAAATCATATAAAATACAATATTTAGTGTGTAGCAACTGAACAAAAGCCTATTACCTGTACTTAGCTACTTAACATTAGGATTTCCTGGAGCATCGATTTCCTTGTTTGTTACATTAACTCTTAACCATACCCAATAAGAAATAAGTGCAGTTTCTGCAGCTGCTCAGACAGATGTTCAAGCAGGGTTGTAAACATTGCCTCGTTTTTATAGTTTATAGGTATTTGTCAGTTTACGTTCTGTTTCCAAAAAATAGTTGTGTAATCTAATTTTCATTATGCCTGATATGATTTATGTGAGCTTTCAGCTTTAGTTTAATTCTGCAATTGCAGTAACGATGTGATTAACTACGCTAAAATTACTGAAATTAGATATCAGTGGTCCACCTGTGAGCGGCAGGGGGCTAGATAATTTTTCAATAAAATTGATGGTTTATAAATTTTAAAAGTAAAAAAATTTTCAATAGTAAAGTACGATATCGGGAGAATTTTTTTTAAGGTGTAGCACAAGTTTAAGTAGAAACATACCGGTATTGTAGGTATATTACATACTGACAGACTGAAGCGGCACCCTGTATTGTATATATTGAATGGTAAAATAATGCTGCCCGCTTGATATTCATTTTACTTTCTACAGTTCTATAGGAACTTTACTTTCTATTTGTGTGCCTCACTGAATGAACTGATGGCTCTACATCATCATCAGTACGTTGTCAAGGGCTTAAAATCTGACAAATCATGGGGCTTTTGTACTTAGTAAAATTGTTGGCTTTTTCTGGCTTTTTTATGTCTTGATTTGGCTTTTTTTGATCGCTGGGGTCTGGCAACCCTGGTCTCTAGTCGGAAATTTGCCACCAAGCACTAGGATATAATATTTCAATGCGTGGAATATTTTATTGGAGACATCTCAATGGAAATTTTAACAGTGAAATTGACACATGAGAAAATAGACCTACGTGAATCTTTGTCACGCCCGAATATGGAAAGTGTTTCAGAAACACCAATTCGCGGTCGTTATCTGGTGGATCAATTGTTTAATGTCATTGGGTGGATAGGCATATCGTTATATTAGTAGTGAATGGACCTTTCCCCGACCTTTGACCCCCGGATAATTCTTCCTATACTTTACCATTGCAAAATTTTCGGGGCTATTTTAAGAGTGCTTTTGCGAGTTGGCGCCTGTAAAATGGGGTATGTGTTACAAACCATCATTATGATTCATCGCATACAACAATCTTTTTTTTGAAAGTACCGGTAAAAAATTTCAGGCTAGTCTATCACAGCTATTTCTACACTAATTTTTATTAGTGCAATCAAATTAAAACTCCTAGGAAGACAGAGTGATCATTGAATTATCTGATTTATATTCAAGTTTCCGAAACACAACTGAAAATTAACGAATAGAGTTCAAAAACGCGAAAACGAGGTAATGTTTACAACCACACTTGAAAATCTGTCTGAGTGAGAAAAGTGTCTGAGCGGATGCGAAAAGGGGGCATTGTTACGTCACTTTTTGCATCTTGTTGATTGGCCAATGTCACGAAGTAAACAAGGAAAACGATGCTCGGGGAAAGGTCCATTAAGGGATGGTTCGCTACCTTGTTGATCCGTCTTGTCGGTTTCCTCTTCTTAAGGAGAGAGAGAGAGTTTATTTCATTTTGTCAAACCAAGAAAACAATATAGGCATACATATATGAATATCAAATAAACAGATCGGTTTTCGGTACATGACTGGGAGGCATTCTATGGGAAATCTTGTCATGTCTTAATCGAAAACAGTCATTTAACACGTTCAATGTAGAGTGTGAAAGTCCATCCTGAGGAAATACCAGGCCTACTCATGACATTGGCACATAAATAACACGAACCGAAAGAACATCATTTGATATATTCCATTGTAGGCGTTGCAATGACGTACGTGTTCTTCATTTTGCGACAATTGAGTCAACTATGGATATTTTTTTAACAGTACGGCCTATATCCTCGTTCAGTTGCAGCTCTTACTATTCAAATATATTTAATGCTTTCCATAAAATTACAACCAATAAAAAAATATCAAAGAAGGATACTAAAAATGATGGCAGCTCATCTGTTGACTCAATGGGAGTGTAAGACTGGATTTTTAATCGACTTAGGATGGTTTATTATATGCATAATGAACTAAATGTTTCTTGTTTTAATATAGCAACAAAAATCTATAATAAAACGAAAAACTAAGAAAATATGCACAAACATTTCGTCCATTCCACTCACTTCGTTGATCGAAGACATAATATAATGGTTTCATCCCAAATCAGAAATATAATCTCAAGTGAAGAACTAACTAATGACGTAAATAGAAAACTCGACGGTGCCATATAAAAATTCCTCGGAAACAGGGCAGTTTGTTATTAATCCAACTTTCCAAAGGAATATCACTGGAATCTAGAGTCTAGTTGTTGCTCCTTGTTGTGAAAAATATCTCTCATTTCGGTTGTTTCTAATAATCGTTCATCGTCATGAATCGCGTTATGATGTCACATTATTCATAACACGCAATATCCGGTAAATAATCCACGCAACCTGTTCTCTATAAGGCAACGTAACAATAATCGATGGTACTTCCTCCTAAAATATGGCTAATTTTGATCAGTAATTTCCTCAACTGCGCCTCAACAATAGGCGAAAGAAACAAGATAGGTCTTTCTAATTCTAGAGATGAAACAGATACAATAATGTTTCAAGTTTTTTCATTGAGCATGTTTCGGTTTGATAAATTTCGGCAGTGAAACTTCAATCTAGAATGATACAATTTAGTGCCCATAAACGTTTAAGAATTTGGAAAAATACCAAATAGTACAAACTATACCACATTTGTTAAAACATATTTACAACGGCAAGCACATACATTTTTATCAAATTATGACAAATCGGGTATCGCATGTGAAGATGAGGTTATTTGAAAGGCCAAAAGTGATTCAAATATGTGACAGCTCATCTACTATGATAAATGAATGAAATACGTTACCGTGTCAAATAATGACACTGATACAAAAATGAGCTTAACATACACATGAGGTCAAAATACAATGCTAAATTACCTAAATATAACATTTAACAAATGTTATCATTATCTTAGAACATAGGCCAGATTTTAATTTCATTATTATAAAATTACCACATAAGGTTGTTTCATTAAATACCCAATATTTTACATATAAATACTTCGGACAAGATCAATTGTGTACTGTATATCAAAATCAAAAGATAATGGAAATTAGAACTTAAACGCAAAACCTTTGTATTCTGTAGTCATAGTATGATATTTCCACAAAGCCACTATTGTACAAAAATTTCTATACAAGACTTTTTTATTTGTATTTTAGTAGAGACAGTTAAGTCAATACAAAGAACAAAACTGACAACAATGAGTATTTTCTTTGTTCATATTCCAAAGTTCGAACATACTTTAAGGAACCACAAGTCAATATATATGGTGTTGAGTGAATGTTAAAATGAGTTTTTTGCGAAATTTTCACAACAGCGAGTTAGTATAATATACTAATGTTGTATACTGTACTGTATAGGATAACAGAAACAAACAATAAAAAACAGACAAATAATGAAACCGCCTACCACATATGACATTGACTAAAATACTGACAAAATATAGATTTTATATTACAATAAAAACATACATTTAGAAAATAACAAAAAATATTTTTTCACAGCATGCTAATATAAAATTTATAATTTTTTTTTTGTATTCACCGTCAAAATTTTGTACAAGCTCTTAGAGATCAAATATCTTTATGATACAAATGAAATCGACATTAAAAATTTGTGCAAGGCAAGCTAAATGAAATATTCCAATTATATTGGTTAATTTTTCATCGCAAAATTAGAGCCAATTTATACAGCAAGTTAAAATATTTGAAAGCAAGAAATAAGCATATCAGAGGCCACCGATAAACAACAGTCATTTATGGTAAATAGAAACCAATATTCACAAAATGATAGAGCATAATTAATTTTGAAATGATCAGGGCACATGACAATCCATTCGCTTGACAATTTTCTTACACTGACAGCTGTAATTGCCTTGATAAAGACCGAAGTCCAAACATGAATACAAATTTTTGTAAGGTCTTTTTAGCATACAATTTGCAAACCTTGACAAAACATTGCATTATCTTCATCACTGATACAGCTCGTGCCAGCTTGGAATTTGTTTAATAGAAGCAGATAAATTTTTACAATAATTAAAAGCGGTGTTAATTTTTTAAATATTTTTTTCTCTTCAAAAAATAATGTTATCTATGATACATAACATATAATAAGTGCAGTATAATGCTACCTTCAAAATAATAAATTAATGGTGAGTAATGAATAATAGAAATATAATACACATAGATAGACAAATTAGAACACCAAACACATAAAAATACCTGAATTTTTAATTATCATTCCTATTAACTATCAAACCTGGTCAAATGTAAAACCATGAAAATCGATTAAAATAAACTTATATATGTGTGATAGGCTTGACCAAGTTTGATGGTTGTTATATTTTAATCTTAATCAAAAATTTAAGAATTAATATTTCCTGGGTTGGTGAACAATTTGTCTCATCTTTTGATAAACCTTGTTGCTGCGTTGACACAGGACTTGGTTTGCTCTTTTCATTTGATTAGGACGATGCTGGCTAAAGCTAGATGCATTGGTGCGTTGTCTCTTGCTGGTTTTGGTACACCTGAATGGAAGAAGTATAAGTAGGGCATAATCACAAGTTTGAAAGGGAGATTTTGTGAACCATTCTAATCCTTCTTATACAATAAAACTTAATCAATATGACTGGCGCTTGCCAAACATATGTACTGCAAGACTATCAGTATTGATCTTACAAATTTATTGATTTATAGCATAGTAAATTTTAGAATGTATTTTATACCCGTCTGAATCATCATAGATATAATATAAATATAGAGCTTTTCAATACAATATGCATAGCTCTGTCACAAGCAGGAAGTGCTATTGAAAAGAGTTATAAATTTCTATATTCAACAAATACTGACAACAAATAATAAGCATTATACTATTCAACATTTATGTCTATACATTTCTATCCTTGATCCAATTCATATTCTAAAGATAATTTATACCTCATCCTCTTTCTTGAATCTTGAATGACTGCAGCCACTGAAGGTCCTACTGGTACTTCAACTACATCAACATCTGGTTCTTCCTCAATCATAGAACTGCTGAGACTCTCTAGAGGCGAAGGTGATGGTACACGATGAAATTCTTCTGCCACTGTAAACATAATTCAATAGCATGTCCCAAAAAACTGAAAATTTTGATAGGCAAATGCATTAGTGAAATCACTAATCAGTACAAAGGAACCTAACCTATATATGAGAAATTTGAAAAGCCATCTATAAAAATAAATGCTATAAACGGATATATCAAATACTAACTTCTAAGGGGTCACTGAGAGCAATATGATAACATCAGTTTTGCTCATAAATAATTGAAAATATAAAATATTAGCTTTTATCTTTAGAATTTCCAAGAACATTCCATTATTGACACCAATATAAATTGGAAAATACTGGAAACAGTACACCAACAAAATATGAAAACTTCTAACAACTATTGAAAAGGAACTTTTATCCCAAAAACGCAGTTGATCAAATCTTGAAAGTGGGCCTTTAGTATTTTAATTTTTTCTCTGTCTAACTGAGCCCTTGTTCACATTTTCCTAGAACATGATCTATATACCAATGTATTTCATTGATAAAATTTACTTTCAATGTTACTCAAAATTATTATTAATTCCATGGTTTGTAAATTTATTTTGCGAATATTGGTAATTACTGAAGAGCAAAGTCAGCAAGTGTTATGTTTAAATACAAAATTATTTCAATACAATACCTAACCCTTGCATAAATCTAAATGCTTGATTAGAGTCAGAAAAATGACTAAAGAAATTTCCATGTTTTACCCAATACACTCTTATATGCTTCAACTGTTCAACATGACATATTTTAATTAATATCATGTAGTCATGATTTTGTTGAAAAAAAACATGAATACAAAAAAATATCACAAGTATAGTAACTTTTTATAGTAACTGAAAGCGGAACTGGGGTGGAATAACGTATATCTTTTGCGCTAAATAGCTTATTTACCAACATGTACATAAACATGATGATTACAAAAATAGACTCAGGTCATCTAGCGCTACAGCACTAAGACTGTAACAGCACAAGCATAAGACTGTAAGGTTTATGAATTTATGTACATGTCAATACAGCAATAATGATTAAAAATAAATTTTAAACCCACTACAATAATATATAATAGTAGTATATTACAATACGGAAGTAATAAGTCATTACCGGTACCGGTAAGTCAAAGAATTATGAACATTCACATTCACTGATTCAGCAATTACTAGCATCAGCTTACCATGTTTATTGCCATCTTTCACTTCAACTAATGTCCATTCACCTTCCTCCGTTTCGCCGAACGAGCAATTTACCCCATCATTCGGTTCGCTTACATCGGTTGTTCCGACTTCTGTGCCATACCCGATGTATTGAGCTAGTAAGTTGAACATCGTTTGATCGTGCAGGCTTCCGCTTGTCCGTCAAGGGCAATCTCTTAAAATTGTGATTCACGCAGTCCTATGCAGCCACTACTTAAACTGCGTTTTTGTCGCTTCTTTTATTTATAGATGACCCCAGAATTAGACTATTAACAGATGTAAGCAAACGTAACTAACGTGATGGCAGTTATGAACAACGCGACCTTCAGTCGTTGCAATCGTCCTGTGTCGACTGTTGTTGGGCGATGCCGAAGTCCTTTGTTTACGTCGTACGCGTCCTTTCTTTGTTTATGCACAACAGCTGATTAGTCACGTGACGTCAGTTCTAGCGGAACGGAATGTGTTTGAGAATATTACGCCAGAGATAGCACCGTGAATATATACTAATACGCAACGACTAATATCTAATACGATAGAACACATTAAAAATCCACGTAATTTATATTAGATTGCAGGAGTGGGTGTGGTGCTTTGACCGAAACAAATCTTACGCAAACTACCCGGAAATGTAAGAGTATGCAACTGGTTAAAGATGATTGCCACACATTTGCTGTCCATATTCAATCATATTCTGACTGACTGTTGACTACTTTTTGCGCATATTTTCGGCCATCTGTCGTTATAAACGCGTTTGAGTACTGTCTTACATTAATTTAGATTAATGTTGACTGGGAGAACAACTGAGAAGTTAATCAGCTGGGATGTTAGCAGTGACGAGATAGGATGCCATGCGCCATAATATAAGAAAAAATAAGGTCAAATACCCGTACAAACACACGATTATATCTTTGGATATATATGTACCACAACGTATCACAATTGTAGATTGTAACTCGCAAAACTGACGAATTGTTTTTAAATTCAGCAATAACAAATAGTACGATCGTGATTGAAATTCCACAGTTGTAGCCTAAATGATCAAAACTAATTGTTACAGGTAGTTCTAGAACTAGAACCAATATACCAAAATTTTGTGCAAATCGTAGAAGAATTTAAATTATACGACAGAGTTGCATTTAACCCGAATGACTATTTCCGATGAAATCCCACTAATTCAAAAAAATTATAGCCAGATTTTAAGTTAAAAACAAGAGAGCTATGCTCAAATATATGGACACGTAGAGTCACATAATTTTGATGACGTCATAGCGAAAAAAAAAGTAATAGCCTTCTGGAGAAAATTTTTATCTTTTATCACTGAAATTTTCAAAGCAATTGGTCCAGTATTCGAAGAGAAAAGCGACTTTTTAAAAACGTGTCAAAGAACAAGAACAACAACAACATAATATTGAAACGATCGTTATGTCCACTACGTGTCCAATAACGCCTGCAGAATGCAAAACAACAAGTGGCACACAACCCTAACACGTGATTCTATCTTTGAAAAATAATTTCATTCATGCTTCCAGTACCGGGAACATCATCGTATATAAAGCTTGACACAGTGGCTGAAGTCGAAGAGTCAGAACAAATAGTTCCTTTTGATTTTTCTCCACATTTAAAGTTTAGCAGTTAATTGCTTCAGAACTTTATTAAAAACTTATATAAGCTACTACTACAATAAAAATGGATTAAAGTGTTAATAAGTAGTTAACTATACAGAAATTGGTAAATGTATTATAAAATCTATGTGTCATATGCATATGTCACTGTATAGGTTTAGTAGTTAGCATAGCCTACTATATAATTATTAATTGGACACGTAGTGGACATAACGATCGTTTCAATATTATGTTGTTGTTGTTGGACACGTAGTGGACATAACGATCCATTCAATATTATGTTGTTGTTGTTCTTGTTCTTGTTCTTTGACACGTTTTTAAAAAGTCGCTTTTCTCTTTGATTACTGGACTAATTGCTTTGAAATTTTCAGTGGTTGAAGATGAAATTTTTCTCCAGAAGGCTATTACTTTTATTTATTTCAAATATTTCTGTTAGCTCTGTAAGATTTGTTTTTGTTTGCTATGACGTCACTAAACGTTCTGCGGGTATCGGACGCCATTTTGTGTCCAACGGACCATCTTGCAATTTCAATTCACGCTGTCACAAGACAGGACCTTCTAAAGATAGAGAAGTTCTGGTACCGTAACACAGCGCGGTGACACGGAACTAACTCGTAGCTGTCAAAAGCTTGAAAATCCATACAAATATGAGAAATAAAAAGATGAAACTTGGCAGGTGGGTAGAGTTGTGTTTCTTTTAATCATATTTGAAAGTTTCGCGTTTCTACATTTGAAGGAGGGGGAATAGGGGGTGTGCATTTTCGATACGTCGATAATATCTTTGTCAACCAATTTGCGGCCACCGTGTTTTCGTCTGTTTGATTGCTGTGATGTGGTGCTTTGTTTATAATTTAATGAGTTTTGTTCGAAACAACCGTGTTCTTGAAATATATGACGGTCAGAAATGCAATTAGAAGCCCAATGTTTTCACGCTGTCTGTACGAGGTTTAGCGTGTAGAATAAATGCCGCCAATGCACCCACGGTGAAAAAATTAACGGGTTAGATATATTGGTTTTTGTTTTATAGCGGTTTGAATGAAATTGTCCGCAGACTGGCTACACCACCCTAGGCCTGGTGAGTTGTCCGTGTAGTCGAATTGTCCATCAGCCCTAAACGGCTATGACAGTCACTGTACCAAAAATTGTACCCCGATTCGGCTGGTGTTAAGTTGACGCATGTTATTTAGTAACGTTTTTATGTGAAATGTTTGACTGTGGTTCAGTACCTGATCCGATAATACGGTACATAATTGACTCATATCACGAGATATTTCAACTGATGTTTCAATTGTCACAGGACCTAAAATATCTATGACAGTCCCTGTACCGTCACGGTACCCCGATACAGGTACTGGTAAGTCACCGCCGGTATGTTAGTCGTTGGTCACCGCATATGATTTTTGGGGAATTGTTCTGCGTGTCCATATATTTGAGCATTGCTCTCTTGTTGAACACGTAGTGGACATAACGATCGTTTCAATATTATGTTGTTGTTGTTCTTGTTCTTGTTCTTTGACACGTTTTTAAAAAGTCGCTTTTCTCTTTGATTACTGGACTAATTGCTTTGAAATTTTCAGTGGTTGAAGATGAAATTTTTCTCCAGAAGGCTATTACTTTTATTTATTTCAAATATTTCTGTTAGCTCTGTAAGATTTGTTTTTGTTTGCTATGACGTCACTAAACGTTCTGCGGGTATCGGACGCCATTTTGTGTCCAACGGACCATCTTGCAATTTCAATTCACGCTGTCACAAGACAGGACCTTCTAAAGATAGAGAAGTTCTGGTACCGTAACACAGCGCGGTGACACTGAACTAACTCGTAGCTGTCAAAAGCTTGAAAATCCATACAAATATGAGAAATAAAAAGATGAAACTTGGCAGGTGGGTAGAGTTGTGTTTCTTTTAACCATATTTGAAAGTTTCGCGTTTCTACATTTGAAGGAGGGGGAATAGGGGGTGGGCATTTCCGATACGTCGATAATATCTTTGTCAACCAATTTGCGGCCACCGTGTTTTCGTCTGTTTGATTGCTGTGATGTGGTGCTTTGTTTATAATTTAACGAGTTTTGTTCGAAATAACCGTGTTCTTGAAATATATGACGGTCAGAAATGCAATTAGAAGCCCAATGTTTTCACGCTGTCACAAGACCAACAATTGTCAACCAATTTGCGACCACCGTGTTTTGTCTGTTTGATTGCTGTATGGCTGCGTATGCGATAGTCTCGACGCAGCATAAACGGTGATCAAGGCTTGAAATCCGTGGTCGCACACTGGTCGGTCGTCTTTCGAGTGCCGTACTTTGGGGATTTGTATAGCTTCAACCCTTTGTCGTAGAAAGTTAATACGAGGTTTAGCGTGTAGAATAAATGCCGCCAATGCACCCACGGTGAAAAAATTAACGGGTTAGATATATTGGTTTTTGTTTTATAGCGGTTTGAATGAAATTGTCAGCAGACTGGCTACACCACCCTAGGCCTGGTGAGTTGTCCGTGTAGTCGAATTGTCCATCAGCCCTAAACGGCTATGACAGTCACTGTACCAAAAATTGTACCCCGATTCGGCTGGTGTTAAGTTGACGCATGTTATTTAGTAACGTTTTTATGTGAAATGTTTGACTATGGTTCGGTACCTGATCTGATAATACGGTACATAATTGACTCATATCACGAGATATTTCAACTGATGTTTCAATTGTCACAGGACCTAAAATATCTATGACAGTCCCTGTACCGTCACGGTACCCTGATACAGGTACTGGTAAGTCACCGCCGGTATGTTAGTCGTTGGTCACCGCATATGATTTTTGGGGAATTGTTCTGCGTGTCCATATATTTGAGCATTGCTCTCTTGTTGTTCTTGTTCTTTGACACGTTTTTAAAAAGTCGCTTTTCTCTTCGAATACTGGACCAATTGCTTTGAAATTTTCAGTGGTTAAAGATTAATTTTTTCGCTAGAAGGCTATTACTTTTGTTTATTCTTAAATTTTATCTGAATCCTATGAGATATGATATTTCATACAAAATTTCGCGGTATTTATTTTTACTCATGGGAACACTGTTTTACACTTATTTCAAGCGGTTTCGCGATCGATTGTCTTGCTCAGTACTACAGCTACTGTAGGTCGGTACTGGTAAGTTGCCATACAGGTACCGTAACGCAGTGAAATTGACTTATTCCTTCCGCGGTATTACTAATGCTGCAATGCAAGTTTTATAGCCTATCGTATGCGGAACGGAATATCAGACCTACAGGTTCGGTACCGGTACTGGTAGCTCAGTACGTAAGTACGATACTGGTACTGGTGCCGGTACCGGTGTCTTACCACAATGAAATTACCGTAACTTATTCTTTCACGGTCCTACCAGTGCAGTAATGCAAGCGTTGTAGCACTTGTAGCCTACTATATTTGTTTATTTTGATGAGAGTCTACTGGAAACAACATAAAATTTGAAAGGGAAGAATTGTTCTGTGATCAATTATCTGTCCTAAAGTGTAAACAACATAAAATTTGCAAGGGAACAACTGTTCTGTGATCAATTACCGTATATGGCCTACAGTGTACAGGTAAGATGCTGGCTGACTGCTAACCGGTACTGGTAGCTCAGTACGTAAGTACGGTACTGGTGCCGGTACCGGTGTCTTACCACAATGAAATTACCGTAACTTATTCTTTCACGGTCCTACCAGTGCAGTAATGCAAGCGTTGTAGCACTTGTAGCCTACTATATTTGTTTATTTTGATGAGAGTCTACTGGAAACAACATAAAATTTGAAAGGGAAGAATTGATCTGTGATCAATTATCTGTCCTAAAGTGTAAACAACATAAAATTTGCAAGGGAACAACTGTTCTGTGATCAATTACCGTATATGGCCTACAGTGTACAGGTAAGATGCTGCCTGACTGCTAACTCAGTACCGCTTGACACGTTTTTAAAAAGTCGCTTTTCTCTTCGAATACTGGACCAATTGCTTTGAAATTTTTAGTGGTTAAAGATAAAAATTTTCTCCAGAAGGCTATTACTTTTTTTTTCGCTATGACGTCATCAAAATTATGTGACTCTACGTGTCCATATATTTGAGCATAGCTCTCTTGTTTATATATATTAATGGTTAAGTGAGATAATAATACATTCGAACGTAAAGCCATAGTCTTTTCACCATTTGATTCATTTATTATCAAAAAATTACTAATGCAATCGAGTGCTTAGAGTAAAATAGAGTTGTTTTCTTCTCATTCATACTGTGAGTGTATGCGACGTGTGGTTATTCGGTTACATACGCTTGAGTCGAGTGGTAGATGCGGTCCTGACAACCTAGAAAGTTAAAAATAGCACGTTTAGCTACCAGTTATGATGCTTGATTATCGTTTAAAATTGAATCCAATATGCCAACATCAAATGGCTTGGTAAATGAGACGCCAATCCAAGATTTCAAACGTTTTTTCATCGTTTAACACTCACTGTAAATTTGTTTCACGCTTATATACCCATGATCAGTGGCGTAGCAAGACTCTCGTGCCCCCCGCAAAAATATTTCGTGGAAATGACCCTAATAACTCTCGGACATAGCTAAAACAACGCTTTTTTTATTTCGTCAAAAAGCATAACATGTCGCTATCAAATGGCAATCGTAATCTTAAATTTGCCGTTTATCTTGGTTACTTTAAGTTTTTTCATACGAGCTTCCCCTTCCGCACTTTTTCTGCGTTTCTGTGCGCCACTGAGAGGTTTTGCTTCCGACATCATTCTGACAGCCTTCGTATTGCCTGTGCGATCAAACCGCAAGACGCCGAAAATCGACGACTCCCTGGCATTGTTACGTAACAAAACGATTTGAGCAGAACTAATATCAACATTATAAGATGGCATTACTGGTTTTGCGGCTCAAATTTCTAAAATTGGGCCCCTTTGCGCTGTGGGGGCTCCTGCGACCGCGGGGGTGGATGCTACGCCACTGCCCATGACAATATCTCAAAATGCATCCAACCTCATTGCATGTTTTCTCGATATACGCTTCTATAACCTCATAACCTCAGGCATACTTTAACCGAATTACCAAATTTTAAATGTCTACATCTCTCCCTTTGAAAAAAAACATAACAAGAGTGGAAAGAAAAGGTATGGACCCAAATGAACGCCTATAAAACGCTAAAATAAAATGGAAACTGGTTGGTAGTGACTTGTTGCTGTTGAAATTCGGACTGACTATATGTTTATGGTGTAATAATAATCTGATCTTACGATCTGATACATTCGGATTCGTGAAAAAGTGCCTTGGATTTGTTAAAGATTGAAGTGTTTCGTATTCACACGAATCCACGTTTCTAAACATGAGTTTTATATAATAAAGTACCAGAATTCGCCCAACCCTGATACACGTGCAAACCGCAAAGCTATGCAATGGCAATCTAAGTTGCCCGTTGCTACAGAACTTGCCCGAAAGATGCATGAGCAAGTTTTTCATTGTAGCAGACATTGAGTGAATCTATGAATCATGTAGTCATTGTTCAGCAATTGTTGTGTCGCTTCGGCTATGCGATGACTTTACAGTCTTTCGTAGCTCATCGTCAATTGCGTCGAATTATTGTATGTATATTTTTATCAACTGATTTTTTTTGTTTACAGCGTTTCTTGCATGTCATAAATAAAGTATTTGTATCTGTTTTAATGACGAAAATTTAATATGTGACCCATTCAGTAAATAAAAGATTTGCCACCTCTGCCTTATAGACTATGGTACGTGTGTCACCCAGTGTTCGGTACAAATCTCTAAACTCGCTAAAAGCTATTTTCGATTACCATGTTTAGTATTTCAATTGGTTCGTTATGTATAGCCAGCCACAGGTGTGCTAGTTTATACGACGTTGGTATACACGGTTGTTCGCATGTTCGACTCTCACCAGAGAAAATCGAGACGAATGATCTTAGCCGGTCCATAAAACCACTTGTCAATTATTTTTTCGCTGTCTACCAATCCCGCACAATCAACTGATTAGAAGCTGACATGCAACGAATAAGAGACCGTAGTTATCCATATATAAAGTTATATTATCGTATCATCTTTTTGAGAGAAAATTGAAGTTTTAAAAAGTACAATTGCAGCCCTCAGTTGTACTTGGTTTACACTCACGTACATTGGAACCCCAAACCTTGCATTCATGAACGTTAAAATGTATGTAAATTTATGTAAGTGCAAGCGTTCAACAAGTGCAATTATCTTGGGTTCAACACCTTGAAGCATATTATTGGTTGCAGTTTTCGGGTGCGAGGATAATTGGTGCGGCTACATGTAGGCGCCAAGTTATATGGTAGCCTGAGAATACACTTCCATAGCTGTTTATACTTTTGCTAGTAAATCGAATATTCCCACTCTTTGAATCTTAGTAATCACCCTCCTATGGGGACATCGACATTAGCCAAACAGCAAATTGAAGTTTTGAATGGGTGTAGATGGGCGCACAATTACGACAATGTTTTCTCAAGCTTGTTATTGGACACGAAATGTACCTATGGATCGTTTTGATATTATGTTGTTGTTGAATCCGAAGTGTACCTATGGATCGTTTTGTTATTGTTCTTATTGGTATTTCTGTTGTTGCTTTTGCCGTATGAAACAAATCGCTTTTCTCATTATCAAATACTGGATCAATTGCTATGGAATTTTCAGTTGTTGGAGGATTGTATTTTTCGCTGGGAAGCTATTACTTTTATTTATTTTAAAACTTTCTGTGTGCTCTATGTGATTCGTTTTTCACTTCAAAATTTAGTGTGATGACCTCTTGAAAATCAATACAAAAACTTCATAGCGGTTCGTCGACATCTCTCGTGCTACTTTCTTGCTTCGCGAAAGTTTTCTGACGGCATCGGTACTGTAAAGGGTAAGATAGACAGATGCTTCTCTTTGGACTTCGTGTCCATATATTTGAGCATCACTCTCTTGTTTGTAAGAGTGACCAATCGTCGATGACTGCTTCCCACTCTCCAACATGTCTCTCTTATAAATTAGGTTGCGGTAGCGAAATGCAAGCTATTTTCCACGTGGTCATCAAAGTACATAATTGATGGTCGGGTTTTTATTGTTGCTTCCTAGCCAGGGCTTTACATTAGTGATGGTTATGCCCGTATTAAATGATTGATGTATGGTATGATACCATTGTTGTACTATTTCAGACGTCACTTTTCTGTACATCTCGGAAGAATATTGGTGGAATAATTGTCAAGCTAACCGAGCGCCTTTTTAGTATGATGTCTCCGTGTATGATGTTTCTACTCCATTAAACTTACAAATAACAATAGTATTAATCGTCTTTTGACTATGATGAAATGTTACGATATGCTGCATTTTTCCGCCAAAAGCATTCACCGCCTGCTTAACATAATATATACGTAAATAATAGTCATTGAAGTTAACATTTTGAATTTTCATTTGTTCCACAATAATAATAAATCTTTCAATCCGAATATACTCTTGTACATCGCAGGAGTCTTTGATCACTTCAAAAAGTCGTCTTCACTCTTAATTCACCCTTGCAATATAACCACACGCATCCATCTTCTCAAAAGAATAGAATAAAGCTAAGAGTCTCTGATTGTTTCTAAGGAGACGTACAAAAACATCTTTATTCACTAATTATTTGATTTCTCAGATACTCTTTGCGACGGGTTATCTCAGGTTTGATGCTGTGTTTCCCTCTATATGTAGTTGCGTTTTTATTATTTCTGGTTTTTAATTGACATCTGGATCTGGAGTACACGATTATAATATTATATAATTGTAGACAGCCGCCCATTATCTTGCTTTAAACTATCAGGTAATGGTTTAGTAGGCATATAATAATGAATTCATAGCTTTCTGTGATGACAATTGAACGATTGATTGACTGATAACCGAGTTGAAAAGCTAAGAGGATGTAATATAAACCATAAGTTTATTTCAAGTTCTAAATGTCTTCCAATCATAATATCACATGTTATATTGATAAAGACACCAATATTGTAAACCAAGTTTCTGCGAATAATATTTATTACTCATTTTTTATATTCAAATACTGAACCAGCGGCAGTTAAGTCGAACGATATGTAATAATAAAGTAATTGAGGTCGGTATCACGCGGTTGCTAACCTACTTAGTTCTTTATAATCCTAATTGCAGCGTAATAATTTCTTGTCAAAAAAAAGCACCGATTTACTGATTATCATATATCCGAACCGGTGTTTCAAAACCCAACCTACCAATGGTTGACTTTCCGAATTTGACCCCGTCAATTTTATCCTTGATTTGTCTTCAAATTTCTGCTTCTTTTTTCAATAGTCCATATTTGTATATAAATAGAAAACAAAATAGGAATAATATTATATATATATTAAAAAAAATGAAAATAAAATAGCTAGACGAATATTTATTCCGATTGGCAGTGTAGAGACCCAATATCTTGATCCAAATGCAGCATTCCGCGTGCTGAAGATTGCAAGATCTGTTTATAATAGGCACTCATTTTTGACACAGCAAGTTCGAACGGCAAACTCAACCAGAAGTTAACAATATAACAATAAATTAATCATCTATTATAATAACTTCTTCATTCAGCTTTTAAACGTTATAACTTTCCAAAAAAGTACGCGCATTTTCGAATCGAGCGCGAACGCTTCGGTCGAGTCGACAGCCCGCCGTACTGCTTGGGCGCAGCGAGAGAGAATTTCGAGAGCGGGTCAGTGCGGATGACGTAACTCCAGCTGTTTTAATAAAACAAACGGCTTGGCGCCGGCGCGAGGTTTTTGCTGTTGCGCGCTCTTTCGGCGCTGGATTCTCTGTCCATATTTTCGTTCTGTTTTGAGAAGGAGGCGTTCGTGGATGAGTGAAATTGGACATAAAGTTGACTACACACCAAGCTATAGGTGAGAGTTTTTTTTTTACTTCCTCGTGTTCCAATGAGTTTTAATTTAGAGAACTACACTTGAACTGGCCGTTTGGCGGGAGTTGTCTACCGTCAGACCGTTTGATGGTCTGTGCAAAATTTCTTGCTTGGGATGATTTCAATACTGCAATATCCTTAGCCTTGTTTTATTTAAGCTGCTATTATTTAGATGTTCATAAACCTAAATTGGCTTGAAAGTTAACATAATCTACCTTGAGGTTTATCTTTATCAGCTTTCTGCAGTCCCGATGACCAATTACTACATTCGGTATATTGTCTACCAGTAGGTACTGCAGCATTCTATACAACTGTACAAGTCTGCAGATACATATGTAAATAACAAAAGCAACTTCCTCAATGGCAGCATGGTCAATTTATTGCACAGCTGCATGAATTGCGCAAGCCTAGCGAATGGCCGGTGTGAGAGATCCACCTGCTGACTTGTCTGCCTGTTAATTTAGTAATTGGCCAAGCTCAATACTGACATCTTTCAGTCTGCATACAGGCGTATGCTGATATGGCAGTACAATAGACAGATAGGCCATCTATAGCAATATAGTCAGTGCTGCAGTGTGTCTTTAAAATCTGTTACGGTACCTCTGGTGAGCGGTTTATTTATTTTTTCTTGTAATATCCAATTTCATGAATTTTTGTTTTTTCAGGCTGTTCATTTTTCTGTATGAAAAAAATTTTTACAAGCAGAATTCTGTAAAAACAAACTTGCTGCTCATCTAAACCTCCAATATGAAAAGCTGCAGGTAAATTATTCATTATCATTGCTTCTCATTTTGAATGTGTATGTATTGCATATGATTATTCAGAATTAAGATTTTTGAAAAGCATCTTTTTAAACAATGTAACATTGTTTTGCTTTAGTTTTTATAGATGTTAGAATTGTGTTTCTGTATACAGCGTTTCTGCTTACTGACCAAAACTACTATTATTAGGTTTCAATGCACAGAAATCTTTTTTGACCATTTATGCCATATCTGTATATCGTTTTATATATTAATTGTTCTCCCCTTGCACAAGTCTCCCACCTGCAGTATTTTGACTTAAACTGGTATCTACCCGGCTTGGCGGTGTGGCGCATCTAAACATTAGGAATATGCTTGCCACCACACCTCTGATTACCCTGCGTGGGTTCGCAGGTTCAAATCTCATGTAGGGATGGATGGTTATGTGCGAGAGGATTGCTGGACTCCTCTCCGCTGTAGGGTTGTTCCAGTAACCGCTGGTCGGTTACGGCTTCCTCCACCATCAAGTCCATGCTGCGGGAAACAAATAACTGGCTAACTAACCCCATACCCGACATGGACTGGTAACTGGACGAGAGGCCGTCGTTCGCCATATGATCAAGCCGCCTTATCGACTTTTCTCTCCCCGAGATAAATATGTTGATCCTATCCTACAACCACTGCAAATGTTATCAATTGATAATGATTTTGGAGTTATCTTCTTACAGTCTTACCTGTTAGCTTTTCAATGATAGCTTATTATTAACGTTCATACTAATAACCTTACTTTGTGTAGCACTAGCTCTTCTACAGGTCCATATTGTGCAAAAATAGAATGCCTTAATGATCCATTTCAGCCTAGAATTGCCTGAGTTAAAATTTTATCTGTAAACTATGTAACTTCTTGATATTAGGTCATCTGGGTTATACAACAAGTTTTCTTTTCAATATATCTTTATTGTATTTTGAGCATTAAGAGTTTACTGAACCTCGCTAAACAAAACAATTCACTGTAAACAGGAGTGAGTCTATAACAAATTGTTTTATATCATTAGATTGGATTCTAGAAACGCCTAAACAAAATTAATACCAGGAGGTATGATTGGAAAACCAAAAAATTGAATTTTATACACATGACTGAATTGTATAATAACAGGGTGATCCAAAAAACGGAACCCCTTAATTTCTCATTAATTGGAGAAAATTTATTCAACGCTTCCGTCTGTGTATAACTGTACCTGAAAATTTAGTAATCTAAACTTTGCGCAAAAGTTTTTTCTCTGCAGAATATGTTAGAAATGACCTGGGTTCTGTTTCTTGTCCTGTACCTGAATCATAACCCGGTAATGACCTTTTCATTAAACTTTAACCATTGACTGAATTTCACTCATATTTTACTGAACTCAGGAATTCAACTAAATTGAAACCGGAATCCAAACCTCTCCAACAGATCAACTCACGGAAACGACACAGATCGGATGAAGATTCTCTATGCAAATCTATTGAAAAAAGTTCAAAAAATGAGCGAGAGACTCCTAAAGCAAAGCGTGTTATGCATTCTCAAACAAAGGATTCACCTGTATTAGCAAAACAGGTTAGAAATTTTTCAAAACCATATGATTTGAAGAAATAGTAAAAAAAATTGGTTGACCTACGAGAGATTTTGAAAAATCACTCTGATCTTTTCAAAGGCTATACCAAAAAATGGGTAGTCCGAAGTCTAAACAAAAAACACTTATTAGCAAGCATACGATTTGCTATTCAGCATGAAACACATTATCATTAGCACAATTTTCTAACTGGAGATGAACCTAATTACATAAGAAAGGTTTTTTCGTTAGTGCAAGGGTTGGGAGGAGTTTTTTTTACCAAAAGTCAGAGCACCCTTTTTCTTATCACCCAGCGACCAGTTTTCACCCAGATTATGTCTTTCATTTCTTTAGTAGTCACTAGTCACTGATATTTACCTATTGTTTTGTTTAAATCAACCAATGACTCGTTGGCCAAATTTGTAAAGTTGTTATTAAAGCTGTTATGGAGGATCTCTATGTTGTCAGCCTAACTAAACTTCCTACATTTGCAGGGATTTAGGACTAGCAAATACTTTTTGGATTAGTTGTTCAGTATTGACATTGCGTACATACTTTGTTAAATTAGAGATGAGTTTTATATTTTTTTTTAAATATTATTTATCACAGAACTACCTCCAAGAAGATGTTGATAAAGAATTACAGAGTTTTCTTACTCCTGCCAAAGATGATCAAACAGATGCCGAGTACGATGATGTGATTGATGTGAGCAAAAGTAAAATGGATGAAAACAAGAAAGTCTCACAATATCGATTCCGAAATATGATGGTCACTGAACTACCATGTTTGCCACTAAAGTCACCTTTACCTGAGCTCAGGTAGGATTTTTCATAATTCATAATATTCAAATATTTATGGCTACCGTACTGGTGCTTAAATTCTCCCACAACTTTAGCGATATGGTTTCAGCATAGAATTTTATGAAAAATCTGGGTACTCCCGAAGTATGTGAACCAGGGTTAGGGCATAATTTTTCTTCCAATTTTCTTTATTTTAGTTTTTTTACGAGTACGGGAACTAGCCAAGTAACTCCCGTAGTATTTGGTTCATCTTGGTTCACATACTTCGGGTGTACCAAAATCTGATAGAGAGTGAAAGCAGGAGTCGACCAGAAAATACCTTGATTTCCAGCCTTATTATCTCATACGATGCGTATTCATGCTTATCCATGTAGTAGAATAATGAAAGTATATGTTAGTTTATCACTATCTTCATAGATTTTTCTGCTCTCCCGGGTCAAAATAATTTTCTTCCTCACACTATTTTGATATATAGGATATTTGATTTTTATTTCAATGCAAGTTTATATACAATTTCCTATATATGATATTCAGGACATTAGGTATATATGGAGTGGTGGTTTATTAGATAAAGTAGGTGCCACCTGGTTGAAATTTCCCTGGAATTATGGGTGCTGTGATAGCCTAGCGATAAAATCGTTAGAACTAACTGTATTGACATTTCAGATTACACAGCCCTGGTTCAAATCCCATGCATACATCTCATCCCTCACCCAGGGTATAATAAATTGGGTAGGCAATGCTGGACCAGAAGTCCAGAAGTATTCTAGTTTTAAATAACAGTGGCTCCTCACATATTGTTAGATATCTGTGGCTGCTTCTTTATGGCCTGGTTTGGAGCGAAAAGCCTGAATAGCATTGTATAAAAAATTTCATGTCATGCTTGAATCTTAATTAAAACAAAACATATCTATGAGTTTCGCCTGTGCCTAACTTAAGCATTATGATTGTAATCAGTTGTTTGTGCAAGAGACATTTTATACCAGTATGCACTAAATTTGGTAGTATTGATACTTCGTTTGAATAGCTGTTTTTTTTTCATTTTTTTTTTAAACAGAATATGGATTTTGTACTGAAAGCCTAAATATTTTGAATTGACCCACATTGTAGAAAAAATTACAATTGTAAGGCTGACTTATATGCTAAATAAATATGAAGGTGCCTTTTATGATGTCATTGATGATGAAAATTGTTATTATTCAACTTCATTATGTTCCACATGGCTACTTCATAGAATGGTGATAGTGTTATAATGATCAAATTTTCACTCATTGTCTAGCTTTTTTCGAAATGCGAATAACCCACCAAATCTACTGAGAAAAGAACTTTTTTGCATACTTTTGCTTGTGGCTATTTAGGAATGTTTTAATTTGTTGTGATTGCATCTTTTAACTCAGATTAATCACTTTTTGTGGGCAATTGCTTTGATTTTGCCTCATATGCAAGCGATTTACCCAATTGCACAATCATTTCCATAATACAATAATCGGCCATGGATGTTACTTGCGTCAAATTATGGCATGGACTCTTATTTGCTTAGTTTCGGGATGGATTTACTTTGTATCTTGCTTGGCTGCAGCTTTTCTCTGTTTGTACTTTCGCGCGTTTACTCGGTTGCGACACCTCGCGCACGTGAATTATTTTGTCACTGTACACTGGGGGTCGCAACAGAGTGTTGAGCCTCGATGGGTTTTCAGGTGTCAAATTTTTGAACATACCAAAAACTCGGTTACATTTATTATTACGACGCTTGCGGTGATAATTTAGTAAAGCCATCGAACTTAATTGATTTGACAATGAGTTGAAATAAATACGAATTTAGAGCGTCAATTTCATCTGGTTGTTTTTAATGAGCGCTATGTAATTTTGCTATTGGTAACCAGTTATGATTGTGACGCGGGTATTCAATATTTACTGGGTAAGCAAGCTGCATTAATTGAAAATAGTAATTTTTTTGATATACTTGAGCGGTGTGAAAACTCGACCTTAAAAATTAGGCTCCACTTCCGCATGTAACAAAATCGCAGGAAATAGGCTTCCTGCTAAGTACGCTAAATGATCGACGCTAAATAGGACACGGACTTATTAATTGATAATGATATTCCTGAAACTTTCTAAACAGAATGAATAATTATCTTCATTTATTCATCGGGGGTTGGCATCAATTGTCGACTATATTTCACATTGTGATTCTCAATAGAGCACGCAAATTTAAATATGCCATAAAACAATTAAGCGTTCGCTCGGCAGGTGGTATCAGGGAATGTATTAAACTACCGGTCCTTTCTAGTATACTTATTACTTCAGGTATGTATGTGTCCATTGCCAAAACGATGCATGAACGACATAGTAGTAGTAAAAAGACAAATACGAGTAATATATAAGTCATTTTTCAATGACGAAATAGCAAGAATATTTGTGAGCTCTCCTTAATTTATATCTTCTTTTGTCTAAAGCAGGTTAGACTATGGTCGAACGAAGGCTTGATAATATACTTACTATTTCGTGGAAAGAGATTATGTTATTCTTATTCAACGTTTGTTCAGCCACCAGCGTTAACCTTTGGCTGTAATTGCATATAAATATCTTTATCGAGTAATAACCTCGTTTGACACGGCCTTTGCAGTCGCATCTTATATCGCATTTCTTTGTTTTTTATTCCATTTATTAATGGACGCAAAATGCCGCGTATGGATAATAACGGTACAGGAAATCGGAAGACTTTTCTTGTCCGTTTCAGATCATTGTCTACATCACAGGTTCCAGCTGCACAATTTCAACACTGAAAACCATAGTGTATTTGGCTGAAAAAAAGCACCAATTAGAAATTTAATGTCATCCACCATATTAGGGGGCTTTCCTGATCTAGTGACGGAAATTGCAGGGAAATTAGCGTCATTTGCAACGAGCAGATGTCAAAAATCCCGGACAGTGCAAACTTCCGCTGTAGTTTCTCTCTCACACGAAAAGTGCCGCCCACTCGAATTGATCTGAAATTATTGGCTAATTATGACCCTCATCCTCTCGAAGGACATTCAAAGCGAAGGGACCTTCTGTCAGGCACGCGTTTGCCCTGAAGGACTGAAGAAATTGAAATTCGGAAACGGCGTAACCGATTGAAACACGATGCAGTTAATTTAAATAAACTCATCTGAAAGACATCATATCCGTTTCCTCTCAAACGCCGATAGAGATTTTCTAACATTGACCAGGCCATGTTCATCATTACGCTCTCTTCGGACCCGACTTGCCCACCTTTAAAAAAAAAAAGGTAAAATAATGATAAATGAAGACCAAAGAAAAATCACTTAACAACTATGTTTCGTTTTCTTGCCTACGGATACCACATGCCCATTTAGCGTTATCTCATTTAAAATCTTAAATCGGCTTTTATTTCGGTAATTTATTCACAAGCGATCGCGGTACATTTGGTGAAGTTTTACAGCCAATGTCATTTATATACCGGTATCATGTATATGAAATACGCTGGGTATGTTCTGTTGAATATGCGAAAGCTTTGAAAGTGTCTAGCTGTGAAATTATGCAAAAATATACTTCATGTAGTCAAGCAACATTTAATTTCCGCCCGAATTTTCTTATTGAATCAATCGAGAGTGATTTAAAATATTTCACTTTCAAGGAAGCGAACGTCTTTAAAATAAAAATTATAGTGTGAGAAATTTAAACTTCCGTTTATGGAAATCAATTCTCATTGTCGTACATTTTTGCAATTGTATTCTACAATTAAAACTTGTTACGTTTACAATGGGTAACTAAATAAAACGTTGGGATTTAACTCTGATGTCATTGTGTAGCGAACAACGTTCACCTACGGCCGTTAAAGCGACGTCATGTCGTCGAGAATACGTGTTTTGTGGTAATGGTGTTCACTTTTTGATTTTATTTCAATGAAAGTTTGCTTTGGACCTCGGGGAAACTTGCATGGGAACACAGAGATTCTGCAGTTTGGACGTGAAGTATTATCCTCGTCCATGCTATAGTAAAACATAATATCGTGGATATATATTACTTATCTCTGGGCTTTCTTTGGTCTCTGATGGTTTATTATTTTTGGTCAGAATTCTGGATGGAATAGATGTTCACACACCTGTGTTTCATTGTTTGGGTAGGACCTTTAACGGTCGTCTGCTACGTCGTCTCTCTCGCCCTTATAGCTTACTTACTTTTTGTTGTTATCAGTTTCCATTTCATCTCGATGTGTACTTACGTTCGAAGACGGTTGTCCTTGTCCAGACTAGCCTTAGCTCGACCTCATAAAAGTTTTAGTAAACACCTTTCCTAGAGGCTCATGATACCACATATCGTTATATACAACCGTTTGTTTCATACGGTTCGTATGGGCTCAAAGAGAAGGCAGTTTTGAAAAAAAAATTCTCTTAGGCATCCTTCACATAATCATGTCCTACGTGGGGTGGTTCGTCGTCGCATCAAAATATATGCAATCTTGATTGTCGAATGATATATAATTTTAATTACGTATGTTTTATATCTCAATGACGCTCTAATCTTGTTCGCGTTAACTTTACTGCTAAGCCCACTTACAGACGACATTTGTCTTATCTTATTGTCCGGACAGGCATGCTTATTCTATCATCGATAATCGTTCGAAAGTTATGTTTACTTTAACAGCTTATCTTTGCGATTTATAATTGTATACATTTGTGATTGTAGCCGTAGGCCTGCTCAAGGATCCCATTTTGTAATTGTTGGTGAGATGTCAAAAGCGTTTCTTATGATAAAATTGTATTCCCATATACCAAGTTATTGCTATTAGGACCATTCTGAGGAAAAGTATCATGGTGAAATTCGAGGCTATCGCAAAATCCGGTAAATTTTAACCCGTCGCTTTGTCTCAAACCACTTTACTTTTGTAGAAGTTGAAATGAGTTGAAAAATTAACGAAGCCGTGTGGAAACTACAGGCCGCCATGGATATCTTAATTCTTAATTTTAGCAGAATAACTGATTTTAGTATTCCGGTGGTATATCAGTCGCAGAACTATTATTATATATTTGACGCAGGTCCATTTAAATTTTTCATGATTTTTGTTTGGCTCAATTTCCCAACTTGAAGCTGTTCTTTGTAAGTCGTGATATAATACACTTGGTTAGCGCACTATACTTGTTGCCGTTGTAAATAAATAAATCTAATATTTTGTCCAATACAGAGCATTATTGCAATCGTTTCACGGAAAAAATCATGATTGTTAAATTTTTAATAATAGAAGTACTTATACTAAGACGATAGTGATGATAAAATACACCATGGAACCTCCTATCCAAATATTTAACATCGACCGTTTAAATGCCCCGTTTACTTTTTCTCGAGCGTAATAAGGCATGAAATGAAGAAGAATCATATTCACGTCGACAACTTGTAGCTTTTACGACGAACAGGCAAGCCGGAATTTACTTTTCATAGTCGTCGCGCTTTTGTATTTATTCAGGTAACTAAAAACCGCATTTCCTTTGACGATGTGGAATTTTGGCGCATGGGTGATTTACGCTTAACCAAACATTGTTTCTTGGCTTACGCCTGGCCTTCCTTGGCCCATAATAAGTAAAATTAACTATCAATTGTTGTTCAGAGGCGTTTTACTCTCAAAATTACTTTTCGGTTGAACTTTTATTTGTTCTGTAGCCCACTCAGAGACGTATTTCATTGAAGGCGGTTATTCTTTTGTCATTTCGTCACCGAGGAAAGTGTTTTCTTCTCGATATCGGCCTTACATGATCGAGGCTTAAGTCGAGATAATAAACAAACGACGGGCACGAACGATCCGAGAAAAAAGGATATCGAACGCCAATAAAGAGATAAAGCCACTTAACACAGCGGACGAAATAATCGCTAAATTGTCATCCGCATTTTTTCTTTTTTATTTGTCGCCCTTTTAAGCGAACGACATCTACATTCTGAATCATCTTTTAGTTTTGCAGTATTGGTCAGCGTAAAACCATAAACTCATTTAAATACAAGATTATTTGCAAGATTCAGTTATTAGAAAAGCAGTCTTAACGTTTTGAATTTGTTGATTTATTTTTCATTGCAATCATGATTATGCAAAAGAACGTTTACGTCAAAAGTGCAACCGAAAGCTTTCAGCTTCAAAGGTATATTTAGACTTGGTGTCATATTACCTACTATTAGACTATTTCAATAAACAGATAAAACATCGGTGTATCTATTGCGCCAAACTAAGACTGTTTTCGGAACGGTAATCTAGAAAATTTTTAACCACGGTTCTAGTAAATAGTGATAAATTACTGTTCGTATTTCTACATTTATAAATACCAAGTTAGCATATTTTGATGGTTCATGTATCGCTCTGAATACAGTTCGTATTATCGAATTTTCTGAATCAAATACTTTCGGTTACCACGTGTTTAAATGGACCGTGACCGCCGGCGCAGACTGGTTGAAATGATACGTCTTTGTTACTGGATTTCGTATCCAATTTAGAGTTGTTTTGCTCGAACGCCTACACATGACGCACGACGAATGCTAGTTGGGTGTCGTCATCCAGCGGTACTTTTGATGTGTGGTCTCGACTCATTTTTAAGTAAATTATCTATATCTTGTGACACACTACGGAAGTGCAAATTTTCAAGTTTTATATTGTCTTTTTCTATTCTTTGAGGACTTTATCAATAAATGATATTAAATTTATTTTTTCTTTTACAGTTGGGCCGATTCACAAGACTTATGGAAAGCAATGGTAAACAAAGAAATGAAATATCAATGTGATAATAAATACATGATCAGGCATCCTGATCTTCAACCAAGAATGAGAGCCATCTTAATGGATTGGATGATCGAGGTAATTTTGTACTATTATACTCAAAGGGTAGATTTTTTCACCCCAGATTCTGGAATATCCATTGTTTCACGAAATTCAGAATTTTAAAGAAACCTGTAGTATATTGTACTAATGGGCTAATGGCCACCCCCACTAGTTCTAACTAATTCTAACAATACAATTCCTCTTTAGGTTTGTGAAGTCTACACACTGCATCGAGAAACTTTTTACCTTGCTGTCGACTACATCGACAGATTTTTATCAAGAACAGAAAATATAAGAAAAACACAATTACAATTAGTGGGAATTACAGCTTTATTTATCGCAGCAAAATTAGAGGTTTGTAGATTTATATCAAATGTAGACATGAATTTTTTATTTTTCGATTGGGAACCTTGCTTTCAAAGAGACTTGATTAGAATAATATGTCTTGTATATTTATCTAACTATTATTTTCTTTTTATTCCAGGAAATCTACCCGCCTAAGCTTGCTGACTTTGCCTATGTAACAGATGGTGCTTGTACGGAAGATGAAATTTTAAAATTGGAATTACTTATGTTAAATAAACTCAAATGGGCTCTCTCGCCTGTTACAGTCAACTCATGGCTGAACGTTTACCTGCAAACTGCACATCTTTCATTTATCGCAAATGCATCAAATACTTTTATATTGCCGCAGTATCCACAGCATACTTTTGTCCATGTCGCGCAGGTGAGAGCTTCTTCAATTTTAAAAAAGGTTGTCCTCTTAATGTTTATAATGAAACAGAAAAACGAAACTAGCCATTTTTTACCCTTCGGGCAACAAAACAAGTTTTGACCAAATTTACAGAGGTTAGACTCTATTCCGAATATAAGACTCAACTTGAGTGCACATAACCTCTAGGCTTAGTAATCTTTTCATATCTTCTGATCTTGATCTCATATTATTGATAAAATGCTACAGCCATCCTATTTCAATGTATTACTAACATTCTATTCTTTGTTTTTAGCTGACTGATTTATGTATATTGGATATGGAAAGTTTAGAATTTTCATCAGGAGTTATAGCAGCATCAGCACTTTATCATTTCTCATCTTGTGAACTTGCTACACATGTGTCCGGTTATGAATACAAAGATTTAGCTAAGGTAAGTCATTCTCAGATTGTATGCTTAGCAATAATATAAAGATTATGTTCACAATGTTATATTATGTTGAGTAATATGTTCACAATGTTACAATCCTCGTATTTTTTAACCTAAAATTTGCTTGATACTATTTCCTTTGGTAAATTTCTCTTTTTTTCTTAACAGTGTATTCATTGGATGGCACCATTTGCAATGACTGTGCGAGATACCGGTCTTCAACCAGTAAAAGAATTTGCAAAAGTTGAAAAATCTGATGCACACAATATTCAAACTCATTCTAATGATATTGCGGCACTGGTAAGATTTTTACTATTTTTAAGTTTGGTAAAATACTATGATACAATTTGCAATTTCAACTAAACATGTATTATTAATTTTGATTTCAACCTATTTTCGTCTCTTCAAATTCGAAATTCTAGTATATTTACATTCTTCTCTTTTATAGGATATGGTATATGAAAGAAGGTCACAGCATTTGACAGTATGTTCGTCGCCAACAGAAATTGCAGGAATTATAACTCCACCTAAAAGCAGTCAAAAACCTATGATAATCGACTCATCTCATGCGAAACGTGCCGGAGTAGGACACTGTTGAGTGTTTCGAGGACTGCCCTAACGATGTGGGCAAAAGTTCTAATCGCGTGACCGTCAACGCATTGTGCGAAAATTACAAGGTGTGTCCAAAGGTTTTGCGGAATAACCCAGAAAATCAGCTCCTATCCCATCAATGATGATGTCAAATGTGATGCTGGCTAGAGTCGCTTTGCCTGCTTGAAAATCTTCACCACTGTGATGGATTATGGTTGTACAAACTGGGTAGGGCTGTAATGGTAAGACATACTACCATTATTCCCAATGACTAACAGATAGTAAAAAAAAAAATTTACAGACCGCTGAAGGAGTCCAATTATAGGGGATAGAGAATGTCCAATATAAACTAAGATAGAGTTGCTTGCGTGAAATAGGCAATGCTTTTAAAAAATGAATTTTTATTATATACAAAGTTTTTTTTGTTATGATGCGATATTAGCATAAAAAGTTTAAAAAAAATTTTTGTATTTTTTTTTTCAATTTTATTTTCCTGTTCAAATTTGTTTTCTATGGTGCAAGATATTTATGCTACTACAAATGTTTTTTTTAATAAGTCCAGTAATATAGTTATGAATTTTAATGCATACTTATGAACTCGCAACAAAATTGCAACACTTGGTGCATTGCTCATTTTATGTCATCATAGCTCATTTTTCTTGTCTTGTCTCTCTATCTCCCTCTCTCTCTCTTGTAAGTGATTATTTTGTTCGTTTCATTTGGTGATGGCAATCCTAAAAATGAAAATGAAATATTGAAACATCTCAACAACAGATATATACTGAATTCGGTGCAATTTTGTTAGTTCCACCAATTTGAATCTCAAAATTCTCAAGCGAACCACTTCTTTCTTGAGCATGAACGGATAGTATATTGTGGTAAACATCCAGAGTTGCTTCGGAACAATTTTTTCAAAGTATACTATACTATTCAGTGCACTATTTCCCTCGTTTTATATGTGCTATTTTTGTGTGCCAAGCAGCAATTTTTTTGTATTTATGTGCCTCATTTGAAAAATATACCTGTATCTCTGATTAAAATCGTCTTAGGATAATGCTAGTCATTTGCTTGTGGATATGAAATCTGTATGATGATGTAATAGCTGTAATATTATTATTGCTTACATATGCTTTGCTCTGTTAACAAACCTCTTAATATAGGACCAAACAAAAAATAACTTATTCCAATGTTCGTGACCAAACTTTGTTTTACATTTCATAATCATACTTTTACATTCATATTTTATATAGTATTGTTGCGAAGAACATAAACAATGACATAACGAATTCTTATTTAACTCAGTCACACACAGTATAGCAAGCTATTACTTCTAGACAAGTTGGCAAAGAGGAAATTTAAAAACACCATCCAACCACTGATTCGCCTTTTCAAATGAGTTTTTTCAAACCTATTGTCTTTTGCGCCCTTCCATGGTTGCAGTCCTGAATCTGAATCCCGACATTTTTGTACCACAAATGAGGATTATTGTTGATAAATTTTCCACGTTGTCCAGATGAGATAAGCTGTTGGGAACAAGGTTATTCAGATGTTGCTTTCTGATAAATGTGTTGAATATGAATTGTTTCATATTAGTTAAAAGCAGTATTTGCCAAGATATATCGTTTTTAAAGATAAACCGTTCTTTCTGTCCAAAAAATGAAACCAATCAGTTTATACCCAAACTTAGATATTTTATATGAAATAAACTTTATTGTTCATTTTATGTTTCGTGGCTAAATGGAGTTAACGAGGCGCGGTTCGATCAGATATGGGTCATAGTATGCCTAATTTTATATGCGAGATTAGTATGCTTCGCAGGATCATTCTAGGAAGACTTCTTCATGTCAGTGATTCTCCAAGTGGCCAAAATGTCTGAATTATCTATCGCGAATTTCCTTGATTTGTATATAAAAACCATTCATGATTCATTTGTGATGTATTAATACCGATTGTCTTCTAATTTGCTGGAATCCGTTTTCCCGTCGTGAGTTAGTAAAGAGTTTAGTTGAGCCACTGACGCTATCAGTTGTCTCATCGGCCCGCTAAATATATTCCAATATATCTAAATTCCGCAAGACACTGATGGCCTCTCAATACATTTTGTGGGTTTTAATTCCTATTGCTGCGCAAACCAGACTTGGTCGGAGGATGTATGTTTCGTTAAGTCTATGGCTTCATAACGGCGAACATCATGACACAGGAGTTCGAGAGCACATGGTGCCTGCACATGGACAGCGGCAAAATTCTCATTAAATTGGAAAATTCTCAGCTTTTGAATTGCATACTTTTTCCTTAATTACATCGTTTAATTATTTTTTGTGTTTTTGACATTTTGGGTTGATTTTGAAGGTTCGCCGGTCCGCAAAATTAGTTTTTAACTTTCACCGGTCCGCAAACTAAAAAAGGTTGATAACCACTGATAGACTAAAACCTGTTGGATTCGATACCAACATCATCCATGGGGGGCATCATGCTGGGCGGCGATGATGGTGTACTGTATACTGTAGAAGGAAACACGTAGTGAGGAGAAAACGTGTGATGCAAGCGAGTGAAACAGCGTTTAACTTTCTTATACCCAGTTACAAATTGTTAGAAAAGATTAGTATTTGGGTAATTGAATTTTCCGAGATGAATGGAAAGTTCGTTCACAAGGGAAGGAAAATAACGAGAAAATACTGATTGCTGGGTTTTCGTGTATATTGACGAGATAAATTGTGACTTGAGATTGAAGATAGTGTATAAGCAAGTTGTATAAAAATTAAGTGATGTAAAACCAGATGTACGGTCTTCTCATAGTAGAGTGATAAATTGTAGCAATGAATGTTTGAGACCGTTCCAAATGGTTCTACTGGGAAATAATTCCCTAGCCTAGATAAATGATTTTTTCCGAAATTGATTCTTCACGCAGGTAGTAGCCTGCGACGATAATCACAATAATATCTTGTCTCAAGCAGAGATAAAACAATGCACGACGTAATTGAGGCCAAACGCATAATCTATAATGTTTGCATTAATTGTGAGAACCGCCAATTAGTGCCTTCTCAGACGATTGCTAAAAACAAAAGCACAATGATTTAAATCTTATACAAAGACGTCATTAAAAAGAGATTACTTACACCTGCGTAATAATAATATGAAAGTTGGTTTGAAAGATTCTGAACAAAAAGGAAAAGGAAATATCCTGGTGTCAAAAACTTGAATTTCTCTGCAAAGAAGATGTCTGAAAACATTGAGGTCGTTTAGGTATAAATCTCACGCACAAGAGCAAATATGAAGGGAGATGAGAAACGTATTATCAGCCTTTCTTATTAATAATAATTTTGGCAACTAACGACTGGTATAATCCGATTGACGAAATATTGAATCTATCCAATGATTTGAGAGGTCAGAATTGTATTTTGAAGTGAAATTCTTTTTCACGCGTTTATGAATAGCTAGCGCCCTCCAATGGTTGGAGCTCACTATTCACATCGCCAAAACCTAGCATGTTGGTACCGAACCAAACCAGTTGTACTTCATTATAGACAGTTGGTCACAAAATGTTTTGGAAAAATTACTTTTACCGTTGTTGTCGGGACACAATATTCTGCTAAGTGAAACACAAATCATTGTTAGATCATACGAGAGACAAATATGATTGAGGAATATTGAAACTTTTTCCTGCTGATATATTGTCTACTGATGCGCCCAACGCGCTTACCAGCGCCCATGCTATAAATTCCAACTTCTCCTCAAAAAACTGTTGCGCCCATGCATCTGTAACTTTGAATAGGCCAACGTTTGCGTGTAAATTTTATGGTTACTCATAGAAGTTCTTATTCACTTGATAGAGTTGTTTAGTCCTGGAAACGAAAAAGCAGCGAGCAGGAAGACAAGCGAGAGACACAACAACTTCTTTGTAGCCTACCGATAATTACGTTCTTGACCGTTGCTGATTGTTTTATTTTGAATTCTGTATTTTTTTACCGTACCTGTTCACACTATCGGTACTCGGGTTCGTAGGATAACCTAGCCAGTAGCAGTGTTAGCCTAAGCGTCAAGTTGAGAGTCAAGGCGGAGTCGCTGGTCCACAAGTCACAAATCGAGTCCCAAGTCCTTGCATATTTTATGAAATTGAATTGAAAAAATTGATTTAAATATGCATCACCCTTACACCATGACTTCAAATATCATTCTGGGGACAAAATTAACTTATCATGTTCTTGGCGGACCGTAAAGAATTTCTACCCCCAATTACATGGGTAATATATAATATATATATTTTTTTTAAAGATTGAAATATCATAAAAATCTTCATATCACTTCATACAAATCGGCGTTCAGGATTAGACTTCGTTGACGACTGATACGAGTCTAAAATCTTATGTCGCACACGTTTTGAATACAAACGCCGTCTACTACCGGCAAAGCGGCAAATATTGCAAAGTTTTCGACAATTAAGATATTTTGGCAAAGATCAAATTGCCAATTATCGATAACGGTTATGCATCCAATAGCACAGTTCAGTTCGTCCCACTTACATGTGCGCGCACGGCCCGGGTTCTAATTTCATCAGAAAGATATGAGAAAGTTTTGAATTCACAGCAAAGTTGTTAATTGCGTCTTGTACAGTAGGCCTACACATCGACAATACAAACGAGACAAGAACAATGATGCAAATAGTACTTCCATAGATTTTTTTTCTAATTCTAAGACTTTGAGTCTCAAGTGAAGTCTCTCTGGTAGTTAATCGAGTCATTTCGCTCAAATTCTACGAGTCATGAAAAACGTAAGACATGACTCGAAACAAATCAATAACTCGATTATTCCCAACATTAGCCATTAAAATTCATTCATCATCATGACCACATACTTTTTACGAAACCTTTATCTATATATTTTGGAGCTTCGTTAGACACTTCTTCCTCTATGCATCATTTTGATATATTATAGTTTGCGTTCGACTTCATCGACGCAAGTGAGCGATCTTCTTTCACGCCGCCAGTCCCACTTCCTGTGACACAGAAAGAAATAATGCTATATGAAACCAGCAAAAAGTGGACCTATGGATCGTTTTCATATTTTTGGTGATCTTGTTCTTGTTGGTCTTCTTCTTCTTCGTATCGTTTGGAAAAATCGCTTTCTCCTTGATTAGTGGACCAATTGCTTTGAAAATTTCCGTGAGTAAAGATATTTACTCACTGGATATTTTTCGTTAGAAGGCTATTACTTTCATTTATCGTCTTTTGTGTGCTATGAAACCATCAATATTTGCCACTATGTGGCGTCACGTGTCCATATATTTGAGCTTAGCTCTCTTGTATTCATTATTTTAGTCGTTGGTTTCTTACTGCAGCCCAATGTGCATACATGTATATACTGGTACATATGTATATATCAGCGTTTCCCAACATTTTTTGGTTGCGGACTAATTTCTCACCGGCGAAAACCTTTGCGGACTCAAGGTGCGTTTATTGCAACCATACTCTGTGTGAAGAAGCGAACGAATTTCAAAATCGGAATTTCGCCGCAATTACGCGTCCGTAAAAAGAGTCGATTTTTTAGTGTATAATGGCCTTTTCTGTCGCACTATATTCAATCCATGACAACGACGAGAATTTAAAATGTCTTTCTATTTGAATTGTGTTCATGGTAACTCGCGGTTGAGTCGACTTACGACAAGATGATAGCATTACTTCTTTAAAATGCCACAGCAATCTGCTAACATATTGTCCGATTATATTTAGTTTTGATACATATATATTCTTAGAGATCTTGCAAATTTGTTATCGTCGTTAGAAGAATCCTACTATCTGCTATAAATTTCCAAAAAGTACAACTTGATTTAGTAATTATTAAAAATATATTTGAAGTATATTTGTAAATCAAAAATACCGCCTCGCTTTATTGTTAATTTAATGGTGATCATTTTAATCTGCGGTTGTGTTGACGAAATAAAAGCAATACTAATCAGAAAATACTATAACATTCCGTGGACACAAAAATGTGTGGTAATGTACCCGATTATATTTTGTTTTGATTTGTATTTTTGTGAATTCAACAAATCTGAGCTGTTCGTACAACACTTACGGCGCTCCAGTACTGTACGTACCAATGTGGAGGCCTAAGGGAAAATGCCCTGGTAAATATACTACGGTATCACCCGAAATTTTGCGATTTGCAATGTCTAAATAAGCGTTTTTAATCGGTCGCGTACAATCATGAAACAAAAGTTATGGTGTTCTCCGTTTTATTTTCAGTTTTTTGTATTGACGCATTTTAATTTGGGTTGCCACCTACTAAAAAAAAAATTATTTTTTGTTGTTCGAACTCGCGAGAAACACCACGCGTGTGCTCGGGTTGTGAAATCCAATCGTTTTGACCTGTCGCTTCACCTGTTACCAAATTTTCGAATAGTGAATTGCTATTCCAATAGTTGAATATTCGAATATATGCCCAGCCATAATCAGTAACTAGCATAGGCGTAGCCTGGGGGGGGGGTTAATGGGGGTGGATTTTGTATTCACAAAAAGCCATCTGAGTTGTTGGATCAGTTTGCTTATTGATAAACTGTTGTTGGTTTGCGCTTGAAGAAGGGGTGTCTTAGACCCAATATAATTTCTAAGACTTTCAAATTTGCCCCCCCCCCCCAATTTTGGGCTGGCTACGCCACTGGTAACTAGTAATAATTGACTTGATTAATGTTATGTAAATAAACTTACTTTTTAGGTTTTATGTAAATTTTAACGTAAATCGTAACTTGGCTGATAGTTAACTTTTGCAAAAACGTTTGCGGTCCGCAGTGAATTTCTGGCTCGTTGCAGACTCATTCAAACGCTCCGCGGACTCATTTGAGACCGCGGACTCGGGTTGGGAAACAATGGTATATATGCTCATTGTGCGGCCGGACTTGATCATCAGTGACCGTCAACACCAAGTTGCCCATCACACTGTCACTGATGTACATCTACTTACGTTTCAACGTGACAAAAATAATCGTTTGTTCTTTTTAAATTTTCAATCTTATGAGTGTATTTTTTTTCCAAATTTGATAAAATCCCGATATGTCGCACATTCGTGTTTTAGGCCAGTATGGCCTTGTGCATACATCCCGTCTTCAATATTTATAATTACTAATTCTTTTATATTGCTTTTATGAGACGAATAAACATACATACATACTGTAAAAATCTCGATCCTAAAATATCAACCTCAGTCCTGAAATCTCGGCGAATACGCCCTCCATCCACCCACAACTACTCATGCGTGAAAAATTGCCATCGTTTCGGAACAAACAACATTCTGTCGTCGTCAGTTTAAAGTTTGAGATTTATGTTCCGTTTATGGCTTCATTTTTGTAAAAAAAAACATTAAACGTTATTGATCTACAGATTTATCGCTTGCAGAACAGTCTAATAGGATACCTATACACCGTTTAGAGGAGTTCCAAAACAATAAAATCAGAAAATGGACATCGATGTCGACGAAATCACTTCCACATCAAAAGAAAGTCTGAAGTTCGATTCAATCATTGGGCATATTGAAGATATCATTATTAGTGAGATAAATTATATATTTTTAGCCACTATTTTGATATCGCTCTTTAACACATTTGACGAGAGAGTTTGAATTCCAAGACAGAACAGCAGAACGAGATGCATCACGGAATAGCTTGACACTGTCTGTGACTCCCATCAATGCGGTTGTTAGTTAGCCGTAAACTCCTAAGTCTAAATCCCATTTTGCGTTTGTAAAATTTCGTAATTTTTTAACTGGCCTACTGTATTTCACATGCAGACATGGTAATTGGAATGCACAACTGGTCATCATATGAGAGTCTATTACCTACTCGCCATATCATTTAGCTATCTTTTCATCAGCTATACCCAATGGTGAGATTCAGGAGTTTAGCACAAACCTATTCCAGTATTCTTGGGATGCCATTACGGCGAAGCCGTGAGATACATTAATTGGTGTAAATTTTGAAAACTAATGCGAAATAAGAATTCTTTCAATTTATATCCAATGAAGAGGGAAGTCTATAAGACTGACTAATTATATGGCAAAGCTCTTGCCTCTCGTCCGGTTGCCAGTTCATGAGAATAGTTTACCAGTTATTTGTTTCTGATGCATACCTTGTGCTGCAGCTATCTCTCACAAATAATTATTCCTCAGGAGTGCAAATGTAACCATGTTGCTAAACTTGTGATTTTAATATGACAGCGAGCATGCTTTATACTCATAGCATACTGGCCAGCTATTAGATGGACAGATTCATATTTTTAAGAGACAGATTTTTTTTCAAATAGCAACACAAGATAAAATTAAATTGGCCAATATATATAGTGAAGAATTGATCTGCTGCTACAGATGATGCGGTTTCGCAAATAAAATCGTCACTGAGTGTTGTTATTCATACTTTTTTAAAAACCCCTACAGCAGTTCGAAGCATGACGTTAAACGTATTTTTCAATTTAGGTGAGGATTTTCAGAATATGCAAGATACATTCATGGAAAAATATTATAAGGAATTTGATGACTCTGAAGAAAACAAATTTATTTACACTGATATATTTAAAGAATATGTAAGTTATTATTTATTCCATGGTTTTGAAGCATCCATTAGGTTGTATAGCTGTGGTCTGCATATGAACACAACTGTGGAATGGCAAAACTTCAATGGAAGAGAGTTATTTGGGACACTGAGAATGTGACGATGTCACAACAAGAGTGAATGCTGGTAGCTGGTACTTTCCTAAAGTACATTCAGTTCCCGTTAATTAAAACAATTTGCCACAGATTTATCTATTATTATACACCACAATCTCAAACTAATGAAGTGTTCAGAGTCAGATGAGCATATTTTCCTTGATCTTACTGTAATTGCTAATCTGCAATTAATGTTCTGACACTAATTTAAAAACAGCTACAGTCTGACTGAAGTTCTTAGCTCAAATAAATATTTCTCAATACTCGGCAGCCATAGATCACGTTTATCATTGGCAGTTGTGTTATAAAAATTTGTATTTTAGACTGCCACAATAGAAAAATGTTTGAATGATGAACTCAAGAAAAGAATTTCTGATTTTTCAATGGAAATGTTTGTCTCAACGTTACAGTGAGTATAGGAAATTGTTACAAATTGCTATTGTGATGAATTCCATGAATATTGCTAATACTTTGTTTTCCAGGGCACATAAGAATGAGATAACTGGTGATATCTTTGACATGCTCCTCAGTTTTTCAGATTTCATTTCATTCAAAGAAATGTTTTTGGATTATAAAGCGGTAAGTAACAACACCATAGTAAGCCCAAGAATACACATTCTTTGTGACGAAGTTTTCAGCAGCCAAACTGAATTCTCACACGTTTACAGTCAGTTAGTTCACTTTTTACACAAGAACAACTACCGGTATATGCCAGGAGTTTTTTTTTCTGGCCACATGGACACTAAGTAAATTCTTGCACCAATCTGTATTTACTAATGTGCAAACCCACACTAATTCTATATCGTGTCTGTAGCTTCACTCAGGGATCTTTAATTACTGGGTGAGTTTTCATGACTTTGCTCTGAGCAAATATCTTGAAAAATTAATAAAAAAAATTATATTCCTGTGATGTCCACTGGTTTCAATCCTTAGCATGGTGGAATGATTTTTGTCATAAAATGGACAATCCACTACTAGGGAGCTTTCATTTCGAATTCTTCACAAGGAAAATTTGCTCAATAATAGCAAGGTTATGCGAGATTTACAGACAACGACCGAGACTATGAATCTTTATAGTGTAGAATTCCATTCTATCCATATAACTGAAAATCAAAATACATTTTGCTAAATCTATTGCTGCTTTCATTAAAATATATATTGCATTTTTCAGGAAAAAGAAGGTAGAAACATGGATATTAATGATGGTTTTGTAATCAGATCATTGGCCCCTGCAACATCTTCACAAGTCAGAGGGGATGGACCGGATAACGCTAATTCAGTACCAATGACTTTGACATGACTATAGTAGTTTCACTCTATACTATTTTAGAATACTCGGCCAGAAGCAAAGACCAAGCGCCATTTACTGTGACACACTTCTGTAAACTTAATACTGTATCGCACGTACTACTGCTGCTACCAAAGCCTGATGACAAAACAAAGATTTATTTTCTGTTTGTCACCACTGTCTAAACCAGTTCCATCACCCTTTTTTCACTCATTTGGCATTTTCCATTTACTTTTGGATTGATTTGGCCCAATATATTCCATGTTTAGCCTGCTAGATCGGTCTATAGTTGTTTTTTGAAGATATGGATGTAGAACTTTCGGTAGCGTAATTACCTTGTCCTGTATGGTACGAATAAATGAAAATATGTTTTACATTGTGTCTTTGTCAATATTCTATAAGTAGTATTACGGTATATTACGGACTGGGCTCGCTCTTATTATAACTTAGAAATTCAAGATCCAATTCATATCTATAAAATTGATATTCAAACTAGCAGAAAAAGTGTATAGGAATTTCAAATTGAAATACAGCATATTAGTGAATTGACAACAAGGTCTGTTATGCTTGATTTAAATGCATTACGGTACATACAGTTTCATGTTCCATAAATGCTCTTCATATTCATGATTTTTGGCATCAGTGACCCCAGCATTTATTGTTTAATTACTACTAATTAGTATGACGGATGGTGACGAGTAAAAACGGGATTTTCCTGTTATACTTCACTAGGGTAGGATAGGATTTACATGTTTATTCCGGGGGAGAGGGGGTGCGGTGGCGAGCGTTTTCCTAACGCTTACCACGATGCGCCACACTGCTGAGCCTAAGCTATAGACAGGGTTGCCATATCGTGCTTGTTTCTAACATTTGTGCTTATTTTCTAGCCCGCATTTTATAACATAACGATGTGCTTATTTCTAAGAAAAGCGCTTATTTTTGAGTTGCGTGCTTATTTTGTCTTAGAAACGTGGATGACTCGTTCTTGTTTTGCGTACAGAGCTTCTGTGGAAACGAGGGACGAACTTTTTCTGTTTATGGCGGAGTTTGCGATATTTCCAGGCAAACTGCGACACACACAATAGTTGCTGCTAGTTTTTAGGGATACTGTTTTTAAGTGTTTTAGGGGAAAACCGCAATTTAGACAATGAGTAAGCGTAACCATGAGTTCTCTTTCGAATATGAAAAGGAATTTGCTAATAACTACTGCTATTGCGACATCGATGAAAGGTGGGAAACAGTAATCAGTGCCCACAAAACACAAGAAGCATTGCGGGAAACCAAAGTATGAAGACTTTAGATCAGGGGTTGGCGACCTGCGGGTCATATCTGGCCAGCGGAGTAAAATAATCCGGCCCGCAATGCTTCGCTGGAATCTAGGGATCCTTATTATGTTGTTCTTCATTAATAATTCTTTTTCTCACCGTTATGAAAAAATCGCTTTTGTTTTCAATTATCGAACCAAAATGAAATTTACCGTGCGGAGAACTAGGATTAGTTATAGGCTACCCATTTAGAAAATGTTCTAATTTTGTTTTTATTCAGTGTGTCACTTGATGTCGAAAATGTATCAAGCATAATGTAACAAATAGTATCACATTAAATGTGATTTGTAAATATTTTGCATAGTCAGAGTCCACGAGTTGTTGCACTGCCGCTCGCTTTTTAATATCTAAAACTTCTGTTCTGTATAAATATTTGGTTCATCAGTCACCTGTTCAGTTTTTAACTTTCTATACGGCCCGCCAAGATTTGTAACACTTGATTTTTGACCGGGAACAACAAAAGCTTGCCGACCCCTGCTTTAGAAATTGCGCGCGGCAGTGACTTCATATTTTGCCATAGCTTTTTGCGATTTCGAAGCTGCGTACAATCGTGTTCGAAGCGACTTCTAATGATAAATAGGATAGGATTTACATATTTATGAGGGGGGGAGGAAAGCCGATAAGACGGCTTATTCATATGGCGAACCACGGCCTCTCGTCCGGTTACCATTCCAAGTCGGGTATGGGATTAGATTTACTGTATTGTTTGTTTTCGGAAGCATGGACTTGGTGGTGGAGGAAGCCGTAACCGACCAGCGGTTACGTGAACCACCCAACGACGGCGAGGAGTCCAGCAATCCTCTCGAACAAAACCATCCCTGCATGGGATTCGAACCTGCGAACCCACGCAGAGTAGTTAGAGGTGCGGTGGCGAGCGTATTCCTAACGCTTAGCCCGTTGAGCCACACCGCCGCGCCAATAGTGGGAGACTCGTGTATGATCTTCTTCACATGTTTATTCTGCGTTTCTGCGGTTGTTAAGAAAAATAACATTTTGACGCCCGTGCTTATTTTGGGCTCGGAGTAGATGGCAACCCTGGCTATAGAATATGAACATCAGGATTTGAGTTTCATATGCGGACACCCTTCTCATTAGCTTGTGCTTCATATTCATATAGTTCTGAATAAGTTGCATTTCAACTCACCTCTGACTGGTTGTTTTCGAGTAAAGCAATAATCATACGAGGCACAGCACATGCGGTACCGTTTACAGTGTGTGCAAATTTGTAATTGCCGTTTTCGTTTTTATATAAAATATGTAATCGTCGACTTTGAAAATCTGTACAGTTAGATGTGCTTGATATCTCGCCATATCCATTCTTTGTTGGCATCCATGCTTCCATATCTACTTTTTGGTGAGCTGGTAATCCTAACTCTTCGGTTGCCATATTGACTATTCTGAAAAAAAAGTTTTTTTGACGTTTTCAGGATACAAATGCATGTTGTCTCAATAGTGTGCAAAAACATATCCAGGGCTAAGGTTTCGGTTATGGCGAATTCACAACCACTTTCCAGTCTTTCTAAGCATAATGAGTACGGTAAGTGCCTGGATCAAGTTCTTTACATAAAAAAAAAATATATATATAGATCACAACATTGTGATATGTTCTTTCAACGGATGACTATTTCCTAAAATGGGAAATTCAGTTATACCTAAAGTGTAGTTCTAAGTCCGTGAATAATTCTTCTTGAATCTGTAAAAATTCGTTAAACAATTCTTCACTCTCCTTTTCCGTTTCATTAGCTGTTACGGCAAACATTTCTACCTTTGAAAATGTCAGAAATATTAAAATTGAAAATAGCAGCAATATGTTAGTAGCAACAGGTACCAATGAAGGGATAGGATAGGATTCACATATTTATCCCGGGAAAGAGGAAAGACGACTTAACCATATGGCGAACCACTGATTCTAGTCCTGTTACCATTCCATGTCGGGTATGGGATTAGTTAGTGTTTGTTTTCGGAAGCCTGGACTTGAGGGTGGAAAAAGCCGTAACCTACGGCGCGAGGAGTCCAGCAATCCTCTTGCACATAACTATCCCCGCATGGGAGCAGAGTACTCAGAGATGCGATGGCAGACATATTCCTAGCGCTTAGCATGATGAGCCACACCGCCGCGCCTAGAATAGGATAATTTTATATTTATCCCAGGGGAGAAGAAAGTGAATAGAACGACCTAATCATGTTACCTGACAAGTGACAAGGTATGGATGGAAATAGTGGAAACCAATTATTTATTTCAGATGCATGGACAACAAATTTTTACCTTTGTGAAGTGATGAACCCGATATATACCTCGTCTATCGATACTACTTCCTGAAAACATGAAAATCAAAGAATTAAAAAACAGTTATTCAGATTATATATCTTTGAATAGAAAAAAATTCAACTAATTTGTCTGGATAACCCTGGATTAACAACCAAGCCATAAATTTATAAATGTGGCAAATCTTCATACTTGTCTCTTTCCTGTTGCATGTGCTAACGCAGCATAGTTTCAAAGGTAGATGTTTGTGTAATATTGCATGATTGGCACAGAATGCAGCTATACTGACTTCCGATGTTCCAGTGATGAAAAAATCATCTTCTTGCTCAGAATCTATGTGATACAGCAACCTGAAAAAGTTTATCCATCATTTTCAAAAAATTCAAAGTATATTGATGAAATGTTTATGGCCTATTTCACAAGAGAATAATGCAAGCTGTCTCAGCCAGAAAGCAAGTTATGGTTTATATTAAAGTCAGATCCAGAGTTGTATTTTCAAGTAATCGAGGTAGAAACTTTGATCGCTTTGCACAGTTGGAAATGTGAATGTTAGATTCCTAATAGTGGTATTTTAAAGTCAAAATTTGTAGAAAAACTAAGAAATCATTAAATTGATAAAGCATGCTCAATTAACGAGCACTAGGATTTTACGATCAAAATTTGGTTTTCCCTGAGTTTAGAGCAGGTGTTGGAGTCGGTTTTCAAAAAGCTTGGGAGTGTGATGTACATTTTTCCAGTATCTGGCTTTACCCCGAAGGATTCCTGTCCTACATTTTCAATATACTGAGTTCTAATACTGTTCGATCAGTCTCCATCGAAGTAAAGCCAATTATGTACAGTGTAGTGTAGGCAAAGATTTTTTACATAACATGAAAAGCTCAATAAAGTAATTGATGTGCTTTTTCATTTGATCCATATACAAGTGTCAACTCAAAACTCTTGATACTTACTCTGACATTTTTGAGCTTGTAATTCCACATCCCTCGTAAGCAGATCCGTGCAAAATATTTGATCCCGAAATCATATGAAAACCTTTGTCTTTTAATCTATCAATTGTATATCGTACTAAAGCTTGTTCCAGATCAGCAGCTTCTTTATAGAGGTAATAAGTTCTGTGCAAAAACATAAATTTTCAGACAATTTAAAAGAAGGGCAATATTTACTACTAATATTTATTAGTCGAATTAGATTGAATGTAAGTTACAATACAAGGGATTGAACTTGAAAGCTCAATAAATATACCGGTATACAATGCGAAGATGTAATAATATAAATATTCCCATAATCCATGGGTGTAATGAAAATAACATGAATACAGGTTTTTTATATAAACATATAAAAGAGGAAAGTTGGCTGAATGATGTGCCAATCCACATCTTTGTGGTTGGAAATAGACTTTGAGCTAATCAGCTAATTGTGGCTAGTGTATGGATAAACTTGGGGGCGGAAGAAAACATACCACCTTGTTTTTGAATATGGTTCACTGATTTATAACACATAAAGATTCTTTCTGAGATTGTAATATCAAAATACACTTTCAGGACAATCTATATATATATATACACAAGTATGGATGCCAATATCTATTGCAGTGGTTCTCAACCGGGAGCCCTAGGGGCCAAAGAGTAGTTGGAGGGCCACAAAGCCCACAATGCTAGGTGCAAAACTGATTTCACTTGACAAGATAACTCCTCGTTCTTTCTAGTTTCATTGCCTAATAAGGTTATTTCAAAGAGCGTTTGCAGTGCACATCGTTGAGCAGGAATTGTTTGAAAATAAGGGGATTTGGAATCTAACTATCAAAATAACACTTAAATACCGCTGGAATGATGTACAGGGGGGGCTAAAAGCCTCTGGAAGGGGGCCATGATTCCCAAAAGATTGGGAGTGTATCAGAAAATCAAACTTGGAATGTGAGACTGAAGAGAAACAGTTTTGACTTTAAAGTAATTGCTTATCCGTAGCAGTGTGGATATTTGGTGGAAGATCAAGATTGGACCATATGATGATATCAAACCTTTGTCCTGTAAAATTAGAAATATTCTTTTGTCGAATTATGCTTGTTCTTTCACCAGCATCCATATGACCATACGTCAGATATTTATTCTTCTTTTTCTCATTCACTGTCTTTATCACTTCACCCGCTGATTCATCACCAACTACAATATCATGTAAAGAAGAGAGTGTTAAATCCTGTTTGTCTTTGACCCTTTACTTTCAAATGAAACTAAAATACTTTGTGAAAAATTTGTGTTTAGTATGTGTTTGATATGTATATACTTGCTACCAGGTGACCAAAAAAAAAAAGAAACACAAACCACAAATTTCTTAGTTACTTCTACGAAAATAAAGAAACCCTATTCAACACTTATCAAATTTTGTATATGTATGATTGAAACCAGAAGTTTCAATAATCCAGAACACTTTGCGCAAAAATTATGATCTCTTTAGTTTAGAATATGTTCCAAATGACGAGGATTCTGGTTTTTTATCGGCCTGTATCACATTCTTAACTTTTGTACCTTGTTTTAAAGCTGAGAATAGCTTGTTTATTTCCAAATAGATTGGCATTCGAGAATTGTATCAATTTATTCCAATTTTCATTAGTTGAAATGGATCCATTTTTCAGTAAAATAATGATATCATGGGTGAAATTACGAATTTAAACTAAAAAAGAGAGTATAGTCGTAAACTTTCCGAAAATAACAAGTAAGAACAAAATTTTTGGCTAGATATCTGGGTTTCTAATAAAGCATTAAATAGTGCAACATACCTGGCACCATTGGATGTGTAATATTGGGGATCATCAATGCATTTTCATAAAATAATTTTTCCAATTTCAATTCAATCCAGGACAGCAAGCTTATAATGCATCCTAAATTTAATGATTTTTGTCTATCTTTCTCAATTTCAGGAGGAACTGAGGATTCATTATTTTCTCTGTGATGAATCTGAATAGAAAATAGATTACTAGCTTGATCTAAATCCTAAAGATGGTTGCAGCTCTCAGTCATCCTTCAAAAGGGTGCTGCAATGGCCTATTTAGCGGTTAATAAAACGTTAGACTTAACTGTATTGGCATTGCGGAATGCTTCTTGCATATCATCAGACATTAGTGGCTGTTTATACAAGGCCTTGTTCGGAGATAAAGGCATGAATAGTGTCATATAAAGTATTGTCTTAATAAAATAGTCCAATTTTTATTTACCGCGATATTTAATTAATTGACTCAAATTGGCAGCATATGAACCAGAAAGCTGGCAAAGGTCATACTTTATTGGAATGGCATTTACTCGCATTCAAAACATGATTCCAGCGGGGCTGGGAAGCTGGTTGATAATCGCAATAACTCCAGCTCCAAGGACCAAAGTGTATTCAAACGATGGCTCCATATTTTACGTCTAAGCTGAGATCCAGCTTCAAAGCCATTGAAGTTTTTATGTGTGACTACTGAAACACCGGCCCGAACTTAAATCTCCCAGCCGCACTTAAAACTGGGAATAAGGGTATAAAATATACCAGGTCCAGGAATTGGTTTCCCAAGTCTTGCATGTTAGTAAGTTGAAAGAAATATTCAAAAGATTGTTGACCTGAATTTTTTATTTAAATTTCATGGAAAATCTTTTTACAGACATTTTTTTCAACTAGTTTTGATGATATACTGACCCAAAAATCTTGCGTACTTTTTGTGAGTGCGTCCTTCTCTGACACATATTTATTTTTCGCTTGTCTTATTATTTGCAATCGGTCATAAGGTGCTATCTGGAATATTTATAAATGTTAAGCTAGTAGAAAAGTATGTAGAAGATTCCTAATAACTACCATATATGATAGATTACAGCCTAATGTCAAGGAAAATCAAGGTAACTGCAAAAAAGGCCGGAAATGTGAAAAAAAAACATACAATTGGTTTTGAATATATGGAAATTTGAAGTATAAAAGACGTCTTACAACATCTTTGAGAATATCCAATCTTTCATTGTAAGGCATCCTATTCTGCCAATTGCTTTGTATTTCTTCTACATTTTCTTTTATATAATTAATAGGAATTGCTGGATGATGCAATTGTCCATCACGAACTCCTCGTAATAAAATGCTCTTTGATGGCTGATGTGGATAATTGTCCTTCACATTTTCAATTAAACCATCAATGCTGATGAATGGTTCAGCAAATTCTGTTCTTATTTTTGATACAATTTCTTTTTCATTCTTGAAGAAATTTGAAAGTCTTTTTAAATTTTGTTCTCGCGATAATAATCGCACACATGTAAAAACAGTTCTATGATATATGTGTCCTGGAACTCCATGCCGGATTTGTCGACGATATAATGACACAAGAATCTTCATTAGGAAATTTAATTTTCAACAAACTCCATACGTTTAGAATTACTTCGGCTGATCTAAATAAACAGATCTGGGTTAGGGTTATGGCATAAACCAGTTTCATACAACCAATATAACAATAGGGGCATGGAAAAATTTAGATAAAACAATATTCCACAACAGAACTATTAAAATGATATATTTTAAGATCCCAAATGATTCTATTCAATCTTATTTCATTTTATTAATAAGATATTTTGTTTTATATAGAATGTCTTTATATGGGATAATTAGAAAGCCATAGTTTGAAATTATACTATAGCTTACGAAATGATGAGAAACCCTCCTGAACAAGACAACAATCTGATAAAACATACATCCATTGCCTGTGTAAATATGCTTTTTCTACATATTATTTTTATATCGTATAAGAAAACCCCAATATGGCCCCCCATAGTTAATAATACTCGAAAATTAAGTTGCACAAATAAATAAAATAAAGAACATCAACATGAAAGTTAAAAAGATGGAAATTCAAGCATCTTCCATTTTGTCTTCTAAATTCGCATCTATACTCTCTGTCTTCCTTTTTGGTTTTTTATATATTTTTTCAACATGACCTTCCATCATTGCAACATAGCGTGCAATTGTAAAAAAATAATCACTCAAACGATTCATGTATTTTGAAATATCACCATGAATTTCACCAGAAGCAGCAAGAGACGCGACTTTTCTTTCAGCTCTTCTACAAACACTTCTTGTGACATGGATGTGTGTAGCGGCTAATCCTCCAGATGGCAAAATAAAGTTTTTCAAAGCAGGTAGTTCAGCAGTATAAAAATCAATCCATTCTTCTAACTCTTCAGTAAGCCCATCGTCAAATTTAACTCGCTCTAATCTAGCTTCCGATGCGGAACTCAAAGGAGTAGCAACACAAGAATTTACATCCTGGAGCACAGATTGAATTTTCTCAAACTGATTTGCAAGTTCCTTAAAATTTTCATTCTGCCACGACTCCATCATTGTGTTTTTTGATAATCCCACATTACATGATACTTCATCGACATCTCCAAGAGTATCAAAAACGAAATCATTTTTTGGACGTCTTTCACCTGTAAATAGACTGCTAGTCCCCTGGTCTCCAGTCCTTGTGTATATTTTAGGAACCTTCGATTGCGTTTCCGATGTGTTGTTATTTTTAAAGGCTGATAAAATTATGGATCTTTTAGGTAACTGCTCTGCTTTCCCAAAAAGGCCGTCACACCAAGTGTTTTTCACAAAATGAAGAGCAACTCTCCGCATCATTGTTGTCAGGAGCTAGTACCAAAAGCTTCAATGCAAATATTTATTCTAAACACAGGGAATCTGGAAAAAAATGTTTATAAGTGGATGAAATACCCATATTAGTGAACACACACGCAAAATCAACAGTAACGTAGCTAGGGAGACTGGATAACCAACAAAAAAAAGAAAACTTTGAGGTCAGATTCAAAACACATATATACTGCTTATCTCTCGCAAGTATGAATCATAAGTCATATTCAACTTTATTTTTTCGGGCAGTAAAAACAACAATAGCATACAAAATTATGAAAAAATTGGACACATAATTTTAGCGGAAAGAAAAGCCATGCAAAACCAAAGCTGGTTACTAAGCACCGTCCCTGGAGACTCGAAGTTATACTATCTAGATCAGGTCGGATCCGGCCTGCGGTGCAATATAATCCGGCCCGCGACGCTTCACTGAATTATAGTAACAAAACAGCTGTTTTGACGATTATATTCTTTACGTAACATATTCTTTATGTAGATTAGATTATAACGTAACAAGTATATAATTCACAAATAATGACAAATGACAACAAAACGCAGAAAAGTTGATGCTAAGTGCAAATGGTTTGATGACGCAGAAAATATTCAAATTGTCAGTCTTCGCACGCTGCTTAGAATTTAACTTCTGATCTGCGTGGAAAAATTTGATTTAGGCTATCGGCCATCCATTCGGTTTTAAACTTTCTAAAAATATGTGCGGCCCGCCAATGACTTGCAACTTTTAATTTTAGCCCACGAGCGACAAAAGTTTGTCGACCCCTGATCTAGATAATAAGGATTTGAAGAATCCTTTAGCAATGGTCCTTTGCATATTCTGTTCGGATTACTGTATAACCTAGTACCCGCCATATTATTTTAAGGAAATGGCGTTAGGTGAACTTGCGCCTCATTTTCGTTATTGGTCATATAATGATAAGCCTAGAAACTTGGAGAAACAATGCCCTTACAATCCAGCTATGCAATTTCCGAATCTAGGCTACCATACAAATCGCAATATGGCGGGCTATGCAAAAAGTACGACGCCGTAGTTTATACATTAAAATCAGTTCACAGACACAGTTCACCCTGATATGAAGAATGACGATCCCATCTTAACACCATTGCAGAACACGACCTGATTTCCAACAAGATAAGACAGCAAGACATTACTAAACTCACTTTGGTCAATATAGCAAGGGGATTGTCACGTGTTCTAAGGGGAATCACCCACATATATCTTCGTTGATAATTTTCTATGATAGAAAGCGTGAGAGGGCGCTGTGGAGCCAATAAAAATTAATGCGAAAAAAAGAAAAAATGATAGAACGTCGCGCATGTTGAGAGGCAGTTTGTTTAGTCTCGAGTGGAGATCGCTCGCTCGTTATGGGTGGTGATATCGCGATTACTCTTACAGTATGCTAATTATTTTTTCTCATATACTTTAACGAGAACCCTTTTTGCGACTAATTCAGGTTTGAAAGAATTTGATGAAGTGAATTACTCCATTTTGCGTAAAACGATCATAAATCATCGAGATATGATATTAACCGCCTGTTTATAAAATCGTAATTTGATGCGATGCTGGTGGTATTCAGCGATGAATTATCATTTCATGGTGGCGTTTGTAGGCACAGATTACCAGTAAGTGGTAGTGGGATATCAGGTATAAATCTGAGTAAAAGCCTGATAAAAGACAAGCCCCCCCTCTGGCCCCAGCGTGGGTACATCTGGGGAATGGTTCGTGAGCAACTGCATATATATTCAGGATCCTAATCATACATACTGTAAGATATCGTCCTATTACAAATAGTTTGATTTGCTCAAAGAAATCTTGCAAACTAATTAGAATGCAATTAAAGCTTACGCGTATCAAATTGTCGGTACATGAAAGGGTTCGATTACTGAAGTAAAATAGGTCACTTTGGTAGACGAGTGCAATAAAAATTTTAATCTTATTTGTATATTTCAGCACTGCATCCGATCGAATGCTAACCAAATAAATTTGTTTTAGTTAATCCAAACCCCATTACTTTGCGCTCATTTTCACCAGGTAAAATCATGAGGTTTCTATGTCTTTTAACTGTTTTTCAGCGTACTCCAGTTTATGCATTCAAACATTCATTCTCGATTGTTACTTTTCATTTGCCCTATATGTTCATTGAAAAAAACATGTTCTACGTAACATAGCCGAGGATTAACCTCATACATTTGACGTAATATGTTACTGTTATCTCGATATGTTGTTATCCATGCTTACCTATCAGTTGATTTACTATGAGAAAATGAAAGTATTTTAACACGGAATTTACATATCAGCGTTTGTTAAAAATAGCGTATTTTTGTTTTTTTCCGGAATTTGACGCAATATTATATGTTAGCTGATATGCCAAATATGGCGTTGTATCAAATCCGTTAACAACGATAAACGGAGTGTCGTATTTCCCCATCATCACGGAAAACCTGAACCGGATTTCTTGATTCGTTTCGCAAATATGGCGCCGAAGTGAGCGCGGCTAATACCTGTTAACAAACAATCCGTTTCCCAGAGATCAAAGTATGCCTAGTTTACTTAAGTGCCGTAAATTAAAGATTGAATGGAGCTTCGGGTAGCACGTTATTACGATACGAAATACTGCAGGCAAATCGTTTTCTGCGGAATGCTGACAAATCAAGCGTCGCCGTGATATATCATTAATTTAATACGTCTTGCATCATCACTGTACCGTTAGCTATTTTGTTTATGACGTCTAAGGAGGTATAGGTTTTATTATGACATCATTATTCCAATTGATAAATTTAATTCGTAAACTAACGGATGCCTTTATTTTTAGTTCTCCATATCGTGGTCGTGATTTTAATTTTACGCCCACAGTTGTAAAATTTGTTTTTATTTCTCACTCGTCGTATACCAAACCCGAGTTATAGGTTTAAATCTCAGCATAACGTTTCTGGAACCCGTAAAGCGTCATTAATCATAGAGACGATGATTTTAAATTATAACAGTGAAGAAGCATTTTGATTAAGTTTTATTTAGGCCTGTTAAGGAGAATGTCCGATTGTTTTTATTGTTGTGAGTCATTCAAGATCGTTAGTAAACTTCCAGTACTTGAAAGTTCACGAAGCAGGCAAAGTTGCCCTCAGCTATTTCAGGTGAAAGAAAAGGATGGATCGTAGACAGTGGGCTAATCACTCGTATTTTGCGGTGGAGTATGTGGCGGCGGTTGAATGCAGAAATAGCCCAGGCCAATTCATCAAGTTTGTTGTTTTATGTTTGGAATATTTCTCAGCTAATAGGTTTTTCCAAGGATAGCTGGGGGTTATCAGTGAATACATTATTTACGGCGTATTATCGCATAGAATTTCTAGCTGGCGTCAAACTATTTGTACAATTCAAATATGGAATAGATCTCGTCTTTGGTGTAAAATTTTCTAAACATGATTGTTTTTCTCCCTTAAGCAATTAACGTACGTGTTTGTTTGTATGTTTTACAAGGATAATAGAATGTACACAACCGCGTCGAAAAGAGACAAATGACTAAAATCAAGCTATTTTCATATCTGATCAGCATTAATATCCTGAATGCTGTGATTCTCTTTGATAAGCCGTCTTATCGAATTTCTTATCTCACAAGATAAATATGAAAATCCCACTTTGTAATATTTACGGTAACATGTCTGTCTCTCAATCCCTTCAGTCCGTAATCAGCCTTTTTTTGTATGGTCGTTTTTGGAGGACCGTGGACGTATATTCCATATTATTAAGTTTGAGTCATGTTGATGTATATACCGAGTAATAAGCATGCATAGGAAGTGATTATGTATTCACACGTCCGTGAATGGAGTGTCCGGGAGATGAGTGTCATGGAATGCTGTCTTGTCTGGCAATTATAACAGTGTTATGAGATACAGTTGTCTGTTTTGGTTCATGTGATGTTTTGTGTGATATTACACGTTGGTAATTTTGACTTTATTGCGATTTGGATAATGTCAAATGTTATAGAAATAGAAAAAAAAAAGCTAAAATCTTTGTAACCACTAGGTTCAATATGATTTTGTCCATTTAATTGGACTTCTATAATATCATACCCTTCGTACATCTGTACATTGGTTTCTGTACTCATGAATATATAAGTGGCCTATTTAGATTGGGAGATTGGTTGGTATCAATACATCAGAGAAATAAATGGTTAATTGTCAGGCATGATCTAGATTATCAAAAAGGAGGATATATTGGAATTTTTGTTACTGTGAAATTCCTGTAGAATTTGCCATGAGCCAAACACAGGGAACATTAGCAGGAGTTATTCATATCAGCATTATTTCGCCTTGCATAGATCAAATTCAGTTAGAATAATCAGGGATCTTCAAGTTTTTGAATCGCCATTAACCACTGTTCAAAATATAGTTCATTATGTACAATTCAATTTTTGCACAGCTTTGATATACAGAACTTAAATTTTATTAATGTGGCTGATTTCATTCTCCACTTTCCGAGATGCCTTCTGACTATGCTGGTCACTTGACAACTGTGGCGAATGGGTCACAGTGGTTGACATGCCGAGTCCAATATTTGGATGACACCGATCCCTTTTCATCAACTAATTTTCCTGAACCAACTCGACCACCAAGTTATACTTTCAATGTGGATTTACCTTTATGTGAACAATTGGCAGGAGTTCATAGGCTTCTCAAAGCCCCTCACAAGGTAAAGGAATTCCTTATTATTGAGCATTTTGACTTATGTCCATTTGCATTTTGGTCTGTGGAGCAGTCATCAGATTAGCCTTTGTTGTTAAAAAAGATTAAATTCCCTATGCAAATACTCCATGAAAATTTAACCACTAGTTCAACTATTGGAGTTTTGCTGATGCTCCAAGCACGTTTGGATTTATCACCAAGTTTTTGTCTAAATTTATATCATGTAATCAAGTTATCTGACTAATCTTTTAGGTTTTTGTCCGCACCAATCAGAACTGAAAATATCTTAACTTTTATTGCTTATTTTTTCAGATTGATGACTGCACACTTCAGATATCACATACTGGAGCATATTTAGATTTGGATCTTTCAATTACTGAACAAAAGGAAGAGTTTGAAAAGTTTTTCACCGATGGGTAAGATATTTGCAATGTTTTCGGGAAGATCTTCATACAAAATCTCTGAAAGATGTCCGCTCTATGTAGCCTAATATGAAAAGATGAATCGCTGTAGTTTATTTATATTCTTTAAAGCAATACAGGTTGCGGTCAACAATAAATTTCAAGATATTTCCATTTTCGAGTTCTCTCTCACTGTGGAAACATAAAATCAGTACTGTAAATTGAGGCTGAAAAAGCTACCTTGTCATATTATGGCATTTGCACCTATAGGCTTTGAATAAAGTAACATTCAGTACCATGTATAAATTGGCTTTTAAAAATACAGGAAAAGTGAGTTACTTCATTAACTGATGCTGGCTCATGAATGTACATTTTTTAAATGGGCCGCATATTATTAACTATCTCAATAAAGTCCTTGATATTTGATTTTGAGCATTTAAGCCTTGCTTGCAAAACACTTAACTATTATATATTTATACTTGAATGATGCGGCAAACAGACGTAGGTGTAAATATTTACTTTTCAAGATGGTATGTCACCCAACAAAATAGCTGTGATGAAGGATTGTCATTGCTACAAAATGATTTCCTATTTTCACTTATTATTTGGACCCCTATAATAAGTTAATGATAGTTTATTTATTTGTGGCATAAATTGGGCCTTTTGATACCACTATTGCCATTTTATTGTCATAAGAATGATTTATAATTAATGTTTGACCTAGTTAATTTACAATTTTACATTCAATAAGCCAAAAAATAGAGCCAAATTGGATTATTAATACATTTGCTCATGTTATTGCCATAATTTTTTCTAATTTTCTATGAATGTTCTAGTTTGAAAATATTTTTCGATTGTTATGGCTGTTGTTTGTAATGTCACACATCCTTTTATGTTATTTTTCTTAACTTGCAAATTGTATGTGTTTTTATTATTTTTTCCCTGTTAATCAAGTTCTCCTATTTGCTTTTTACAGAAAAAGAAATTCAGTGATAGTTCGTACACTGCTTTCAGTCAGAGTACATTCATGTATTGGTGAGTTGATACTACAGTTTCTTTTTTTTGTATGATTTGTCATTTTATATACTGGACCTTTATATAGAGGTTTTGTCCACTGTCAAAATAGACATGTAGCTTATGTATAAACATGGATATAAAATTTTTAGAAATCTTTTGTGAAATTTATTATTGATAATAAAATATAATTCATAATAATATATATTCATAGTGAATATAGATATCTTTCTTTCTGTAACCTTTTGAATGACAACCTAATTTTATCATAGTAATTTGGAAATCCCTGAACAAAAATATATCTTTGATCTATTTCATGATTGGCAGCCACAGGAGCTCACAAGCTCAATCAAAGTAACTTTTAATAATGGAATTCAGGACAAAAGCATTTCATTTCTATTTGTAAGTTTTGTACTGAAGCATACATAGTATACATTATTAGGATTTCTGGTCACTAAAGTCTTTTGTTTCCACATGTTTAAAGTCCACTATAATTTGGCCACATTGATAATTGGTAACAAAGGAAGGGACCAAATTGAGGTTTCGGATCCGAACGCTTTTAATCGGATAGCTTAATCAGAATGAGAAACATGCTCTGCTTTGTTATAGAATATGAAATAAAAATGTATAGTCTTTCTTCTTTGAACAAAAGAACACTATTCATAAGATTGTTGATTTACGGTGCTAAACCTATTGTTATATTATCAAGTGTCTGGATTTGGTTACGTTGCTGTGACCGCACAAAACTGTAAGCTTAGGCTGTAATATTTCTTACATATTGTGAAATATTTCATCAAAATTCATCTAATGATCAATTATGATCCCAACATTTATCATCAATTACAATTATTATTTTTCAAAATTGAAATTTTGGTTGTTAAAAATATTTATTTCTCACTGATTATAAAACTTTGTTATATCCCTGTTAGTTCAACAAAAATTTGACTAATAACCAGACAATGTTTTTCAAAATTTGCAATCACAATAAAATTTTGACAATACTGATAAAAGTTGTTTTGCCATCTTATGACATCATAAGCTTTTGTATGCCATACAAGGATCGCCTTACATTTTACTTAGTGCAGTTATTTTCAGTCATTTAAATAAATGGGACAAATATTATGATTCATATTAGTGATGGCTCTCATCTATATTTAATAACTAGTCAACAAAGTGGACAACATGAAACTGTTTACTTCCCATATAATATTTAGCAAATTTTGCGAAGGAATTTTCTCAGTACAACATAAGAACACCGAGCCTCAGGCAAAATTTCGCATCATGATTTATTCTTAAATTGATATTAGTTTGTGGTTGAATCATATCGAGAGATGTTAGTCAAAGTTTGGTGTAACCAAATCTGGATTGATGTTTTTCGATACGTTTTGTTGCATCATTACAAACCCACACAAATCATGGAATTAGTTTCTGTTGCCAATAACATAATCTTAGTCAATTACTTTGAAAAATAATTGAAAAGTTAACCTAACTGTTTTAGTTTATCTCACACCATGACGTAGAATATGTTTGACCTATTCTCTTTGAAATCAATGAATTTTAGGCATTGTTTATTAATAAAGGATTGCAATTTTTACATTAGACCAACTTTTTCATGCATACATATTTATATAACTGAAATACTTCAATTTATTTATTTCATTCTAATAAATGTAGTGGTATTTTTCCGTCACTTCAATATCATAAAGTCTTTCATTTTGTTAAAAGCTATTCAGCTTACTTTGTTTTGCGTATTTTGGAGATTGCAAATTCTACATTATGCCCCCTTTTCCAATGTATAGTTGGTTAAGTACGTATTTTACAGATTTATGGGATAAATGAATATATGAGAATTTACCTTCGATGACGTTTATAAGCATTAGCTACAAATATTTAGTCAATACCAGTAAAATTCCTCAACTATTATTCCCAAACATATTTATCACAAATTATTTCCAAATACAGTCTGTAATTTTCAGATTACCAGTTACCCTTGTACCAACATTGTGTGACTTTTGTCCTTCAATCATACATGGCACAGTCATAAATAAATCTGATAGATTGATCATGTAAGATTTTACTTACTACTTACACGGGTTATGAAAACTTCCGACACCACATATAGCCAAAATTGTGTCCATAAAGTACACAGGCGATCCATAAATACTCCGTTGTTCATTACACCAAAAGACATTCTAAACTTGATAACATATCTTACATAAATAAGAGAGAATGGGATATTATAATAACAGGCCTTTCTAAGTCTCGCATTTACTCCTAATCCTCTGTCAAGTCATTGTCTCGAACTGATTAACATCAACAAGAGAGCCTATTATTGAATGTTTTTGAACTGTGAAGGTATAATCATTCAAATAAATATTACAACTTGACATCTCATATGCCGGTAATGCTTTGTTTAGCTTCAATGAACTAAATAGTTTATATTGATACTAAATATTACAATTTGTATTGAAAGAAATGATCACACAATGCTTAAATTTCATATTTCCACAGTGTAGTGCTTGCTTATTTTGAAAATACCATCTGAAATAGCAAGCTCCAAGATTATAAGCCTTTATAAAGAATGTGACTTCCTAGAACAGCTTTTTATTACACACAATTTACGTTAAGAAATGATTTGATAAGAGAATGCAATAATGCAATTTAATTGATGGATATTTATTTGCTTGAAATTTAAAATGCTAAATTGAAGATATTTTGTAATAGTAGGTACTATTATAGTAGTACTATAGTAGGTACTACCTACCTTTTCTCATTCCACATGCCCACCTTTTGACCCATACCTTTTCATGAATATAGGTAGATAAACATTGGATAAAAAAAGTACAATGGGCATTCTGATCTCAAGATATTGATGATAGTGATTGATATATCATTCATTGTTAACTATTGTACTGACCATCTTGGCTTGAGATTTTGAAGTATTCTAAGTTTTGGTGAAATTTCATTGGGTTTGAATCCCACTAAATTAAGAAATATTAATAATATACATAATTTACATATTTTTTGTTTGGTTGAAAATTTTTAAATTAGTAAATCAAATTTGATTGAATCTTCATCACTTATTACGATAACAGTGCATTGTTTTTAAAATGTTTGCTTTTATGCTGGGAATATTTATCATTTTCAAGACACGTTATAATATTAAAAATAGCACAAAAAATATTAATACCCATTCATTTTAATTAACATTTGATAGAACTGAAAGAGTCTTTCTCTGGTTATCATAAAATTCTGATGAAATATTGAAGAGTTTTGATTTTTTCAAGATATTTCTTTTTGCAACCTTCTGTTTCTGTTTGGCCTATTTCTTCAGAGAGAAATAGAGTGCAGACAACTCTATATTCAATGAAAAATTTATAGTAACACTCTGCTAGGGCGCCAGATGTTTACTCTGGGTCTAGTCTGGATTGCTTCAACGTCAGTTGTATAGAGAGCACAATATGAATTTTTAATTTGTGGTTTCCCAGTCTTTTTCCAAATCTCTTGACAAAGCCATTTGCCAGACATCAGATTCTTATGGTTCCTATGAGGTTCCTATTATTGTACTGTACAACTAGTGGTTAATAATAATTCAACTGAATAGATCTACTCTATTACAAGCATTACTATCAAATGGCTCAATTCTCATTTTGCATTTGTATCATACATCTATAATTTGTTAGCTAATGATGATAAATAATCACCAGGACTAATTGTTCAAACAAATAGAAATCTTTTCTGCTTTTATCATAGGGTTAATTTTCAAAGTTTATAAAATGCATTTATTTGCTCTTCATTTGTTTTACTTTACTCTGCAGACTGCAGTGCAAATCTATGTATATTGCTTCATATTAGTTTGAATCAAGTTCAATATATCTGAAAGTGTTATTTTTAAAAATCCAGATGTGCTTTTTTCAAATTTGATGCTTTTTATAGAAATACAAAATGGAAGTTTTATCTTATACAAAATAAAATAAAACTGAAGTTTCAGAATTACATTTTATTTAGGTATGACCCAAGCTTTCATTAGACCCAAGCTTCCAATTATCTTAATTTAATTTTTTCTATTTTTCAGAAAAATTGTACAACTCAAAGGGAAGAGAATTGAGAAGAGCCCTATTCTCACTGAAACAAATATTCCAGGTAATTATTGTATAGAATAATTTCATAACCTTATTTTCGTTTTGTTGTAAAATTGTGTGAAGAAAACCCAAAGGAATCATTGCCTATGGATGAGTACAATTCAGTCTGCAATGTTGTGATCATTGAGCAATATTTAACATTCAGGAAACAGTTGATTTATCATTACTTCCCTTCAATGACTATTATGGTCTTTTCTGAAGCTGTGAAATGAGTCCAATTGATAAATGTGTAATGGAATGACTTTAAAAGGAATTTGTGGAAGAACAGACATTTGAGAGCGTTTTTATATGTGGCTGTTCCTATAAACTATTATGAAGTATGGTACATTCCTCTGAAGTTAATTAGATGTAAATTTCTAATCTCATGCCTGATCTTGGCTAATACCCCAAACAAAATCCAAGATTCCCTATATTATTAAGCCATCTTGTTAAATTTATTCTCCTTTGCACAAAAAAACAAAACCAGTTGAAACTTTATTATATGCAAAAAATTTACATGACTACTTTTTTCCAATTGTACATAGCACATTAAATTTTTTCAATCATATTTTAAGTGACTTTAGGACAATTTGACCAAAAATGTAATGATTTTGTGAACAGACAGCAAATTTTACTTTCACAGAAATAGTTTGTCATCATAATAATTGCTTAAAAATTAAAAAAAATTCTGTCTGCTTTAATTTATATGATAATGGTATTTTGACTAAAATTTTTAAATTCAGCGCACTTATTTTTAGTATATGTGACTGATGGCGAACAAAATATCTAAATGCTTGATTTTACTGTAAACACTAAATATTCTAATTTGTACTGATTTTATTTTTGCATGAAATTACTGGAATATTTCTAAGCAGCACTTGACGTGAAATTGTCGCCTCATGGTCGGAACTTTAAGCACTAGTGTGACACTTTCGCTGAACCGTTACCAATAATAATCTCATAGCTTAAAATATCTATCAGTGGTTACTTTTATATATTTATCATCGGATCATGCATGTGTGTGGGTCATGGAAATTTCACCAAGATTTATTTACTGTGACATTAAGCCAAGTCAGAATGTATTTCTTTTATTTTTGTGTAGCATTTGCAAACCATGAATGGATAGCACATAGTAATTTCTAACTTGAATTTGAATTTAAGTTTTTTGCTAAATGATGTTATATAATATTCTCCAACATGCTATAATTCAAAAATATACTTTATTTTTAATGTTCCCATTTCCCATGTCAAAATTTCAATAGACTTTTCCAATGTGAATTCTTTTAAAATCAATCTTACGAAAGCGTACTGTATAGAAATCATATCTAATCTTGTTGGGTACTCCAACACACTTCGCATTCTTATTATCAATTTATTTCAAAACTTTGAATGGGAACACTGCTTGTACAAATTCAGCAGAATGGCTTTATGATGTAAAATTAGTCTTAATTGATTCTGACCGACCCCAATTGACCTTTTGTTATTGTTGCCCTTCGGACAGTAAAATTATCAATGCTACAGTCTCCAGCTGATTCTATTTTATTAGTTTTTATCAAGGCCTTAAAGATTGCTCATAAAACCTACTGCATGCTGTGTTTTGTTATTGACATTGATAAATTGCAGATGCTTAGCACTGCTAAGGTTATCATGATGGAATAGAGATTAATGCATCATAACAAATCATCACAAATGGCTTAGTCAAATGCGAAGATTGCTCAGATTGACGATTTAGATAAAAATGGGTGTGAAAATTGCTTCCTTGTTTGGTGATAATGGGGAATTTCATGACAGGTGGCTTATGGCACTTTAATATTATTTGCTTGTTCGCTTGGGTCACAATCTGTTGAAATCTTTGCAAAGAGTAATAGTCACATTAGAATATGCCATTTGATCAGTTCACTTGAACCTAACATTGTTTTAAACTCAACTTGGGAGGTCCATATTGAAAAGCAGGTTCTATAATTTAGTCTCACAATCAAATTTTATTTCAATTATTGTAAATCATTCAACCATGCAACAAAATCATGATATAAATATGAATCATGATTTCTCTGGCAACATGGAAAATTATAAGGGAGATTGTCATAGTTTTCATAAAATGATTTTACATCATTGAATTTGAATATTATTATTCATATATCATCAAATTTGATTCAAAATCTAGATGCCTCGCTCATCTCTGGTTAGCATACGCTTTACTTAGTAATAGAATAATGTAGTAAGGCCAAGTTCAACTTAGAAAATGTTAGCTGTATATACACTATGTGATTAAATCAAGAAATGGAGATTTTGTATTATTTGACAAATCGTGTTTGGCGGACCGATGAAGGGGGATTTTGAACACTTTATCTTTTGTCCTTCCTCGATTCAGCCAATCACAATCATTAAATTTTATAATAGTTCGTACAATATCATGTAATAGTGTCATTTAACCTTCATATCAAATCCACATCGATGAACTATATGATAAATTTCATTTTTTTTAGGATGATAAAGATCTTGTTCACGAATTTGTGAACGCAGACGGTTTGACGTGTCTTATCAAAGTAGGAGCGGAAGCAGATCAAAATTATCAAAATTATATATTGAGAGGTGAGTTTAAGAATATTTGACTGATTTAGCTGATAATATTGCCATATATCTTTATTTTGTGCAGATAGAGGTATGTTTAATTTACTTATTAGTAGCTCTATACATTTTTGAAGTCAAAATATTGCCTTTTTTATGCTAAACTTTGAGTATGTTCAAATGTGTGCTTAAAGACATTGCACAAAATGAAGTTTGGTATCACAGAGTTACTGTAGAATTTATATTGACTTCACAAAATTTTTCAATTAAATTGAATTGAACATTGCACAAACTCTATCTTTTTTTGCTATACTGCATATAATATTATAAATCACTAAAAACATAGATACTTCTTTTTACAATTTTCATAAATTGCCTTTCATTAGCAAGTTTTGTCATTACAATATTCAATCTATCAATTTAAATTAATTTTCTTATTTCGGCAATTTCTTGATACATGTGAAAAATTTTGATAAATCCAAGTGTACAATCCTAGCAAGCGCTAATCCCTCTTTGTCACGGCTCGTTTACAAAATAACGTTCTACCATTTATACTTTGTTTATCATGCAATCCAAGTCGACCACGATAGTATTTAAGGAATGTCGTATTCAAAAATATGTTCCTTCATATGTAAATGTATATGGGCTGTTGATAAAACATGATGTTATTGAGAAGATCATGCCTATATTTCACAAACAATTGATTCTGATGGGCGTCATCTGCTGGTTGTGACTAATCCAGCCTATCACAGATCTTAGACAGTTTTAATTGTAGTGTTGAATTTTCTTTTCTTAAAAAACATGGACGGACACACTTTCACACTGTAAATTACTATTTATTATCGGGATTGGATGATTTCTGAAAATCAAATTTTAGTGTAGTAGACTTGGTGGTTGAAATTAAGTGTTTTGTCTGTTAAACCCAATTAAGTTTATCTCACATGCAATTAAATGTTGCTTGAAATCATAGGTTAATTTCCTGTATTCGAATTAAAGTTTAGACACTGGTCATTGCATTGTTCAATCTAAGCTCAAAATCTGGCTATCTAACTAAGTGTGTAATGAAAATATTGTTGGGTGTTCTATACTTTAATTGAATACCAAATTCATTATTTCATCTGCTTCATTACGAAATTTATTTTCATATACTGTAGCTTTCATATGCAGTTCATCCATTTCATTCTTCTTAAGTATACATTATTAAAAGATAATATATTGGAAATTCAAAATTAGGTATTTGATGTAATGTGTATTGCCCCTGCCTTAAGTTAGCAACCGAATTGGACAGCTTAACTTTACTTTCATGTACTAAAAATTTATCTAATTTATTCAAGTTTTAAATTTAAACATATTCTGAAATGAAGTATTTGCTAGCTGTTATATGTTAAGCAAGACTATCCCATCAATTCCTTATTAATAGGAAGTTAACATTTTTCTGATTTGATACTCATATGAAACAGTTTATAAATAATAGTTTTAAATGGTTATACTGTATATGCTTCATTGCGATCCCAGATCAAGATATTAGAGCAAATTTTTCTCTATTAGCATTAGCAAACTAAAGTTTTATCTCAAAATAGTTCTGGCCTTGGTTTTGGTACAAAATGGAAGTTGTGGTTTATTCCGTTACGGAAAGTTAAAATCAAATCCACGGTCGATTGCTATTTCAGCACATTATCTGATGCTCGTTTTTCAAGTATGGGATTGTTTGACAACCAGGCTGACAAGCGTATCGCCTATATGAGTCACGTTCAGTATGGAAATATGCGGTTTGCTGTGATAACTTTGCACCAAATAACCAGCGTTCATAGAAGTATTTATTTTATGTAATTTCAACTACAATGTACTGTAAATTAGGTTGTGTATTATTATTGAAGAATAATATAATTACATTCCAATAACAATCAACAGTAATAGGGCTAGGAACATTCTGATACTGTATCAACATATCACTCTACACCAGGGTGGGCAAGGTTTTTGGGCCAGAGGTCACAAATTTTGTCCACCCAGACTGGCGGGCCATGTTTGGTTGTGGCAGCATCAGGCGAGCCAGATTGAATTACCCAACGGGCCGGATTTGGCCCGCGGGTGTAGTATGCCCGTGTCAGCTCTACACTCAATTTTTTTAATAGTCATTGCTTGCAATAAAATTATATCTAAATAATATTAAATATTCAATTGATTTTATTTCGAAAGCCGTTTCTGAAATTTCTAAATTTTTTCCCTGTATAATTTATTATGGATGCACTTAGGTCATTCAAAAAGTTAAAATTTTATTTCCATTGAAGAAAAGTGTAAGTTTGCCAGAAGCAAACAATATACCTGTGTGGGTGTTTGTTTATCTTTTTCCCTATAATGACTATCACTATCTCTATTATCTATAATATTGATATAAGTCTGGGTATTCACAAATTTTTAATGTATTTACCGTGTAAAAACTGTTTTTATAAATTATACTGGTTCCCCATAATATTACACGAATATAGGTAACTTAAAAGTGTATAATATCATGTTTATTATAAGTAGTTGGATGTTGAATGAGGGTGTTGTATGATCCAATATGGTAAACTTCGCTTTGCCTTTAGGCACTAATTTGGCTAGCCTTGCAATAAGTGGTCATTGATTAAGAAGTGGTGATTATAAAAGAATTTTTATATACAGTGGCGATCTTAATTGTTATTACCAGAATAGACCAATGAAAGGAGATGCAAGTAGGGAAAAAGATATAACTACACACCTGTGCTTCATGTGGACATCGTTGTTTATCAATAGCAAGCAAATAAGCGATTTTATGTGGGAACTACTGAATTTTCATATGTAAAACATACATTTTACTTACGGCTACCTTGTTGAAATGTGTAATGTATGTTTACTTTCTGGCCGACGCCATGTTTGTTTTCACCAATGGAATTTATGCCCAGCTGACATTTTACATCACTTTTGAATTTAGTGGTACCAATCATAAGACGGGGAATGTTACTTGTTCATATTTGAAATCTCGTTTTCAAATCAATTTGAGCAAACATGTCAGATAACACAGAATTCAATTTTATCAGTGATGCCTTGAGTGATTTGACATTTCCAAGCTGTACTCGGTTAAATAAAATCATACTTAACTAAACATGAGTATATGTAAAAGAAATGTTTTTCTTGAAAGTTAATATGTATTGAAACAATGAGTATGAAAAAATTGAGTATGAAAAAATTTTGAATTTTATCAAATATTTCAATTTGGCTTACAAAATGTAGATTAAAGGTTGGAATATCTTTTGGTTGTTTAGCCAGCATCAATTTTGGTAACAATATTTGAATAAAATATTCTGGACTTTCTAAAGTTAAAATGTCTTGCCTCTTTTTTCACATCCTGTGAGTTCAATATACTTGACATAATTGTAAGAGGTCTTATTTCGTATGAAACCAAAGATTTGTTTTTTTGTTCCCATTTCTATATGTTAAATTCAAATATTGTTGCTACCGTCAATAATGATTCAGGATACTGCAATAAAAGACTTGTTTACCCAAAACATAGCAACCATCAGTTTTGTTTCAACAGCTGTTTTTATAACTTCATCTTCATAGCAGTATGTTTTACTAGTTACTACTACATAGTTATTGTAATACATACCTTAATTGTAGATCCATATTAACCTAGCTTGAACAAGGATGTATAATACCCAAATGAAGTTTGTTTAATGTCCATCTTTATACCTAGCATCTGGAATACGTAATCGGTATGGTTGTGTACACTGTGGCTTCCAAATTTGCTATTTATATAGTGACTCAAATTTAGCCAGTGCTGGTAGCCAAGGATGAATCATAATCAAATTTGACTAGAGTTGTTGATACTGTGAGGATTTGTTTGTGTTTTACATGTTTTTTTTTTGAATAAGGCTCTACACCAGAAGCATCGAAAGTAAACTACATAGGACATAATATTTTTTTACATATTGGTAATGTGGTGGTCTTGGGTTGAGCAATGGGCTCAAATTTGAAAGCATGACCTCTTGCATACAATGCCGCTACTAGCAAACCTTTGCTATGAAAATTTGTTCTTATTTGGATTTATACTGTTATACTTAATTAGTGTTTCAACATTTTACAAAAGATGCTGTGGAGGCAAAGCGAAGATACTACTCTCTTTATCCTTTGTGTTTAGTAATGAAAGAACACCTCAGATTTGTAATCTAATCTGAAATTCAATGGTTATTTGTAAAGCGGTTTCACCTCAAATATTTCAAAACATCCTTTTTGTATTACTTTTCAGCTCTTGGTCAAATTATGCTTTATGTTGATGGGATGAACGGAGTAATTGAACACAGTGAGACAGTCAGATGGCTCTACACACTTATAGCGTCACGGGTGAGATCATATGTCAACTTTTAGCACTATTTCAAAGCCAAATGCACATTTGTTACCTTTTTTGAGTTACATTATTTAATTATACTCGGTTAAGCATGTATCATCATTAAATGGATATGCCCCATGCATAAACCGCAATGTATAAATAGTTATAGATTTTAGCTGAAAATGGAAATAATTTTTGTAAACGTTACGTCATGTCTTCGGCGCACGCCACCTCTATTTACATAGTGAAACACTACCATTGTCGTTAAATAGCAGCGTATGTCTTCTATTGATATATACACATTCTCTTTTCCCTGGCTATTTGATGGAATGCCTCGGTAAAATGACATTAGGGTCCACTCCTTAGTGTTCTTCCGGTCACCCACTTTAAGATTATTTGTTGTGATAGCTGTCAACTGAATTAAGTGCTCAACATTGATGACTAGTTTGAAATATTAACTATTAAATAAAATAAGAATATGATTATGATAACATATGTTTCCACTAATATTGACATTCCATGGAATATTTGTATATTTTGAATAATATAGAGGTATTCCATTCTTGAATTTATATATTAACACAATGTATTTAAATATCTATTTTCCTAGGAATTACATAATTATGTACTTGGACCTGCCACTTGACTGAGATTATACAAGTTGTGTCTTATTTGACATAAGTAGTGGACCTAATTGAACATAATATTGTAGTATACTCCTAATCCAGAATGTTTTCCAAATTACATTCAATATAATTCTATATTTAACATGTTTGTAACTTAACTTTGTAACATAACTGTAACTATTGATAAGTGAAAGCAAAATTAATTTTGTATGTTACTCTCTCTCTCTTTCAGTTTCGTCTTGTTGTGAAGACGACATTAAAACTCCTTCTTGTGTTTGTTGAATATGCAGAAACAAATGCATTGCTGTTATTGGATGCTGTTCGAGAAGTGGATAAGAAACGAAGTAAGTTAAAGATAATTTATAGAATTACATTAAATTTATACCCAGTGATATGCTGTTTAGTATTTTGCAAAAGAATGTAGTTTTGCATTTATTTTTTTCATATAAGTTGAGTAAGAATTAGGTAAAATATTAGGATGTATGTTACACGCTCACTCAAACAAATCTTAGATCAAAATCCAAACACAAAAATTGGCGCTCCAGAAGTGTGTGTACCGATATGGAGGTAACTAATTTTGTTTGCCTACTTTACATCAAGTTGGGTAAAGGGACTGATTACTATGGGCAGGGGGTATATTCAGTTGGCTAATACAGACAGTACCCGAACTCGTAATTGAACTAAAATAAGGAAAATCGTAATAAAATAATGGCCTAATCCTAGCCTGTTACACACATTACAGAAGTACCCAAAAATGTCTAAAACATAATTGCAAATGCCTTACATATTGCATTATAAATACCTCCTTAATCTAAACGATTCATCAGAATTTAACATTTATGAACTGAAAAACCAATATAAATTGCATTGTCTGAAACAGAATATTTTCTCTGCAAAATTGTGGCCACAAGTTGTAATAAATCACTACTGCAGGGGGCAGGTTCTGTGGTTTTCATAATGATCGTGAGATGTTTTTTTCTTGCAGCATGATATGTGTGGTATGTGAGTTGCCCCATGTAGTTTGTAAACAATTTACAGCTCAGCTTATGTTGGAGCAGTGACTCAAGCCATCTATCTTTAAAGTCTTTTCCGGTTTAGGATTTATATTGGTTATGAAAGCCCACTGGTTATATTCGGATGTTTTAAAATATTTAGTAAATCATTCCTATAAATTGTCATTTTACAACTATTCTGGTAGTTAACTGGTAATTAACAAGAAACAGGTTGCAAAACATTGTATGTGGTATACCAAAAAAAATTTGTTATTTCATTACAAACAATGAATATTTAACGAAACATTATTGAACATTTTTACCAATGTATTGCCTGCATAATACATTTGTTGCAGAATATAATCATTAACTTAAAATTTGGGAGCTTAAATTGAAAATTTATGAATGTAAATTAAGTAATTTTGCATCAAATATGACCAGTTTTACTAATATAAAAGTATTTTTGGATTGAATTTTCAACGCTTTTCACTAATCCAATTGGTAGATTTTAAATTCTTAGTTATTTGTGCAAAACAGTGATATAATATTTGCAAGCAATGTAGTCTCAACAAAAAAATGAGTTAATAAATACTTAATTTGTCTTATTCAGAATGCTGAATCCTGTGAGCCAGCTGCAATTTAATTTACCCTACGTATTTGCAAATGAGCAAGTTTGAGTTATTTATCACTTTGTGACCTACTGACTTGCTTAATAAAAAATTATCATTGAATTATGAACATTAGTACATTATTTGCAATTTTTTATTGTTTATGCTTCATAAAAAAATACTCTCTGACAAGTTACTCAAACTCTTCTTCATAATTTTTCTCTTTACCATGTTCATAGTGCTTTGTGCTGCATTTATACTAAAAAACATAACAATTGAAGCAATTTTTACGAGTTATTTTGTTCCTGTCGCTGTCATGAAAATTAAGACTAATTAGCATTATCGTTGAAAAAATATGCCACAAAAAGTGGTGAAAATGGGTTATTTTAACTTATTAGCAGCTTGGTAATTTCATAAAACAGCATTCTAACCAGATAATGGAAAATTCCACAGCAGATATTTTTGAATGATTGACCAGAAAGTCTTAATCTGTTGTAAATGTCTGTATCAGTATTGCGGACACTGATTAATTGTGATGCTAAAATTTTACGCTTCATAGCATTACAGACAAACACATAAAAAGCTTTTGGCATACTTTATTCTTCAGCCAGCATGTCTACAATAATCCTAGGTATTGTTTGTTGGCAGGTTTTAAATTTTGGGAATTATTTTTTGTACGGCTTGTTAATAATGTAATTAAAAAAAAGTTACATGAAAATAATTAAATTGAAAATGTTATAGTTCTGAGTTCACAAAATTACGGTATGTTTTAAACATCATCTCATTTTCTAACGTTTTGTTCAACCATTTCCGAATGCAGTGACGAGTGGTACTTCTGTGTTATTTCTTGTCTTAAAATCACAACAAAATGATATGATTGAAAGAGACTAAATACGTTGGAAGGAATGTACAAAACGAGGCGTCATTGTCCTATGTTTAGCCAGGCCCACTCAAGTACCCCCGACTGTATGTGGTGCAATTTCAATTACCCATCGAGTACTTTTCTAAAAGCCATTGTCTCCTCGGCAAATGTATGAATGGCCACCTACACAGGCAGCCACTATTTGAAATATGATGCTGTGTGTCCTTAACGCCACGACACCTTTTGAAGTCGCCCACAGATTGCCATGTTTTTATTTAAATGTCCAAAAGTGGCCACTCCATGTTTGAAAGACAACAAAATGCGGTGACAAATCACTTTGACCAGATTTTTTTGCAACATCTATTTAGATGTACATTGATTGAATCATTTTGTAACAAATTTTGTGAGAGATATTATGTTGACTTAGGTTTATTGTACATCAAAATAAGTTTATTCATTCCAAAGCTATGAAAATAATACTTGAGTTCATCGTTGTGTCCTTTATTTAATGATATGGCCATTCAACAACTAGCCTACCTACTGAATTTATTATCACTTTTTTCATACTTACCATCAACGCCATTTATTTCTTTTCATATGTAATGCTATTCTAAACATTGAATATTAAAATTTTATAATTCAAAAACATATAATTAAGTAAGAACAATTTTGTCTGTTTTCTAACTATTGATGTCTGAAGTGTTCACCTACTTTTAAATTATTTTTATATGGAAATCTCTTTTTTTTGAAAATTTTGGTTATTTAAATTACTGCCTTTATAACAATCATTTCGCATTATAACAATGAAATATGTATGGTAAAATGTGTCACGGCATAATACGTTTGTCTGCATAAGATAATGTCCTACTAATCCCCAAAAGCATGCACTTATAAGGTTGGGCAAGAGCCTATTATTATATACCAAAATAGTTGCTTTGATTTGCGAATACGTTTTCGATTGTTGTTTTTTTTGACCAGCACATTTTGGAGAAAATGCCCAAAATAACATTTTAGGGGAATAATTTCCATTCATGGTAAAATTTGGTGTGGTGAACAAAATATTTTTGAAAGATAAATGATGGTGGTTAAAGATAAGTATTATTATACAGTACTCTATCATTTACCTATCATGGTTTATCATTATTTATCAATGGTGTGATTCAGGTTTATCGTATTTGTTGCCACCATGAAAATAGCACACTTTTGCAATTTTTGATGTTGAATTATGTTTGCATTTTAGTTTCAAATCATGAATGTTAACTAATAGGCCTATATCTCATAATCAATATGTGTATCTGCAAAAGACATTTCTAGTAAAAAGAGCTAAATTTTTAGAAAAAATGTGAATAATAAGAAATGAAAGTAATCAATATTTTGATTTGGTTCACTTGAACGTTTGTGAATTTTAAGAGTTTATTTTTATCTGTTTGGAACATAAATTATTACATTTTTATATGGTAGGTTGCAAGTCATTCATGATTCCAGTTATCTCTTGTAGTCTTATCTATTTTAGTGACACTTCAAAAATACAAGAGCAAATTGTATAAAAATGACTTAAACATTGTTATATGTGTCAGACAATCAATTGACCTATGATTACATTAACAGCCGTGTCCTCAATAAGGTTATAACACAGTTCAACTGCAAATTGTAATTACAATTTAATATCCAGACATTAGTAGGGTCTAATTAGTACCTTTTTGCTTAATCTTTTTGTCACTCAACAATCAACTTGTACCATAACAGTGTCCTATTAAACCATCTTCCATTTATTTTCATAATATTTTTCATATGACATTTAAAATGATCAATAACGAAACCCACCTATGTATACAATTAGATAAAAGTGGGGATTTAATTACTGTAAAAAACAGTAGTTTTACTATATTTTTGTGTGTTCTTTTATAATTCCTTTTTTAATAAAAAAGCATTCATATGCTGCTGCCCTGCACAATACTAGGTAGAATATGTTACCCAGGCCTTACATTTGTTATGAAATCTCTATAAAACTTGAATCACATCGCTCAATTCTGCGTGGTATGTATACTAAACACACTCAAAACTTTAATTGATACAACCAGGAAATTAGCAAGGTGCACTATGCGATGGGATGCATTAATTTGGAGTTATCTTGTAATGATTATGTGTTGTATATATTATGTGTCTACATTCAGAATGCTTCAGCCTACTTGATAAACAGTCATTATTAGGTATATATACATATGCTCACTTAATTTACCCACAATTTTAGATGGATAAATACATAGCCTGCTATGAGATGGGTCAATTAAATTTAACTTAGTTTAAAAATACACTCTATCTGAGGTAACTAGTAATACAATTAATATATGATTTTAACTGAGAAAATATTTTTTTATGCTATAAAGTTTTAAGCTTTTTATACATGTTCAATAAATGCAATTGGCATCAGCTATAAGTAGCTATAATAATTATTTTATATTTCTGGCAATTAAATCTAATTGCAAGCCCTATGGACCTTAATTTAAAGAATTGTATATTAACAATAAATATGATCTTCTCTTTAGGGCAAAAAGAGTGGGCAAATGTGATGCGAGTGCTCGATGAAAAAGATGGAATTGATTGTGAATTACTTGTGTATGCAATGACTCTCATCAATAAAACAATAAGTAATATACCTGATCAAGATACATTTTATGATGTCACAGATGCACTTGAAGCACATGGAATGGAAACGATATCCCAGGTTTGTTACAATTACCAGATTTTGAGAGTCTTTCAGAAAACATATACACAACAATAAAATTACTAAACTTTGTAAATTTATTGGTTTCCTTACCATTTACAAGCTTCAAATTGATACAAAATATGATCAGTTGCTGGCACTCGCTGCCTCACGACCCTTCCAACCACTTTTTTATATGACGTTTACCCGCATCTTTCTTGAACCTGGGGTGTGTTATCTGTGATGCCAACACAGTTAAGTCTAGTGCTTTGATCGCTAGTCCACCACACTTATGTCCACGCTTCAGGGCATTCATCGGGCTAATTATTTTACCGAGGTATCACTCTGCCAATTAACCTACTTAAGCTTTGTGGGTTCAAATCTTGTAATTCAGGTCTAGGATTGGTGGGCCCTTCACCATCATGTAGTGAATATGGTCAGCTACTGCATCTTTACTAGACCACATCCATGTATCAAGATCAGTGTTACCTAAACTTTCAGGATCTGTGTCTCCCTTTCCAAGACACTAAACACCTTGTGGCATCTGCTCTCTAATAAAAAGAAAGAGTTTTTTCTTCATCAAGTTCCATCATTATTTTATGCGCCATGTTTAACAATAAAAGACAACGAACTAGAGCTAAAGAAGAAATGCATTGCAACCAAATTAGTGCAGTAATTGTGAATGGTACCCTTTACTTCTTGGCCTCCTGGTGAAGTCGAGTGCTCAGTGTGTGAAACACTGGTATGGAACATGAAACTGTATAGTGTAGCTATCCCCATACTTTTTCCAATAGGTATTGAGTGGCTCTGAGTCTGTAATTGATCAAGCCATATTGCATCGCGTTACACAGGAATAATTACAAAAATCCTATACCAGTATTCATGATATAGCTTATTATATTACATGAATGATATCATGTTTTTCATGAAAAATTAATAAGGCCATTATAGTATAGTTTCATATTTCATTCGATGCTCAAGTATTGTAGTAATTTACACAGATTTTGTTTCTTGAATTTTCAGAGACATCTCAACAAAAAAGGAAATGATTTGGACTTGTTGGAACAGTTTAAAATATATGAGGTAAGCTGTGCCAACAGTCTTCTGTAAAAAATCCTCTTACTTCTAAAAATTGTCGTTGGTGTAATGTAGAAATTCTATCCGAATAAGTGTATACTGCAATTAATATGGTATCAAATTGCCACATATAGGCTAGGCAACCTGTAATATCAGCTATTCCCAATTTGAGCATTTCGCATTGATTTGAACACAAAGGGGCTGTTCAAATACATCTTAAATGTCTCTTATCAAGCAATATTTTCTTCCAAAATATTTCACCCCAATGATGTATGTGTGTTTATTATGATGCCATAATGACATTGCTGATACAATACTTTACAGTGCTAAAAACACATTGTTTGTCGAAACTAGCATAATGAAATTTGCTGAAATTAGCTTCTTTTATTATGCCACATCGGTATTGAGAAAGTCTGGAAACAAGTGGCGAACTCATTTTACTCAATTACTTTTTGTAATGACATTGATGTCGACACAGTTATGTCATGTCAAGTTAATCAATCTGTTTATTTCATCAGCTTGCCTTGAAGCATGAAGATGGAGATGAAGAAGCTTCAAAATCATCTGCTCCTGGTGTTGGAATTAAGTTAGTATTTTCAATATTGTTGCACTGTTTTCAATGGAATTTCTTTGCAAAAAATGCCAAATATACAAGGCAGGGTGGATGTCTTCCAAACCGTTGACCTGGAAAAATTACTTTCATACTCTGCCTTGGTGAAATCTCTGATGCTCATTTTGAGACTGTTTTTGAGAGTTGGTACTTACAACCTGGTTAACATGCTCAAATCATCATTTTTATTCAGAATATTCAACCATCAGCATTGTCTATCGCAGCTTGGGGACTAATTTTTGATTACTGCAAATAAACTAAAACTTTCCAGAAATTGCAAAGATCAATGATTTATTTAATTTGTACATAAATTTCGGAAATATAACTAAAAACTGACCAAAAACTAGCAAAACACGAAAACGAGTTAATGCCCATCACCATACCCTAAAATCTAACTTGAGTGGTTCCAAAATTTAAATTGTTATGTCATCATGAGCATCTTGTTGATTAGACAATGTTACGAAAATGGAAACATCTATTCTTTACCTCTTTGTTTCAAATTTAGCAAGCATTATTTTAACAAAACAACTGTGACTGTTTCAGGCATTTTCAGTGCATCATAAATTCTTAAAACTATCTTCCATCCATGTTAGAAATGGAAATATAAATATCCTACTTCGTTCGACCCATTCATTTAGTTTGTAGAGTCGAATGACAAATTTATTAGAAGGGAATTTTAAATATTATTTATACAAATCTTTTAGCAATATGTTAAAGGCAACAATGTTTAGAATGAAACACAGAGTAATAGGACTCTATAATACTTATTTTTTCTTTTGTGTGTAATTAAAACTTATCTAATCTAATATTTGCTCATACTTTATACATCTTAATGTCTGTAGTACCCATTGTTTATAGAACATTGCTTCCAATATCATGATATATAAATGTACATATTCATTAATCAAGATTAAATTATAACATTTTGCTATTCTGGAATTCTACACAATAACAATACAATAAAAAAAATCAGAGGAAAACGCTCTCTCATGAGGTCTTTATTCTTGTGACAGTTTGTTTGGAATGCTCTCAAGAGTTTGAAATTAGTTTAATTTTAAACCTACTTGAAAAGTTTGAATATATACAATACAAGTACTGGTTGTGGCTGACTTGTTACAATACAAAAAAGCATACTTTTCCAAATATCAATCTGTTGCCCACCTATCAGTTGTTTTGAAAAGGAAAATATATTTCTTGTTTTCAAACAAATTAATACTGTGCCTGACGAACTGTAAAAATAGAACATTAATGATAAGTAGTTAGTTATTCTACATTACCCCAAACAATGACAAATATATTACAACGTAGCTGAGCACACTCACAATTTTTATTATGTGGAAACTTATTAAACAGGAATTCTTACTCTCACTCAGTTGCTTACCATTACCCATAATTACCATAGAACTGGAATTCATTGTTTGGCATGAGTTGTTTGGCATGAAACCCAGTACTGCTTTTATGTTAGGAGCCGTATGGCAAGTACAATCATTTCACTTAGGTTGAAGGATTCAGAAAGAAGATAAGAAACCAGAGTGAAAGAGAATTTCATTCCGCGTGCCTGTATGCTTCACAGAGTTCTGGTTTTCCAAACCATCAATATTTGTCTATTACTATTACATTCACCTTTAAAACAAACATAAGACTTGATTCACCCTCTTATTTTAGATGGAACAGAGAACGAACTAAATCAGAACTCGAGGTTCCAAGAAAAAGTGTTCGCCGTCATTCAGCAAATTTATTTCAACAAATCGAAGTATCAAGTCCTGAAAAATTTGCCCCTCCTCCTGCGGAAGAACACAGCAAAAGTACTCCGTGCACTCCATCTATCAATCCTGCACCAGAAACACCACAGTTTAATAAAAGAAGTCGAAATCGAAGGCATGAGTTATCAAAGCAACATTTGGAATTGCAACAAACAAAGAAGGCAGAACAACAAGAGCCTGCATCACCACAAGCTGATCCAACCATAAGTCCTAAACCATGGCTTGTGAAAAAGTAAGTAGGAATCTGGTTTTGAATCGAATATATGGTAACTACTCACATGTTGTTGGATATCAGTGACTTGTTGTATGTTCATGTATGTTGGCCTCGTTTAGAGCAAAAAGCGTGAATAACTGTCATATGAAAAAATATATTATATCTATATATTATATCTCACTGGACAAGTTATATTTTCTTGCCTCAATAAGATTATTTCTACTTTTAACTTTACAGTATATATATATATATTATACCTATTATAATTATATAGAGAAAACACTTTTCTCTTCAATCCTTTGTCTCTCTGTATTGGTTGATTCTTCAAAGTATCATCTCAGCACTTCTTCCATTATAAGCTTTATATTGTTGTTTTAGTTTCTTTGTTTGTTTCAATACATTATAAATAACACACAAACACAATGTAAAAGTCAATTACACTCAATATGTGTTCATCTATTCATATTTTGCTGTCAATGTTTAGTTCAAGTGCCTGCTGTAACGAAATCAATCGTTAAGTGGTTTCGAGTTGTTATTATTCGAGTGATAATAATCGAGATAAAGTTTGAATTCACTTTCATGAAGGATTCGAAAGACTGTTTTAGTATAGATTAATGAAAAATTTATTACGCTTACTCCCTCCAGACAACAATTTGACTTTTTTAACTTGTTCCATCATCTAAGCCAACGGTGGGTAAATCGCAAGAGATTTAATGCGGTTCTTCTCGCTAGCATTAATTATTATCCAAATCATTCAAGCGACAAATCTTACGTCTTCGCAATGGTCAAATGTTTGTTGTTGGCGGTATACCGTGATAGATAGGATTCACATATTTATCTTGAGGGAACAACAACTCATGCTAAAATCCATGACTGTGATTTTGTGAAATAAAATTTGCTGATGTTGTCGCAGTCTTGGATCCCAACAGCACGAAGCGAGTAATAGCCCAAACGCTGGTTTCGCGTAGCACTGTACAAAGGTGCATCTCCCAAATTAGTACTAATGTAACATTCACAATGCAAAATGCTTTAATGAGCTCTAATATTAATAATTTCAAAAATTATGTGGCTCCTCCATATTTCTGACTTGCTGCATGCGGCTCTTATTTTAAAAAATTTTGCACAACCCTGATCTAAGCCAATGGTTTTCAACCTTTTTTTAATATATTTCTCACTATTACCTATTTTATATCTCTTCATTTCTCTCTCACTATGCCGAAAATTCTGTTTATGGTTTCCAGCATAACTAAACTGCTGTTGTTAAATATAACCAAGTTTGTTGACATCTGCTCCTCAGTGTAACTTTATTATGCGTCTTTTATCAGGCCATCAGTGAACGCGGATCCTCCTCGCAATTTTGTAAGTCAAGTTCAATATAATAACGCCGTCAATGTTGATTTAAAAGAAAGAGAAAGGCGAAGAAGAAATCGAGATGAAGATAGAGATAAAAAGTAAGAGTTATAATTATCTGATGTTCTTATTTGTAAACATTCATTTGTTGACGAATCTATGAAAATTTACTATATTACTATACTATAAGATTCGATTTATATATGTGGAGATGTGAAAATTCTGCGAAAAATTAAATTCCATTTTAATTGAGCATAGCGATGAACTTTAATGGTTTTATTGTTGCGCAATAGGCTAGAGATTCTGTTCTTATGTGACTTTATTTGAAAAATTAAATTAATCTGAATATCCAAAACATCTTCTTCAAACTAAACTTTGGGATCGGTGAACTAGTGGGTAAACCGTTATACTCAACTAGTTTGGCATTGCAGGTTCCCTATCTGTACTCAAATCCCATGCCCACCACTTCACCCAGGGTATAAAAAATTTGGGCGCTCCGGAAATATTCGTACCAAGATGACGAACAACCTGAACAAACCTAACCTGGTACTCATACTATGTTCAGGTTGTGCGCCATCTGGGTAGGAATACTTCGGGAGCACCAAAATTTGGGTAGACAATGCCAAATTGTGAACATTCCAGTTCTTTCAAAATTAGTATATCCTCACATATATATAGATATCAGTAGTTGCTTGCTCAGGGCCTTGTTCAGAGTGAAATGTTGGATATTAGCATCATATAAAAAAATTAAATTTTTCATCATATCATAAGAGAAGTAGTATTCATTAATCATTACATATGTGTTTAATTCAGTGGTTCCGCCACTACAGTCAAGGAGTTTGGCAAGTTTACATTCAAGTCCGAGAGTATATTATTATATGTGTATTGTGTGAATATAATCGATTACCTATTAGGTTTGCCACTATTATTAAACTTGTTGCACTTAAAAGATTTTGTTCGTGCAGTATTAGGTTCGCTTTATACATATAGGGTGTTTTGAAATAGACCATATTCATTAAAAACCCATCCTACGCGCAAAAAGAAAAGTGATGTAAAAAAAAACAATTTTAACATTAGCTCTTATGGAGAATGTGATCACCAGAGCAGAAATTTGCATTTTTTGTAATTTTCTAGATATCTTTCTTTGTATATGTGAGCAGTTTTGCGGATAGAATATTTTTTACATCTTTTTCGATACTTTTATCATGATAAACATGATCAAGATTTTTGATAATCGTTCATTAAAATTTTAAAGAGCGCGGTGTTTCCGATGATGTCATTCTCACTAGACCATGAGATTCTGCCAACGCCCGTGCTCTGTGGAAATGGGATATGCGCTGCAAATGCGGCGCTAATGTCGCTTTGGGTACGGTGTCGGTACCGGTACTGAGAGCGTTTACCATTGACAATCTATAACCCATACCATTTCTATCACGTTTGTTTACTGGTTTTACGTATTTATACTTGTACAGCTAGCAATCATTTACTGAAGGCATGCTTGCGTGGTATTTAAACTACCGGTACCGTACCAAGGCTGCAAGAGGTGAAAACTAAATTATTTAATAAATACTGAAATAGGCCTACGAACAAAAATGTTGGCCAGCCTGCCAATAGGCAGGATAAGTTGTACGGTACCGGTATACAAAAAAGATGAATATCTATCTCCAACCTATAACGGTACAATACCGGTCTCCTAACTAGGTTAATAAAACATGACTGAATACGAGAGAGAGATTTATTTCGTCAACCAGAATACAAGCATTGAATCAATAAAAATTAGGCCTATATACAAAAACACACAGTTATTCGGTATAGACTGAGGAGCGATACGACCATCACAGTCAGCTCCCCCCTGCCCCCCATGTTCGCTATCAAGATTAACAGTTAATTAAGATGTTTGAACAATTTAACAAAAACTCCTTGGAGGAAGGGTTGACTAAGTTACGGAATATTTTCGGATTCGGTTAACAATGTAGTCCATTATTAAACCACTGCTTTTTTTGTAAATTTTCACTTAGTGGACACTTAGCAAGTACGGCAGTTAATTTATAAAAAAAATTGTAAATTAATAACAAATCAGCAGAAGTCAGCTCGGGTATTCAAACATGTGATGATTGAAGTGAGAAATAAATTCATGTTTAGGATATTACAATAAACAACAATGGAAAAGGTACATTGGAATCAGTCAAGCTTCAAATGCTAATGGCCTTAATGAAAAGAATATGCGACATGAAGACTGAAGTTTCCATCTGAGACATTGGAAGACGCTAAAACCTTATAGACTTGATAGTGTGGAAAAACTTCTCACAATGCAGTAATAATGGGACATATTTTTATAATATCATTATACAGGCTTTAAGTTGAATTATATGTTTAATTAAAATATCTATCTTTGCTAATAAATGCTGAAAACCATTTATTTCAATTTGCTGAGTGATTAGGGCCAGAAATTTGCTGTAGGGACCATCACCAGGGCTGGATTTACCAATAGGCTAGGAAGGCTGAAACCTAAAGCCTCGAAATTCGGTTTCGAAGTTTGTAATTCTTTTGAAAACTTGACAAGTTTAATTCCTGCAAAAAGTATATATATATATATTAGGCTTTTCAGAATAGAAAATTCTGTACACAACTGGTTTCAACCACATTGTAAACAGCCATTATTGCGTCGTTTGCATCATAATAAGGGAAATTGTTATTATGCGCATTCTGCTGGAAGTTTCTATGTTAAAGTATGGCTGTAGCGGTTGTTTGATCAAAGAAATTGAAAGCAAAACTGACTGCCTCAAGTAAATATTTTATCCTTCTAATTAAAACTTCGCACACATGAAATGGAGAGAATGAAAAGTTTAATGTACTCATATTTTTAAATTTTAAGCAATGACATGTGACGTTGATTTAGAGAGAAATTCTGAGCTCAAAAATATGAAGGGGCCTCTCATGGTCTAAATCCAGCCCTGAACATCACCAATTTTGGGATAGGTAGGTACATGGTGTCAACATATGAACTGAGTTAGGCCATTGGATTTTGAAAGGTGTACCAGAAATGTACATAGTTACATGGAATTCATGAAATATATATCATCCAATAAAAACCAAAATAGGTCTTTCGTTGAACGCCAGTTGTGGTCCCGGTACCGGTATTCCAGTATTCTGTCATCACAAGCAGTTGGAGCGCATATCCCACAGAGCACGGCGCGTTGGCAGAATCTCATGGTCTAGTGAGAATGACGTCATCGGAAACACCGCGCTCATTAAAATTTCAATGAACGATTATCAAAAATCTTGACCATGTTTATCATGATAAAAATATCAAAAAAAGATGTAAAAAATATTCTATCCTCAAAACTGCTCACGTATACAATGAAAGATATCTAGAAAATTACAAAAAATGCAAATTTCTGCTCTGATGATCACATTCCCCATAAGAGCTAATGTTAAAATTGTTATTTTTACATCACTTTTCTTTTTGCGCGTAGGATGGGTTTTTAATGAATAAGGTCTATTGCAAAATTTATCAATACCATATTATATTGTTTTGACCCTCACAGATGTATTAAATGAAGAAAAAATGCTTAAAAAATTACTGATTATAAAGCAACAAACCTGGTTAAGATGTATTGAGAACTGACTTCGTAACGAAACTGAAATTGTGAAGGGACTTTATTGACACTCTGTATATTTATTTATTGATAAAACTTTTAAATTATTGCAAAGGTGTTCCTCAAGCATCGAGAATGTTTAAACCAGGTTCCACCACACCAATGAGGTTGCAAACCCATGGTTTAATGATTAATATCACCTCAATTGCTCTATATGATCCATAATTTCTAATCGAGCAATTTCGTGGAAAAGTAGAAATACTTTAAGGAGACTAAATCCCATTTAAATTCCAAAATGACATTTATGTTTTGCTTCATTGGCCTTGACGCAGTCGTGGTTGTGACTTTGGTGTTTGCTAAATAACGACATATTTTCAAAATAAATGCTTCAAACGATTATCTGTGTATGGTTTTTGCTTTGTTTAATAACTTTGCACTGTAACTTGTCAACCACAAATCATCAAACATCAAAATATCTGTGAGGCATCGATCTGAATCTAAAACACTTTCAACATTTACTGATTTTTTCAAGATAATGTTCAATGTGTTGCTTAGATATATGAGTAAATATAAAAAATAGTTAGGAATGATTTTCAATTTTCCGTTCTTTTAAACATTGCTTGCAGTTCATATATGAAAATAAAAAAAATTTAAAATATTCCATGTATTTTTTTAGGAGAGCGGAATTTTTGAGCAAACAACAGAATGCTCTCAACAATAGACCAGACTCACAGAATGGTATGTATTTTAGTTATTTTACTTCTAGTAACTTAAATTTCTTTATATTATCCTTTATCCTGGTTGTTGTTAGACTTTCATGATCCATGGCCCACTTTCAAAGACTTTCAACACCTGCGGCCCTCTATTCTTCTATCAAAATACCCAATTTTGCTTTTAATGTGTTTCCCTCAGTTTTTTTTATGCACCATATTTAATAATATTAAGCCAACAAAAGAAAGAAAAAGGGTTAGAAGCATTACAGATGATTTAAATGAAAGCTTATGTCTTCCAATTATGATAATTATTTTGTTTGAGAATATTTAGCAAAATCACATTATTCACTTTTGTATCAAAGCATTGTTGTTGTTTTCTTCTTTTATGACATCACAACGTGTTGAAAAATTGGAAATTGAAATGGAATGAAAAATATTTTTTGATTGTTCAGGTGAAGTTCCCATCACGAATGGTACGACTTCTCCTCCACCTCCACCAGTCAGATCATCATCAAGTAAGATGCTGGAAATAAGCACAAGAGGTAAGTCATGAAAGCCAATTTGTTCAGTTTTTTCAACATGTGTTTTGATATTTGCACTAGGCAGTGTGTTAATTGCCACACTACTTTGTATGCGCTGCATCATTCTACTACATTGTGGTTTACTGTTTCGATGTATTTTTTCAATCTTGGCCGATATCGCCTCAGTAAAACTAATTTAGCTTATGTCACATTTTTTCAGAAGTGCACTTTTAATCTTCTCTCATTGTGAACTTGGAGCCACCTTTTGGTCTGGTTTTAAAAGCTGAGCTTGTTTTAGTTTTTTTTTTAGGTGGGACTTAGGTCCATTTTTGAGGCTGTTATAACTAGAACTTTTACAAAAATGCAATTTTCTCAAAACATTGAAATGTAACATAAGCTGATTTGTATATACTGAAGCGATAAAAGAATGGTAAATATTTTCTAGAATAGTAATATAAGAGTGGAAGATATTTTCTATTTAGCTCTTCCCTCTGGAAGCTTTCATTCCATATTTGACAAGTTTAACACAGAATCTAAGCTCAGCATTTGATTATGTATATTCACATATTCACACCTACTATCTTTCTACTTTCAGCGCGTATGAGAAGATCAAATTTTCATAAGATGGACAGCGATCAAAGTAAGGAAAGTCCTGAAAAACATCCACAAGTTATGGTTAACGGTGTCTCAAACCATACGAATGGTTCTCAACATCCCAAAATCCGAATGGACGCAGATACGATTGAAATTGAGGAAGATGTTGCCCCAAACGTTCCAGAAATTGTCAAAAAGAACAACACACCATTACCAGCTTCTTTAAGTTTATCACCAGCTATTCAAAAGCCCACTCAACTAACGGCGTCGCCGAAAAAACACAGTGGGTTGATGACACCTTCAGGGGATGTTATTTCTAATAATCAAAAATTTATGATGGACATGCTTTATGCAAATCAAGCCGTTGCATTGAAACAGGGGTCAGAAAGCGATGATGGATCTGAGGGTTCAACTGAAGCAGCTGTATTAAAAGAAAATGGTGTTTCAGAAACCCCAAGTGAAAAAAACACTCTAAAAACTACCCCTGTAATAGAAAATGAAAGTTCAAATAACTCTGAACCCTCTGACATGTCCATCAGTTCAGCAAAAGCTGCCATGGAAAAAATGTTTGGTGGAAAACCGATGAAAACGCCACAAACCTTGCCAGAACAAAATAATAAAGTAGAAAGAACACTCAGCCCTGAACCTGCCAAACCTAAGAAAGACAGTGATATAATGTGGGAAAAACTATTGCTTCAAAGTTCTAAGGTATAATATAGTTTAATACCTATTTTTGTAAAAAAAAGGTGAAAATGGCTTAATCATGCTGTGGACCATAAACCGGTTTAGTACTATATTAGCCAATTCATTACTTTCTATAGTTACTTGTATAAAAATGAGAAAATATATTCAACACTCAAACTTCTGTTTATGTATGATTGTACCTCAAAGTTTCATTAATCTAAAATGTTCTGCACAAAAGTTATGTTCTCTCTACAATATGTTCCAAATGACTTGGGTTCTGTTTCTTTCAGTTACCCTGTAAATACATATTGCTGCTGGCTAACATTTTTTGTATTTCATACTTTCTGCAAATTTAGTTTACTATTTTATATTAAATTTCAATTTTTTTTTATAAATTTTACTTAACCCAAATTCTCACTGGTTGCAATAGAATATAAAAACACTTTTTTGACTTGATTTTTAGACTGTTAAATATAGGTAAAATTCCCATGAAATTTTTTTCAACTCTTTGCATTTTTTAAACTTGTTTAAAACTCTCTTATTTCTACAGCAATCTCTGCTTGTCTCAGATTTTGATTTCACTGATCTCACTGAAAAAGATGATATTGACATTTTAGCGAAACCAAAATTGCCTATGTCAACATATCCTCCTGGTTTTGTACCACCACCTCCTCCTCCACCCGGCATGGGGCCTCCACCTCCTCCACCACCTCCGATGGCCCCACCCCCGCCTCCACCAGCATGCAGCCCCACACCGCCTCCAAATTCCCCACAAAGCATGAAACGAAGAACCGTAAGACTTTTTTGGAAAGAGGTGAATATTAGTTTTAATTAAATGTAAATTAAATATATGTTTGTGTTGTCGGATGTGTTCTGCTTATTCTTCACTCAACATTTCATATACTGATGGATCAGATCCGTTTGTGGCCTTTTTTACAAGACGATTGAAGGAGTTAATGTGTAGGTTTTATAGTAGCAAGAAAAATCCTAAATGAATTTTTTTTCCAAATTTCAGCATTTGTCCCTTTGTCTTGGAATCATTGTTATGTGGAATCGAATATTTATTACTCTTTTGTAAATATACCCTCATTCCAACTTCAGTTTATCTTTGGCTACCTTTTTCTAGAATCATTATTTTCCACTTGTATTTTATACATTACATATCAGTATTTTCTTTTAAAAAACCCAGGTTAAAAGTAAAACAGAATCTCTTGGTCAAAAAGTTCCATCAGTTTGGCAAGATATTGAAGACGTCAAAATCAACGAAGACAAAATTTTGCATTTGTTTGAATTGAGGACAAAGGATATTGTAAAGGTATAAAATTAGGTGTAAAATGTGCAGAATCAGAACTGCAGTTTCAGTTATATTCCAAAAAGATATGCATTTTCTCTTATTAAGTGTGATTTTGCTGCTTGTTGAATTCTTATTAAAAAATGTTGTGAGAAAGCTTTTCTTCAAATTATGTAGTTTATTTAGTGTAATTATGCAAATACATCACAAAGATATATAACATTATTGACATTGATAGTGTATTCAATAGTGATATATTTGGGGGAACAATATATTTTCATTAGAAAAATCTGTTTTCCAGGAATGATATTTCCAGCAGCATTTTTCTACATAAATTAACATTAATTTATACTTCTCTATTTGAAAATTATATCATGTTCGTCAATTCTTTCTTTTTTCACAATTTTTTCAGAAACAACAAATAGACAAAAAGAACCGAATTATAATTTTGGATCCGAAACGTTCAAATGCAATCAATATTGGATTGACAGTGCTTCCACCACCACGTACAATAAAATCAGCAATCTTACATATGGATGAATATGCTTTAAATAAAGAGCAAATTGAGGTGCGTTACACTTGACTGAATTTGGGAGATTTTAATCGTAAAATATGAGATAAAAACTTAGGAAAATAGCAATGTAGTAGCGAATTCCACATACCAGTAACTCAAGTTATCGGGAAAGATTTTTGGTCCTCTTACACAAATCATCATTCTTTATTTGTCTTATGCGATATCAAAATTTATAACAAGAACATATTCTGTTTGTTACAAATTTATTTATTTTATTTTTCTGTAATCATTATTGAAATAGGCCATCTAAAATGTGTGTATGTAATTCTTGGCTTGTATACCAGTCATGCATCTCTTAAACAAACCACATAGAATGCTTGAAATTCAAATTGAATAAAGAAAAAATTGTTAATGATAAACTACTTAGTTATAAATAAGACTAATCAATATTACCTTTTATTCAAATATGAAAAAGCTATTTTTTTTGCTTGCTGCGCGATTATTCATCCTTTATACTTCTTCTTCTACCAGTGTTTAATCACTTACGAGTATCTTGGTTTGAGTTCTTGAAATGTTTCAATTGCCACTTGTCATTTGTTAGGCTAACTGGCAACCTTGTAAATATTTGAAGGTTGGAAGTCGGAAGTACTTCATAATCTTTATCATGAGATTAAATGCTTGGCTTTGCGCTGTATATAAATCCTCATGAATATGGATACAGGTCTAATGCATTGGCTCCTAAACACTTTTTTTATATTGCCCCTTTGCCTATTTTGGATCCTTAATATCTCCTTCATTCAATATGCACAAAAACCCTGTTTTGGTTATTTGTTTTTTGTATTTGCTAGTGTTACACGGAACTCATACTCTGCCTTTGCATGGTTTGAATAGTTTATATTGTCCCCATAAATGGGCTATACAGGGTGTCCAAAAAGTTCCGCCCAATTTCATAGCATACCAATTGCAAATTTGAATAAATTTGGTTGTATGATAAATGGGGACTACAACATTCAACATCCAATTCCAATTAGAAACAGGTTGACTATAAATCTTTTTTAAAATTAAAAAAAAAAAACTTTTTGGACACCCTGTATATTACAATTTTAGTAAATTATAGAATATTAGTAAAACTGCGTCGAATACAAAGCAGTATATTTTCCTCACAAACAGCGAAATTCCTCCCTGGGGAGGAATTTCTCTCTGGTTGAGAAACACTGGTTTAATGTTTCAGTTTAGCCCATGGACTGCAATTGGGTTTCCAATAAATCAATAATTTTCTAATAAACTTTTGAAAACAATTTTTTTAGAAATTACTAACGATGATTCCCACAGAAGAAGAAAAAGTTAAGATTCAAGATGCTATGCAACAAAACCCTGATATTCCACTCGGAAGTGCGGAACAATTTCTTCTCACGCTTTCGTCCATAAGTGAACTTTCAGCAAGATTACATCTTTGGTCTTTTAAATTAGATTATGAAGCATTGGAAAAGGTTTGTGTGTTTCTTATCTTCACTTGCTAGCAAAACTGTATTTATGTCAGTGAAATCCATAATGAGTGCTAGTTTAATTTATGTAATTGCTCAATTCTTATTCCTATGTAAACTACCTTTTTCCAGGAAATTGCTGAACCTCTAACAGATTTACGAGATGGTATGAAGCAGTTGAGAGAAAATAAAACATTCAGATGCATTCTAGCAGTTTTGAAAAGTGTTGGAAACTTTTTGAATGGAACTAAGGTATTTAAATGTTTTTGATATGTCACAAAACTATATAATACAGTAATTCATGAGGGGGAGTTGAAATTATTAACGAAGTGTGCCAAGATAATATTCTGTTGCAATGCAATATTTCATTTGGATACGATTTTCATATGTATTCTGGGGGAGAGAAGAGCCAACGCCAGTATGGATGTATATTATTGGATTCTGCCACAGTCCGTCACCCCGAATACAACACACAAGTTCTTTGTGACAAATAATATTAAACGTAAACAACAACAGACTCTTAAGACAACTTAACAAGGAATGAATACAATTAGGACAACACACTTGAAAAGCGCAACGAAAATAGGTTACACGCATGAGCGAGTTGATTGAAGTGTTTACATGTAATGATACACAAGGTAGACACTAATAAACTGGCGCAATAAGACAGGTATTTCATATGCCAAACCATGAAGTTACTGTCTGGTTACCAGTGCACATCTGGTATGGGAATAATGAATGAACCAACCAGTGGGTATGTTAACCACCTTTCATGAGCGAAGAGACCAGTAATTCTCTCACACGTGTAATTATCCCCACAGGTATCAAAAATGCGATCCCGTTCATAGTATTTAGAGTTGCGATTGCAAGCGTATTCCTAGCACTCGCCAACCGCCGAGAATCTGATTTCAATCAATTCATGCTTCCTGATATCAGGGCACATATAAAATTGCTCTCATTTTAATGATTGAATATTCTCTATTTTTGTATTACAGGCGAATGGATTTGATATTAAATATCTTGCCAAAGTTCCTGAAGTCAAAGACACAGTTCACAAACAGTCTTTACTGCACCATTTAACACAACTGGTACTTGAACATTTCCCCAATACAACAGATTTGTATTCTGATATTGGATCGATAACCAGAGCATCAAGGGTAAGGGTGATTTTGAGTTAATATAACCATGCATAAAAATATTATTTTATGAAATTTTCATTAAAGCACTAAATCAAATTTTGGTTGATTGTTGAAGTTTTTAGGTGACAAGCAATTGAAATTATCTATATTACAACTCCAACCTTAGCCATTCTGCTATTTGAAACTTTTATCAGGTGTTTTTATACTTCCATTTAAAATGGAATCCAATATTTCCATGACTATTTTGCAGGGTGACTTCCCTACATTAGAGGAAACTTTAGACAATCTTGAATCTCGTTGCAAACAATCGTGGGATCATCTCAAAACTATTGCAAAACACGAAACGAAAGCAACACAAAGAAACAAAATGTCTGACTTTTTACTAAGTTCTGCACAGCGTATTATAACATTAGGTGTTGTGCACAGACGATTGATAAACAGGTACAAGCATAGAATTCATTTACTTTAACACTTGTTGTAAAATCCTTGTCTTCTTCTTTTAAAATTATGGAACAAAGTTTATAACAGTATAGTTTTATTGAATGGATTTTGTTACTCAAAGGTCACACACACACTCACTCGAAAGTGAAAAAATAAATTTTTAAGTAGGCTATAATCTTACATTGAGTATTTTATGTCAGAAAACACTCACTGTTCAACTACTTTTGAAAACTGATAGTATTTTTATACTGTGGTTATCCACGCCTTTCATTTCGAAAATGACCATATAAAAGCAGTCCCTGATAGTATGTGACGAACTGCTATCATTTAAAACAGTGATTCCCAAAATCCAGCCCCCGGGCTATTTACTGGCCAAAATAGCCGCGTAACGATTTAATATGGCCCACCGAACTTAAGTGAAATAGTTTAACACCATATGTTTTTTTTTCCTCAACGTTCCAGATACCACCAATTGTTATGTCTTTATCCCAATTTTAGCATGTGTATATTTGTAACAATTCAACTATACCGGTATCTTAAATATATGTAACGGTATCGGCCCTTTGCGGGTGCACACCTCCTTTGGCCCGCGAATATCCGCTTCTAATTTTGACCCCCAGTCAATCAACTTTGGGAACCACTGATTTATTTAAAAGGACCAGAATCTATCCGGTTTGGTATTAACTACCCAATTTATTATATATACCATGGGTGATGCGGGGGCATGGGATGTGTAATCTCCGGCCCCAAAGCAGTCGAGTCTAATGCCCAAACTGCTAGGCCATGGCGCCTCCCTAATTATCCATGATTCAGTTTAATTAATCTAAATATTATCTACAGGTTTCATCAAACTTTAGTTTATTTTGGAATGTCACCCGAGGATGCGTCAAAAATGGAAGTTCAATCGTTTTGTCGATTAATTTCTGAGTTTGCACTCGAATATCGTACTTCGAGAGAACGAGTTGTCACACAACAACAAAAGAAACAAACAAGAGGAGAAAGAAGTAAAACAAGAGGAAAAATGATCACAGAGGTATGAATGCAAAGAGAAACACATTTTTTATACAATTTGTAAAGTGATCATATGTGGTAGACTGTTCTAACAATTTCAGTTGCAGTAATATGATCACACTCAAACACTTTGAAAAGTATTCATTTGAAAATGAATTTCAGAAAAAACGCTATAGAGCAGTGGTTTCCAACCTTTTTTGAAATATTCCTCCCTTTGCCTATTTTGAAACTCCAAATTTTTCGGTTTCCGTTAGTTATTCAATTTTAAATGGCTTTACTTACTTAGTGATACTTACAACTCGCACTCTGGCTTTGGCACTGTTTGAATAGTTTATAATGTGTTTATAAATATGTATTACAATAGTACTGAATGAAACAAAAAAATTGTCCCGAACAGCGGAATTCCTTCCTGCCCTAGAAAAACTTCTATAGAGTAATAAAAATAATGATATTATACACAGAAGCAATTGATTACCACATAAGCATAACACTTATGATTAGAAATATTGCATAAAAATTTTAGGATGGTATTATAGGTAGAAATTTTCAAACCAAGTAGGAAGGATAGTTTATTAAAACTATGAAAAATAAATGCCAAGCTGGAAAATACTATTTATGAAAAAACCAATGAGTCTGTACTTGCAATGGTGTTTATTTTATATTCAATCAAGAATCAATATTTATAACTTATGGTTCTAAAGACTGTGATTCCTCTACTTTCTTCTCTTTTATTCACTTCTCTCTATTTCCTCTTCTTTTTTCAATATTCGAGGAGGAAATATTCTCTGATGCAAGTGAAGAACCAGATGATTTTGTATTTCACATGGTTAGTATCTATCATAACACAAAATCTTCTTTTTGCACTTCTTCTATTTTTTCTCACTTAAAATTATCTCACTTTTTTGTTTCACAATGCAAAATTTTGGAGATAATTTCCTTTTACATATTCATGCACGTCATATGCACTATACAGAATGAATAACTTTATATGAAAATTATATTATTACAGTAAACATTTGCATTAGAACAGGAGTGTGCAACGTTTTTTGTCGGTTGGCCGTATAACCAACCTCAGACATCTATCTGGGAAACACTGAAAATTTAGTTATTCCATGCACACAATGAGTTACAAATATAACTTGTCAGATTAAGATTTTATGTTTGATGGAGAAAAATCTGAGTGTTAAAAGGGCCATACGAAGTGGCTTGCTTGGCTGGTTGGGTTGTGGCCCGCGGGCTGCCTGTTGCACCCGTGTATTAAAATGTGTGAAATATCACAATACAATTTTAAATCATTCTTATATTTCGCTTGTAACAAAGCGTATTTATTTTATCAATAAAGCCGTGTAACAAAAGGCTCTTCAATGTCATAACAAAGCTTTTTTTCATAATTTTATTCAATAACATACAACATCAGGTCATAAGCACTATTTTCTGGATCATAAAATACCTTTGTACAGTTTCTTTCCCACATTGCATTGAATATTGTAATACTTTATTATGAAATGAAAAGATACTTTTAGGTGACTATTCAGGACCTTCATTGTTCCTTATGTACTTGAAATGTTTTAAAATTCCTTTTTTCAATATGATCTTGTGATGATTGTTCACCATTTATCAGAAAATAAATAAATAAAATCGATTCAAAAAATAAACTATGCATTTATCATGTTTTTCAAACTTGCATGAAATGACTTTGGGAAGGAAAATATATAAATATTCATATTCTTTGCAAAAATATGATTATTCATTTTCAGACGCGAAAATTTTCACACACAGAGGAACAAGTGAAACAAATGAAAATGGAATCTGCATTAAAACTTGGTGCAGGAGATGTACGAGTTGATAGAAGACAACGGTCAAGAAGCTCAAGAGGTCAGTCTTGTTACCATTGTAATTTAAATTAATTTATAAGCATACCATAGTTAAGTGCACTGAGTTGATAGATTATGATCAATTAAATGGTGCACTGTCATTTTAACCTTAAATCGAAAGCGAATATAATTGAAAAGTTGTTTTGAACAGCGAAAAGTTCAGTTTTTAAACTTGTAGATGTGACTCACTTAGGCAATTTGTCCTAGAATAATGCTTTGGACTTCACTGTGTTGGCATCACGGATTACATCTTGGGTTCAAGTAGCATGCCCATGATGTAATAAATGGGGTAGACAATGTCGAATGAGAAAAAATTGTAGTGCTTCCAAATAATAGTAGCTCCTGATATATCGTTAAATATCAGTTGAAATTTGTATAGGGCCTTACTCGAAGTGAAAAGAGACATGAATAAGCGCCATATAAATATATATCCCACAATAATTACAATTTTTATCAACTTTTTATAATCTACAGTTAAGAAAGAACCAACTTCTCCAGTCGCTAATGGCCACGTTATAAATAGCGAAATGAATGGTGGTCCACCACCAGAAGAAGCACCAGTGAGAAGGCGACACTCTCGAAAAGCAATTGCTGATGATCGATCTGACGAAAAAATAATGGATGAATTGGTTAAAGTTGCCACACAAACTCCACAAGAAAGAACTGTTCATAGGAGGAAAAGATCTCGAAATGCATCACGGAAATCTTGTAAGTTCAAATATTGCAATCTTATAGCTACATGTTTATGAGAATGTTCCTATTTCCACCCAACTAAAAATTGCATTATGATATCATATTTCTGGTACTGTGACTTTATGCTAAAACAGGAATCTGGGGCTTCTTAACTTTAATCAAACTGGGGTTATTACCAAATATACTGGCATAATGGGCATACATTGCGACTATGATCATCATTTTCATATTTATTCTGAGGGAAAAGAAATCTTGCAGGTAATAATGTCCGACTGAGTTTAAATCTGTGAACCTGCACAGGGTAATCGGTGGTGTGTATTACTAATGCTTAGCATGATGCTCGACCGCCGAGCCATAAATATGCTTCAGAATGGCTCAAGTTGTGACTCATATCACTCAAATGTTTCAGTGAATTCACGTTTAGTATTGTGTAATGAAATCTTTACAAAATTTCCACTTAATCCAGATTGATGATTGTAAATTTTCATAGTGCATGATTCATAGTATAAATTGAATAACTTTATTTATCTGTTTCAGTACGACGGACATTACGCAATGGACTCACAGATGAAGAAAAGGCTGTTATTATGGGAAAATTTTAACATAACATCAATAAACCAATCCGTCAACAATAATGAAATCTGCTCATTTTTTGTTTTCTGCTTCAAAATTATAAATATTTTTTTTTTCATTCTGTGGCCTACTGTTTTGAATATAACAAAACCATACCATTATATTTTCAGTATTCAAGAAATTTTCGTTAGTTATTTTTTGAAATTACCATTACTCCAGCAAGATTTGATTTCCTCTTGACATCCATAATGATTCAGCACTTGTTCTTGAATAGCATTTGGCACTTGAATATAAAATGTTCAAATTTGATACACTCCGATGAGATTATGTCAAGGCGGAATATCCAATTCATTGTATAAAAAATGGAAAAGCTTGTAGCTGTTTGAAAGGTAATTGATTTTGACCATTTGAAAGCTTGTAAAGTGAAATTGACATAAATGTTATGTTTTTCACACACAGAAATTTGCAAAATAATTCCACTGTTAAGTTGTCAACTATACTGATTTGATTTGAGACAGTAGCAGTTATTTAGTAATGAGTAATGAATATATCAATCAAGCCTAACTGAAAATTTTGACTATTTAGTAGTTTGAGAATTGAGACATGTTTGAATGTTTCTTCTTTTCCGACATGGTGTGAGATGTCCAGATCATCTCCATATTGGCCCACTTCGGATTATTTATTCGATTAAAAGTGTTGTATTCTGTGCATTTTCAAGTGTTAATTTTTATAAGTGAACACCAAACGTGAGTGAACCAAGCTTGTTTTGTATGTGCAATTTAACATGATATGTTATTTTTTATGTATGGTCCTTTCATCTTCCAGAAATATTGTATGATATGAAACTGTAAAATCACTTTTCATTCTTCAAGTAGCATTTCTTTTGTTATTATCAAAAATTGTTAATAATGGTAGTATCTTCCATTACCTTTAATAATGTAATTATCACCAGTATTATTGGGCATCTGAACCAAATGTAGTGTTATTGCAGAATACTTACTACAGATGCTTATGTGTGATTCCTGTATAGTATTGTGCCATTTTTCAGGCAATATTGATGAAAAAGGTTATTGTTGACATTTCAATACCCCCATTTTTTTTCCATTGTCGAAAAAGTAACCATTCATTAATTTAATATGCTTATATCGTCAAAAACAATGACAACATTTATTATTATACTTAACAATATATAGTGTTATAATTTATAATAATAATTCTTTGGGGCATTATGGTTTAATTGAAAAAGTCCGAAATTAATTTTATGCAAATGCCATGGAATGGAATACATTGTAATAATATTATTGATGAATTCATTTTAAACGCATTTTTAATAGTAAATGTAAAATAATATTGTTTATAATCTTATACATTGCACTTTTGCGCTTTTTGTTGTTTGTTGTTTTCTTTTTAAATTTGAATATAAAAGTTATATATTGTAAATTGTTTTTTGTAATGTTTTCATTTGAACATAGTTACTTGGGAAGTTGGATTTTTTTGCTAAAAATATTAGTCCACACTAAAACCTACCAATCCACAACACAAAATACTTTATCATTTGCACTATTTGTATTTTTGAAATTAAATTTGAAGTAATCAAACTGCACTGGACTCAAGCTTTCCGGCCATTATTTCCTTATGTATAATCGCCATCTACATATTGGTTTATCCATTACATTTTTTGTTTGTTAAAACAGTCTTACGATCCGAATGCTACTTGCTTTTCATGATCTGTTGTTGAATTTTAATTGTTTGTGACATCATATTTAATTGAGCTTATTTTCAGTGTATTTGCCCACACTTAAGCCCTCTGATTAGTAGAAGGAATTTAATTTCAGTCTTTGGAGAACTGGATGTATTTTGCCCAATCGCACCGTGGGCTATTGTTAAAACTTATCAATTTACATGTTATTTTTCAGTTCACCTTAATATTGTCATTACTTATTCTGTTCTTTTTTGGTTTGACTCTTTTTATTAAAAAGTTAACTTTTGTCGACATTGTGTGTATTTAAAATCAATTAGAATGGATAGCTCAGACGATTATTGAGATTCGCTGGGCTTTAGGGCAAGATAATACGAGAAATTCCTGCTTTAAAAAATGAATTCGCGTATTTGACAATGGTCGTTTTACCAAGCATTTCGCCCTCGCAAAGGAATGGAGCAATGCATTACTGGGTGAAATTATTCCACCACTTTCGCGTACGACATTAAAACGGCTGCATATACTATTCTAAATGCTATTTTCTATAAGCAGTCTTCATTCGATCCAAAACATTATGGACTGGATGTTTTTGACTTAATTGGCAAGGTACTAAAAACAGGGTCATGACGACACCACTCGCCATGATAAGCTCATGCTCTATTGATGATATTTTATAAATAAATCCAGATTATTCACTCTCTGGCGCAGTGCGATACACGTGAACTGTAGTCGGTTACGGTTTTTCACACTATTTTGTGCGATGAATGACTTGGCCACAATGTTTTAGATGAAACTTGTGACCGGCAGAGATCTGTAACAGTTCTCTATACCTTAATCCTGAAATTATTATGAGTAACCATGAATTCTCTTTGATAAAAGTGATTTAATTCGCGTTCTCCCAATACGCTGTTAAACGGGACTAGCTGTATCATTTTCCCGGGTATATAGAGTCCCATTTATCTATCCATTCTCCATTAAAACTGTACAAATTTAAAACTAATTATATGACCAGATCAAAATAAATAAGACACCAATTCTTCGAAAAAACGATTCGTTATTTCAGTTATTTTCTTTATTTTACGACATAACATATATTTTAAAGGTAAAAAGTAAAAAAATGCACAGATCTATTGTTTTATCAATAATTTTTCATTAAACAAATAAAATGGTGTATGTTTGTACTAATATAATAATCCATATTTCATTTTAAAACTAGTCACACATTTTTTTATATATAATACATGATTACCAGATTTAAAAAATTATTAATAAAAAATACATAACTCAGGAAAAAAAATCAAAAACGATAACAGACCCTTTATATGTGCTTATATATATATATAAATTGTTTAAACAGCTTCAAAATATAAAGCAGCAGCAAATGTATTCAAAAGTGTTGAAGATTGTCGCCAACGATTGTCATTCGACTGCAGTCCTGTTGGGTTGATATGTAGCCTATAAATAAATTTTTCCTCGTCCCCAAGAAGAATTTCACCTATCGACGTCTAAATATGGGACTCAATTAAAATTCGCAACTTGCATCTGGATTCTCACTTTTAAAGTTGCTCGAGTAAAGTTAAGATGAAATTGTATCAGAAAATTTTATGATAATGCATTTGTAGCATCGACGCGTAATATGGATCAGATATAATTTTACTCTTGATTACGTCACAATTGGTTTTTGCATGCTTCTATAAAATCTGAATTGCAGGCATAGTTTATTTACACATGCCCTAATCAATTCAGTCGGCTGATATTCATGTTCGTTCATTTCGAACCCGCTGGAAACTTATCCCAAATTTTGCATTGATATTTCAGTGTGTTAAAAATAATTTTCAATGTTGTTTTGAAATCTTCGCTTTATTCGGAAATTTGGTCAACATGCATCGACTTCATACTTTGGCTTCACCGTGAGTAAGTCTGATAATCCGTTCAACGCGACAATAGAGGAAGGAAGCGGCGTTTCGCTGCTGGCTACTTTTGGTGGCGGTATGTTTACACTATTAGCAATTGCCGGAACGAAACAGTCTGTTGTATTTGTTTCAATGACTGTGCTTGGTACATAGTGGCAAAACGAGGACGATGGCGTTAGTGTGGGCGATACAGATGGTGTAGGTCTAGCGCTCCTTCTTCCAACGTGACGCTCAATCCACTTCAAAAGCATCAAGACAGAGTCAGTGCCGGGAAGTCGTCTCTTTGCAGCCGTTCGGATTCTGCGGTGATGACTTGTAACTCGAAACGTGAAGGCAAGACCTGGAACAGAATTCATATAAACTGGTTAATTGTCATTTTAAAAAGTGATATTTATTATTTTATCGGGCCACAAAACATGGGCATGGTCTTTCAGGGCCCAGTATTTCATGATCTATATATAAAATCGGAAAGAAAATTTTAGGAAAGAAAGAAGAAATTTCGTTGGTAATATTTAATACAAGAGAGCTGTGCTCAAATATATGTACACGTCACAAGATGTCGCTATTTTTTATTCTGACACATAAAAAACGAATTTTTTGGAGCCCACATGAATTTTTTAAATAAGTAAAAGTGATAGCCTTCTGGCAAAAATATCAATCTTTAACCACTGAAAATTGCAAAGCCATTGGTCCAGTATTCAAAGAGAAAAGCGATTTCATCATGACGAAAGAGAAAAATAATAACAACATAATATTGAAACGATCGTTAAGTACACTGACGTGTCCAATAATGTTGGACCTGCTTTCTAACCGAGCGACCTCAATCAATACCAGCAATTCTTTATTATGGTATCGGATTCCTAAATGAGCATAAATGGAAATATTCATAATACGAAATATCTATAGTACCGTTGTAATATACCGTCACAATTTGCTAACTAACCTTTAAGTTGTGCTATGGCATCTTCATCTGTAGTATCGTCTCCAGCATAAATAACTCGAACCCTTTCATTCCAATCCACCCCGAAAGTCGTTCTCAGTATATGGATTGAAGCACGTCCTTTGTCCCATACCACTGGTGGTTTTGCTTCAACAGCACACAGAGCCTGAAAAATTGAAGAAAATTCAAACATGTATTCCGATATTTTATCAACAATGGCTGGGACTCACAGTAGCTGTCGAAACATGTCATTGAATCGACTCACTGTACGATGATATTTATGATGTGATTATTAATGCTTTATTTAGGTCGCTTGATGTCACTGTTGACTCTAATTTTCTGTACTATATGCCGCTTAGTGATGTGATTTATGATGTCTATGTTATATCCATAAAATACTCGAGCATCCTGATTAGTTGTGTGCTTACTCACAAACAAACACTAACCCCACTGATTCAACTACGTTTCATCCAGGCGCTATTGAGGGGTTGATTTTGAATCCTAGTTAATTCACCAGGAAGGCGATTCTCATCACGTCAACCAAATGTAATTAATGCATATTATGCTACACAACATATTTCTTACGCCATCGAAGCACTTTTTTACAGTCGTTTGTTCAGAGCTCATTGCGAACTGCCTTGTATTAAAAATACGGAGATGTTAACATATGTAGGCCTAGTATTTTGTAATAATGTCAACACTAAACCCTAATTGTATTATAATTCATGAATTTGTCATACTTACATTTCCAGGTTTGAATCCATATTCGACTATTAGTTGAGTAGCCCGTTTCAGCAAATCCTCTCTGAGATGGTTTGGAACTTTTCGGACATGATAAGTCAGAACAAATCCTGAAAACAGATAAATAATTTTCTGTATTGGAGAAGTATTTGTTGAATAAAATCATAAATGCATTGGCGTAAACAAATTGCAAAAAATGGCAGAATGAAATTATAAGTTCCGAGAATCACGAATACAGCCAGACCTTCAGAAGGGATTAAATGACCTTTTCAAGAAAAGAGCCTACCGGTATATGCAAAATATCAGCTTTGAAACAATCCGCAGATCACAAGGTTATTGACTAAATTTGTATAACCTATAAAACAAACTAATACAGTATATATTCAATGTGGGAGTGATTAAATCCGGTTTATATAACAACTTTTTTCGAGGTTTCATCGTCCACGCACACTTAATTAGGACAACAAATTGTTGTTGGTTATACCTGTTTCTTTGCTCGCACCGGTAACCATGCGAGAGACTGTTATTATGCTATCATGACTGCGGCATTTTTAGAGATTTTTCCATCCCAGGAATTTGTATATATAATATTCAAACCTTCTTGTCAATTTAAGAGCACCTTACCTTTATTCTCGACCCAAGCACCGTCTCGCTGCAATTCATTTACAAGACGAGTTTTTAGCTCTTCCATTTTTGCCGCATACTGCTGGGGTCCTGGATGAATAAATTTTGTACCATCAGGATGTATGATTTCCAATCCATGACTCCCGGCATAAGTAATCTATTCGAAAATAGTTTTATGTCAAAATTAAAGTTCGAATTCGAAATTAATTGATTCAATTTGTGATAATTTAATTACCTTGTCAATTCCAACCATCTCTTTTACATTTTCAACTTTTCTGCCAGATACAATTGCAATATGAACATCGCTGTTATTGCATAGTCTTTCCAAAACCCTTTTTGTTTCAGTTGGCATCAATGCCAAGTCTGGATGAGATGCTATAGGGGCAAGTGTTCCTAAAGAAAACATGAAAAGTGATGAAGATGGATACATTGAAGTAAATTCGGGGATTATTATGTATTTATTTGGCCATATACCACAACAAAAAATATCCGTCAAGTGAACATGTTTTTTGTTTGTGGGTCACTGACATTCAAAACGCGCTATTAAATTTGATAAGGCTTTTTTCAATAAATTTTCATCATTATTACCGTCATAATCGAGAAGTAACGCCAGTTTGCTTGTATCGTCGACATATCTAGACATCCACAAATCAAAGTCTTCCACTTTAAACGGTTCAATCGTGGAATTGAAATCATCATTTTGATCTCCAGTCATCACCGTTCCCATTGCTGAAACAGAAGATTTTTAAGCTTGTAACAGGTGCAAATGGTGCACAGGCGTAATAATTCTGTCGCAGTAGAATTAATTGCTAATTAAATACTGTTTTAGTAAACTTGCTATGAAATTATTGAGTGCAAAATTTGGCGTCTGGTGAAACAGCATCACAGCAATTTGGCCCAAATTCTGTACACGTTTATGGTACCTGGAAATTACCTCTCAAAAATGACTGAAGCCAGTAATGAACGTCATTTTGCTTTTCTCGTTTCCTCAATAAATTCATTCGAACTTGTCTTTCATCTTCAGGCATGGAGATTGCACGGTTTATTGCATTCGCCATTTCGGTTGTCTCGTATGGATTTACGAGCAGAGATTCTAACATGGTCTCTCCCGCTCCGGTGAAAGGAGATAAAATCAAAACGCCTGGATCTTCAGTCTGACATGCCACAAATTCCTGTGAATTCAAAACAAGCATACCTTTATCATCAGATATCACACTATAAGCTATTACAGTTAGTGAAAATAAATACTCTAATTATTGTTATTTAAATAAAAGCCGGTTCATGAAACATTCTTAGAAAATAGAAAGAGGCGGCGTGTGGTTTGTATTGTACAAGACCAGAGCATTCAACTCTCAGATGAAAATAACACTTGAAATTGACGGTCTACGATTTCCTACTACAATTGAACTTTTTTTTAGCGCGGCTTTAATTAATTAAATAATAGTCATATATATTGTTAGTTGACATTTCCGATTCGGTATATCGCGTAACGCTAACATGTTAATTTGATACTTCACTTCCTCTTCGCCAGAACAATTCAAAATTTCAAATGTTTTTACTGTTTGCCACGATAATGGAATATTGGTCTTTCTGATTATCCCGATGTGCAATATTGGCACAAAGTATCTTTGTACAAAACACCTATTCAAAGAGTTTATCATGACACTAACCTTTGCCACGAGATTCATTCCATCTCTTAGCGGAGTTACAAGTGCGACATCAGCCGCACGATAATAAGAAGCGAGCTCATCTTGGCCCAAAGACCGATAAATATATCGGATTGGGCTCCAATTTGGATTGGAAAATCTTCCGTTGATTCTCCCAACCTCTTGATCCAGTTCTTCTTTGAGAATCTAAATGTAAATAGATATTAATATGATAGCATTTACAATCAATAACTCTGCAATAAAGAGTATTTAAATATTGTTTCAGTGCGCTATTTTTACAGTATTCAAATATACAGAATATTTCTTTTAATTTCACCTGATATTCCTCCACATCAGTCCGAGAAGGTACAGCAACTTGTAAGAATATGATTTTTTCTTTATGCTCGGGATACAGTTCCAAAAGCCTTTCAATACTTCGAACTCTGAAATTAGGAAATAAAAGTAGATTACGTCTATGTTGTATGAGAGTCACTCATCGGCGTCCCGTTGACATGACAGAGAATTTTCATGCTTACAGTTTATCAGTATTACAAGCTGTATTAGCTCATACGATCCGATTCAGTTTTGAAAATAAGCCTTACAAAAATATATATCAGTTGAATGTCACATATCTGCGACTTCAGCAATAGCAATGATAAACTTTGTAACAATTAGCCTAGATATTTTACCGATTTAAAAGTCCTTTTGTATAATCAAGTCTATCTACGCCAAGTACAAGCTTCTGATCAGGATTTTGTCTCACAAATGGTTGTGATTCTTTGGCTAGCGTCACAAAACGATTAAATGGTATTCCTGTGAAACGAATGGAAATCATGAAAAATTCAGGTTTCTCAAATAAGGTTAATGGTTTATGTCAGTATCTGTGGATAGCAGCAGCAGCATAAGGTCAACTGCAATGATAATCATGTTACATGTAAAAACGAGCTGAACTAGATTTTGATACCTAAACAAAGTTTAAAAACAGGTCATGGCCTAACAAAGTAGAGTATAGCTTAGAACAGCATCTCCTAGAACAGCACACGAATAAAAAATTAAAAAAAACAACACGAAAATAGAGAAATACTGGGAAAATGGACGAAACCTGGAATGAGGTATTAAATGTATAATTTCTACCTAATTTTTCACGCGTTCGACCTCAGTAACATGAGCGATGTACAATTTTGATTAAATACTTTTGAGTGGTTCTTAAGTATTTTTCGTATGCGGCGGGTAAAATAATATTTCCAGTTTATTGATGGGATTTTTGGATATATCTAAATCGTTAGCCAGCAGTACACTAGTTGTTGGCTAACTTACCTATGGGAAGTGCTCGTACTCTGACCGTTCGTCCACCGTGCTCAACGAGCATTCTATCTTTGTCCACTCTGCAACCAAGTCTTTGTTGGCAACAGTCAATAAAGTTCAATGCATATGATTCGATGTGAAATCCGACGAGATCATGACCAAGAAGTCCCTGGTAAGCAAATAAATAAACTTATTAAAATGATACGAGCATTGAAGGATTGGCTATACACGAACCTGTAGACTTTTGGTTGAATTGCGTATATTTATACCGAAAACACTGTCGATACACATAAGTCTTATAAACGGCACGTTTTGGACACGCTCCAAGTGCTTGTCTGCGGTAAGTGGGTACTGACAGCGACGTGGATGCCTGTCTATATTTGTTTTGATCTTATGATGTGGAAAATATTCTATGGGTTAGTTATAATCGTTGACGCAGTTAAATTGATTGCAAATAGATATCAAATATTCATTTATATACGAGACGCTGAATGAATGGTTTGAAATTGTAAATGTTTGGTCGATGTAAGCAATGTCAAAGTCTTACTTGCAGAATTTCGTCATCCCAAGGAAATATACGAAATATATCATAGGGTGGGAAGGGTATGTGAAGAAAGAAACCGAGGCTGCATTTCAATGTGGGATCATCCTCCATCGATTGCCGTATAGTGTTAGCTGCAACCATCAAATGGAAATCATGAATCCAGACCAGAGGAGTCTAAAAACGTAATAGAATATCAGGAACTTTTCAAACAATAACACAAACACGTATTACAATATATGACAATTTTTCATTGTCTTCCATAATAATGTGCGACAATATAAAACGTTAGCGCCTTCTGATTTTAATACTCAGTTATCAATTTGTCAGAAGATGTACTAATAAGTACCGGTACTGTAGGTTTGGCAGATGCTGAATTTTTTATCGTGGAAAAATTCAACAATAGCAAACGAGTTCAACAAACACACCTTTATTTTGTGTGATATTCTTCGGAGAAAGTACCTTAAACCCATATCTAATGTTAAACAATTTACATCGTACACTTATAATAAATTTTCATTAAACGAAAACAAACACAAAACATACTTTACTCTTTCGACCGCGCCACCGCATCGCGACACAATTTTGAGAGCGGAATCTAATCCTTCTTAGATTGAAATATTCAGCGAATTAAAAGTGTTTATTAACGTTGGCTTTGCTAAAAAAGAAGTTCTATCGCTCTTTGAAGTGAATTTCTTTTGCGCGCCGTGTTTTCGGAATTTTTCAAAATATAAAGTACAAATTAAACAAGCTTTGTGGGAAAGATAAAAATCGTTAAGTATAATGCGATCATCTGTTTTAAACCAATAATTGTCGGGTATATTTCAAATAAACTCTAGTAAGGTTAATGTCAAACATTTAGGTTTTGTAAGAAAAGCATCTACAGATGCTCTTATTAAAATCTTCGATTACCATGGCGTTTCATTACAGGTTGATTTAGATATTTTGGATACATGGCCGATCGGTTGACAACGATGTTCAACGCGCCTCATTAGAAGTCTTTTCGCATCGATTTTTGACGCATAGACATCACACGCCCACATGATAACTGGGTGTGTCACCATTGGCCCAATCACTGAAGTTCGTTGTCATCCTTTCGGACCTCACCAATCTATCGAGTTGCTAAATTTGTTTCTTGAATGTAATCGTTCTCATATGAGAGACTTATGGTTCATAAATCTATGATATATTTTAGCAAGCCTTGAAAATGTAAAATTACTTACTCTTTTATTTCCTTCGCCCAGTTGAAGTTTACGGACGGATGCAACTGTTTCTTCAGCAAACGTCTGAAATTGTAATTAAAAAAACTTTAATCGCGTGAAGTTAAAATCCAGTAAGATATCGCAAAATTCTCTATTTACTCAATATGTACTGATCATATAGCGAGATTTTTGAGAACTTATTACCTGATTAACTCTGCAGTAAGATTCCCAATGCTGAAAATTAAAAACGGCTCTGTCGGGCATTGAATGGAATAAAGGCCAGAAAGCGCTATTACAGCATCCGTTGTAATATTTTTCCAAATCATTTCGTTCGACATGGACTGGAACTACCTGAAATAAAGACACGGATATGTACATTTGTTCAATTTTAAAAACAGATATGTAACCAAAGCACTTTCTGTTCGAAATGGATATTTCCTATGTATTTGGTTAATTTTGTTTAATAGGAACGTACAAAATTGTTCACTTCGTATATACTAATGTTTTGAGTGTGCAAAGCAAAGTCATTACCTGTTTTGCCATCAACCCGGCAGTTGGACCTTTCGCATCCGGGGATGATTCGGGAATAGGCTCATCAGGATTCTCAAGATGAACACCAGGCCAACCAACCTGAAATAGAAAGTGAAGTATATATATATAAACAATTTCTAATCGAATAGGATTTACTCAACCATGCTTAGTTTGTTTTACATACCCACAGTCCTTTACATTCAACGACTACCGGCGCAACAGCAGTTACAAGACCCCCCGCTGAAGCTTTTCTTGTTAAATTCCCGTCTTCATCTCTTTTGAGAACAAATGGTAGTCTATTCGATACTACAATCATAGTCGGGGTAGGTTGCTGTTTGCTGAAACATTGAAATATTCAACATCAAAGATTTTTAAAAGACGAAAAGAATAATATAAGATGCAGAACATAATAATGTATAATAATAAGCAAATGTTGATAATTTAGTAGCAATGATACAAACAAACCATCCATATAAATCGTTAGCCTCACATATATCATTTTGATGGCAACAAGTTGGTAATTTTTACATTATTTGGAAATGGAAAATGATAAAAATCGATTCCATGAACATTTTGCAATTTTTAATAACAAGTTCGACGAAATATCGTGCACACGCATAGAACGCACGTTCATATTCCCTAAAGGCAAGTGGGAATCCGTTTTAATTTTGATCTTTCTTTGATCTTTGACCTTTCGAAATTTACGGTGCGACTATTAGCAAATCTACTTACTTCTGCATTACGAAATCTTTCTCTTTCAAATATCAACTGTTGAAATCTATCATATATATTCTATTTATAGCTGTGAATGTAAAATTAAAAAAAAATTGGAGCTTCATAGCTAACAAACGTAACGACTTTCTACTTATAGATTCCAATCAATTTGAACTGTATTCTTCGGAGCTTATACGCGGAAGATTGCAAAACCAGCCAATACCAGCTGTGAATGGTCGATGCCGGTGCGATATTATGTACTGCGGAGAAAATAGCTTACCGGTGTCACGTGCAAGTCTTATAATCTGTGACGGTTCTTCTAACTCCTAACCTGTCCTGGCCTGCTCACATTATGGTCCAACACGCACGAGAACCAGACTATCTAGAAGCGGTCCGTTTCATTTTTTAGTCATTGTACGTTTATCTACGTAATTGTACTTTTATCTAATACTGACACAATCATTTAATTGCATAATGGATACAATAGCTGTGCACGTAACCTACGAGACACAAGATAGACGGATTTAGAGCATCTATAAATCTTTAAAAAGATGATTAAAAGTAAAATACTTCGTTATATAACGCTTTCGCCAATTCGATATTGGTCTGCTCTGTTCCCAAGAATCACAAATGTTTATATAAGAATGACATTGTTTAGCGTGCTTGACAACTGTAGTTTCCTACATAGCCCATATAATAATGCAAACCTTTTCCTGGGGAATTTAAAACATACATGGGCCATTTATAGTCCGAGCGCGACAAACACAGTAAATCATACAATTGCGCTACAAATTGTTTCAATATTTTTGCTTGGTTTTACCGTGGCATGCAGTCATAATACTGTAATGTATATTGCCCGATTTCTAACCCTCAGTAGCATCTTGTAATTTCATTTGAATTCTGAAGTAAGACGAACTCGCTGTAAACTGTAAAGCATGGTTCGTCAATTTGCTGCTTTCCAGATCGGCCCTCACGACGCCTCATGTCGATAATGATTTGCGAAACACGGGCTGTGTTGTATATATAGTTTACAATACAACCACAATCATACGTCGATCACAACGAGAGAATTTAATGGGAGAAATGGGTTCAGCGCCCAAATCATACGGGGAATTTACAAATGCCATTACCGTACCATCGATAAACAATATTCAAAAATCTGTTTTGCTAACCGATTGTCATTTCAGTTCCTCCATCAGATTACCAAGAATATTCTAAATTATGATGTAACTTTCCATACTTCTATCATCAGTAAAACACATGCAATAGATATCATTCGCAGTTTACATTTGACATCAGTTTGTGGCATGTAATGTTTGTTCGTGTAATGTTTTGTAAACTATTACGGGTTTGATATCAACAGCAAGATCATGGCACGTTTTTTTCCGCGAGGTTGTCTTTTTACCGAAGTCCGAGACAAATTACCTCATTTTTCTCACAATTTACTATACGATTTACTAAACTTTTATGGAAATCGTCGAACTTGAAAACATTTTTATATTTTTCAAATTGTAGAAATATGTAATGGGAGAATAATAATTATTCATCACTCATATATATATATATTCGGGCCGTTTTGATTTATGATTGTAAATTATGTTATAAAATAAACCGAGCAAAATTTTGCCGATCAAACGAATATAGAGTATTTGATATCACTTAATTTTAATATGCATAAAGTTTGAAAAAGAGTGTTTATTTTACATCTGGGTGGCTAAAATCCTGATTTCGTAAAAACTGTTATAACTACTCAAAGAACTATTTACAACAGTATAATTTTCATTGGCTGCAATGTAATACGCCCATCTTCATCAATATGTAATTATGTTATTATGGTAATCTTTATTTCAACAAAGAGAGACTTGGGATCAAGGTCGATATTATGCTGGTCAATTCATTTTTTCATTATTTTGTAACAATCATATTGCGTTTTATACTTTGATTTTGAAGTTCACTTGAAATCAGTAGGTTTAGGTCATCGTGAAACAATGCATTTAACGGATACCAAAATAGTATGTTATCTGTAAAATTAAACATAACTTTCATTAATCGGATTTGCTTCTAAACCTTTGATTTGGGATCAAAATTCTTTCAGCCACTTTTGAAAAACAAAGTTTTAAACAATATTTTTATTTGCCAAAAATACGGAAATTCTTAAAAAAATACGTGTACAGTGTATTGACTGAAGCCTTTATATCAGGGGTCGACAACCTACGGCCCGCGGAGTAAAATAATCCGGCCCGCGACGCTTCACTGAAATACAGCGACAAAACAACGGTTCTGACGACGAATTTAACGTTTTTAATATCTACGTTCTAGAAAAATATTATATTCTTTAGACGTAACAGATTTTATTGTGGGACACATGTAGACTAAATTATATTATAACCAACCAATTTAGTAAACAGATACTCGTTTAATGAGCCTACGATTTAATTATAATTAGACAAAGGGCAAAAACACAGAAAAGTTTATGCTAAGTGCAGAGGGTTCAATGGGACAGAACACTTGGACAAAAAGTTATAGAACATTAGACGTCATTATGAAACGAAGGATTTCAAAATTGGTCTAGAAAAACTATTCAAAGGGGGGATAGATTGCTAAAGGATGAAGAATAAGATTAAACAATTCAAAGTCGGTGTAGAAAAACAAAGCTCTTTTTTTCTAAAGCAATATACAACCAAAACGAGAAAAATACTGTTGCCAGTTTCGAAAAAGTTTTGAAATTGCGTTACACATGCAGCCCCTTGTCGAGGGCGAATTCGTGAAAAATCGCTCGATAACCGTCGTCGCTATAGTATGCCCTTAAAGAGAAAATTTATTTTCCAATATCAGCCTTTCTGCTAGAACCGTAACTTGGCGAATAAAAGAAATGTCAGGGGATGTTAAACGTGGTCAAAAGGATGCTGACGTTCGTTCCATTGAAAATGAATTCAGACTATTTGGTATTCCGTTTGATGCCAACATAATAAGGTTGCAGAAAGTATTCAAATGAAACTTCTTGAGATGCAATGCAATGAGGAAATAAAATCCATATTCTATTCGAGAGATGTATCACTGCTTGATTCTCATTAAAAGCTTTCTTGAAGGAAATCTCTATCCAAATTTGACAAACCATAAGAAAAAATTCACATCGATGTTTGGAACTACATGCTTGCGAACAATTATTTTTGAAAATGAACATTACAAAGAACAAGCTGTGAACTTGGATTAGCGATGCCCATCCCGAGTGCCGCTTGATGTCAAAAAGCTATCAATCGTGCTGCAAAACAAGAGTCACATTAAATTTCATTTGTAATTTTTCTTTTAGCATGACGAGTTGAGTTCAAACTTGCAATTGTGCAAACGAAACTTATATATCTGACCGACCAAGGCTAGCGTGCGGGCATCTGTAATGTCTGATCTGTATGGACCATAGGATATAAATCTTCATCTAAAAAGACAACTTGGCAAGAAACAAATAAAAATAAACGTCAATTCAAAATTCATTTAAAAATCTATAATTGTGCGTGATAAATGAATGAATAGAATTGAATATCGATGCTGCGTCTATTACTTATAAGTTGAATTATAATCGGACGTTTTATGCGAAAAACATGGACTAATCAATTTTTTTTAAATCAGTGTGAGTTGCATTTGACAGATGAGCAATTGAAAAGTTGTATTCAACAATTTCTCCTTTTAAATAATTCAAGTCTTGCTAACCCGATAATGAACACTGCGACACTTTATCAGTTTCCAATCAAAAATTCAATAATCGTCCAAGCATTCTTTCACAATGCTTGCAAGAGTCACTTTGTTTGCAAGACAAGTGCAATGCAATTTGACTTTTTGAATCATCTAATTGAAATTGAACTCAAGTAGAAATTCATGTGGTTGATGAACACCACGATGGTCCTCAACTAAATGTTCATGATTTAATAATAGCCAAAAACATCGTGTTACACCTGTGACCTTGCTTAATTAAATAATTTGAATCTTTTTTGTAGAAATAATTTCGCCAGCGGCCCACTTTTTCTATGTGGGCAATAGATGTTTTGAGGACTACCTGCTGTATAATTTCCAAGCGTCGGCAATCCAGGCAATGTAGCCCACCCAAGTTCCCTGTTGCACAAAAATGAATAAATATAATTTCAAATTCACATACCACACCAAATTTTAATGTGATTGTCAGTCCAACGTTAATTTTATCATTTTTGCCGCCAGCTATGATGTTTTGGAATGCCATAAATCTCGTTTAGAACGACAATGTATCAAGTGGTTATTTTACAATAACAACGATACAGAGGGTGGCTATGTGCATTTTTATTTATTTTTTTATCTATTCGACATGAACGTGTATATGTGCTTCAATATCACACAATAAAACACTTTCAGAACTAATTCAGTAATATATAAGAATATTCAGAATGTTAGATAAATATCGGATTAAGTTCGGAATTTGCGTAGGTCGCTCCATATACCGTTATAATTTTATAAACAGGCTTTTGCTATTTTTTATATTTCATTGCTTCGAAATATTTTGTAACAGAATATCGGTATAAGGTTACATGATAATACATTATTATGGACAAATTATTATTATATTATATACTAGATTGAATACTATACCTATTGAATACTATACTATCATTGAATAGATCTGAGGAAAAAAAGCACTGCTCAAAACATACACGCTCACAGCAGTTATTGAAGAATTCTGGGTCGTTTCCCTGTAATTTTCCTAAATTTACCCCATCATGCCTTCGACGCGTGACTCTCTCGTTTTATTCTAGGGTTTCCACATCTAATATGATGTCACACTTACTCATTCTCATGGTCGCCTGCGGATCACGTGTTTCTTGAATGTTCTAATCTCTCGTTTTCGCGAGGTCACGCGAGTATTCGTAAGCAATTAATTTTAAGCGAAGTACGCTGGTTCAGTGGGGATAAACATCCAAAATCCAGGCTTACGACATAGGTCCACGAATTCACACAATAGTCAATTCACAAAATAATACAGCAAATTGTGGAGAAATTATACTATTGCAATCGCAACAAAACATTGGATAAGGGATAATTGAATTGAATTTTTTGAAAGAAGTAATGTACTAAAACTACATAGCATGGCGGCATACACGTTCAATCAGTGATGTAATAAAATGTTGCTGGATA